GTCAACAAGCAATGCAACGGGTGTGCTCGAGATAAGAAAAACGGAATGAGAAATATGATCATCTTCAGAGCTAATCTTTTGCGTTAGGCTTACCTGTCAGCAAATTCTTTGCGAAGGGAAACAACCAGTTGGCCATTCAGCCTTTAACTTAGAAGTGTTTTTAGCATTATTTAGAAGAGTGAAAACTGAGGTGGGAAGCCTGCAGAATTGATATCTTTTCTGATTATAGCTTAAGTAAAAGAAAAAGAAACATCTAAAGAAGACAAATTAAAGACAGACTAAAGTTCTTTCAAGCGTCGTAAGAATAAGTAGCATCTAGTAAGTAGAGAAAACCGAAAGCGTACCCCCACAAGGTTAACTAAGAATATTAGAAGGTTAGTTCTTAAAACTCACAGGACTGATAGTAGAAACGGTTTCACCGGGGCATGCAAGAACCCAGACTCTGGAATTCCCCTGCCCGAGTGATAATAGCGCTCGAATGTTGAAACTGTCATATTAGAACTCATTAACCTTGCGGTGTGAACGAAATCAAATTTTATGATGTTGTAGTATAAGCTGAGAGTGACAAGAGAATCAAACCTCAGAACCTCTGGACCATTACTTCCGGTTTCTCGATCAAGATAAATAGTACCCAACCTTAATTCCGAAGGCCATTTTCCAACCCCACATGAAGGCAAGGAGCCAAAACTTAAGTTATAACGGGCAGTACCAAGACAAATTGTGGTTTATAATTTAGCCTAATCCATTAATTAGATTGTAACCGACAAACACTTGATAGAAGCCATTTCGAGGAGCTTGTGAAATCATACTTGTTCCTAAGTTTTTGCACTACGATTTTTCGCTCCTTGATGCAATTTACTATATAAATTGCTTCCACATCAATTTTTCATTACTTTTGTGACACTGCAGGGCTGATTGTCTTTCCTTTCAAAACATAGTTTTTTTTACCTTATTTAACTGCAAAGAAAGGAAGGAAATCGTGATTATGTAGATGGGGTTTCTTTTGAACTTTTTAAACATACAAAATGCAAAATTTTTATAGATGCATCAGACAAAAGTTACAAAATTTTTGATTCGAGTTAATTTTGGCTTTGTTGGATTGTTTTCAGTTTGATTTTTCTGTGAGGTTAATCATTTTCTGATAAACAAATTTACACAAAAAGCATCATTTTTGTTAAATTTGAGTTCAAAATAGTGCAAGTAACAGTTGTGATTAAAGCGTTTTTCGCCGTAATTTCTCTCATTTTCTTACTCAGTTTCTCTCATTTTCTCTGTAGTCATTGATCCAGACTCGGTTGTCGTCAGTCATGATCCAGATTTGGTTAACCTCGCTGAAACAATAAATTGTATTATAGGAGCAATATTTTGATCAAAACATGTTTACAGCCTCACACGTTTCATCCTGTAGCCACTTAAAGTATTTAACAGTGCAATTACTCTCTGCTTAGTAATCCTTTTTTACACAGTCTTCGACGCAAGATTTTTAACGCTATTTCGTTTTTTGAGTTAATAGTTTTTGAGCTATTGCCTTTTTTAGCTAATTTATTGAGCTAATTCATCTGCAATTTAGCGCCACATTCAAATTGTGATGTTTATGGGTAAAATTTGAGGGCATAAGTACTTCAAATGTACAAGGAATTTTCCTTTTTCTGTTTGATAATGTTTCCATATACGAACTTACGTAAAAGCCACCTTAGTCAGTCTTCTAATTGATGTGAGGCTAAAAATCGAGCTTTGTACAAAACAGATCTGTGATGCGTATCCTTTCCGTACCTTTAGAGTAGATGGTTTTTTTGCTATTCTTGATTCGCATTGCGTTTTTTTAACCCCTTTTTGGTTAAATTGCTCGATATACGTCGAGTCTATTGTTTTTTTCTAGGGCTTGCTCTCTGTATGAACTGCGCATCAAACCCATGAATTATAATCGATTACATAATCATTTCGTAATTGATATCTATAAAATTACAAAATTATCGAATCAATTATAACTAAGTGTAATTGATTTTTTGAGATATTATCGAAAAATTTTACAAACTTACATGAAATTTTTTCATTCAATATTTAGTTCGGCTGCTACATATTAGGTTTTCTAACTTTATATATATTTTTTTTCTTATATTTTATACTTTCTCAACTTTTTCAATTTATGGCCGTTTAACCTTTTTTCAGTTCATTTTTTTACCACAATCGCCAATCGCCCAAATCCCCACCTCTTCCCCTGATGGATGAAGGTGGTAGGGGATTGAACGGAACTTTTTTGCTTTTGTTTTTTCAGCACAAACACTTTGACATTTGAAATTGAATTTTTTGTTTAGAACTTATTGATTTTAGAACTAAAAAGAAAATCGAATATAATCAATTATAATGGATTCAAATAGATTTTTATATTTGAAAATTCATCAATTATAATGAGTTATTTTGACGCGAAAATCTCTATTGCCCCAAAATTACTGAAATATAATCTTAATGAACTAAATATAATCTTATACTGAAATATATAATCTTAATGAATTATAATGGATTTTAGTTTTTCAAAAACAATTGATTATAATAGCAATATGTTAGATTTCGTAGTCTTAGTTTAACATCCTTAATCCACTTTAGTGGATTATTTTTGTCTCGGAAAATTATTATAATCGATTATTATCCATTATACTTAAGTAAAGGTGCATCTTTCTGGCTCTCAATTTTCTGCACTTGAAGGCCAATTTCAATTTTTTATCAAAGCTACTCGTTCCTAATCCGTTTAGCACCCAAATTTTAAGTTAGGAGCGAATCATTCATTGAAATCAATCGATGAAATGGGCATAACTTGTGTAACTGTTACAGGGCAATTACATGACTAATAAATTATAATTACGCATTTTTGGCTAGTTTACATGGTAGCTGGATTAAACTTCGGTTGGTTTTTATAACGCCAAAAAATGCACAATTTTTATAAGTCTTTATTTTTTTTGAATGAAAATAACACAGATTTTGAAAGCAGGAGTTTGTGGGCAAACAACTTGAACAATAAACAAACTAGACGATCCGAAAGAAACTAAATTTAGATCAAAACTTGCGTGCAAATTTTGTGACAATTGTTTACAGACCTAAATTAACTTCAGCTTGAGCAAGCACTGGTTGTACAATCGCAATTAAGGTTATTAGTGTCACAGTAGTGGATTTCAAAAACATACTATACTTTTTCAATTAAATGTCTTATAAAATTTTTGTAATATTAGTTTTTGATGGGATCTGTGATAAGATACCGTTTTTGTTTTTGTGAAACTTCATATTAAGCAAAAATTTTTTGGGCTTAATTCTTATTGGGCTTAATTCTTATATTTCACAAAGACGTATAAATTAATTTCAGATATTTTACGAGTGTCTAGTTTGCTTGTCGCCCAATTTCACTGTGATTCCGCATCCTTGCGGTTTCTACTAAATTATAATCGGGTTGAATTAGCCGGAATAACCTTTGTGTTAAAGTCCATTTCCATGAAAAAAAAAACAATTTTATATATTTTTTCATCTTCGAGATCAAAAGCAATTGATTCAAAATTAATACTATCAAACGGTTTTTAGCTTAGTTTGTTTCAAATTAGTCATTCTTAGTCATCCTAAAACAATTTTTCAAAATTATTTCGGATATTGGTTTTTTTTAATTAACAGTTCTTGAGTTTTTCAATTACTTTGAGTTTTTAATTTTGAAAAATTTGTTTAATATCACAATTTTTTTTATATCCGGCTGTTTTGTCACTATATTTGCGGCAGAAAGTGTGTTTTAATCGAAAGCTAAAATTTTTCCTGTTACCATTTTTGTTCACATTTGATATCCTTATAACTTCTCGACTGCCTTCGCATACAGTGTGTATCTGCGGTAGTGACCTAACTAAAAAAATTTTGGCAATACTCCTTGTTACGATAAAAATTTATCTGCAAAGCTTATAGTTTTGTTCTACAGGGCGTCAGCTACAATTCCGTCTGGTTTTTTTCAGCTTTTAAAAAAGTTCAACACTCATATCAATCAAATCTGCTCTTTCAATGCTACCAGAAAATTTTAGGACCAATTTGTCGAATAAGAACCAAGTGATTGAAAAATATTATGGAACCAGGAGTTTTTCAACAGGGTAAATCAGAGAGCAAAAACAGTAATCGTTTTTTTTTCTCGAAAGCGCTAAAATCTTACAAAGTTGACTTAAATTAATTCGAAAGCATGTCGCTTCTAAAAGTTTTTTAAAAGATGCAAGATTTACAGTCTTTTATCCTCGCATTGGTTTTTGAAAAAGACAGCTGGGTGGACAAAGACATAAGGAGATACAAGAAAAAAGGGACGCGGATACAAGAAAAAGTCAAAAATCAAAAGCACCAACAGGTTTTTTTGTTCTAAAAAATCAAGCACATCAGTTGTGTGTGTTCTCAAAACTTTCTGCTTCTTTTCTGGGTTTAAATATTTTGCAAATAGCTTAAGATCCTTTCCTATAAAAAAGTTTCTAAAACTGAGTTTTCTGAAATCTGATTAGATATTAGGACTACTAGATCTGATTAGATATTAGATATTTAAAAAAATACGCAATTTTTATTCAGTAAAAGTTATTCAGTTGTTTCCACAAAAAAAACAAAAGATTATTAAGAAAAGTTGTCTTTCAGCTGAACGCAATAATTTACGGCTTTTTTTCCATAGTTTTTTCAAACGTTCTTTCACATTATATTTTTTTGTGAGATTTGATTCAGCCAGTTTTTAATAACAAACTGTCACTTTTAAATAAACACAGATTTTTTAAAACGGACAGTTTGAATTGTTGTGCGGAGTGAAACAGCGTGATCCCTTGCGTAATGATTTCTACTGTAGGAATTTCCTGGCCTTATATTTCTTGCTGATAACTTTGTTTTTATTAGATGACTCAATGATACATTTCTCTGGCCGCACTTAGAGTACTCTGCAAGGAGTGCATACGCAGCGTAATAGGACCGGCAGGGAGATTATCTCTGCGATAAAATCAAAAAACAAAGGTTATTTTGGCAAACACTGGATATTTGGACTGCAGTTTTTTAAATCGATATTTAGAACAAAGGCACGTCCTTGATTCCATCTTAAGTAAGCTGTAAGCATTATAATTTTTGAAAATTTTGGAATATGATTAATGAAGCAAGGGTCATCTTAAACCTATTGAACTTTTTGACGCTGAAATTGTAAAATTTTGTGTATTGCTTTTCAGCTAAGAGCAATAGTTTACGGCTGTTTTTCATAACTTCTCAAACGTGCTTTCAATTGATAGATTTTTTTGTGGGATTTGATTTTAGTTTTTTTTTCAAATATACAAAACTTCCGCTTTTTTTGCCGCGAGTTTTCATTTACAACTATTTTTAGAGTAAAGCACACAATTGTTTTAAAAATGGAGAGTTTGGTTAGTGAATCCTGGGGCGTTGAAACACACTGTCGAGAAATTCCTGTCAACACTATTCTCTGATCGTCCCAGTTTTTTTAAATTTTTTTAAAACAATTTTCTTGCCGCATTGAAGTTGCACCTTTTGCAGCAAAAAAAGAAACGGACTGGAAGATTATCACAGTAAAAAATCAAAAAATATCTTAGCGAGCCGAATATTGTTCTACTAGTGATTTTGGAATTAAGTTTTTGTCGAGCTCTTGCAGAAAAAAGGCATAATTATAGCTGATTGCATTTTTTAATCATTTAGCATCTTTTAATAATGATTCAATTTTGTATCGGTCTAATTATTTCAATGTTTTCAAGTTAAACTATTAGCTATTTTTTTCATGGAAATTAAATTAATATTTAGAAAAATTTTTAAGCGACAGTCTTGGTTTTCGTTTTCATTCAAGTATTGGACATCAGTCTTTCTGGCACTAAATCATAATTAAATTTTTGACACTGTTCGTTTCAATACAATGGAAGGCCATTTGTTTTTGACATTCAACACGATTGTCAGTTTTTTAAAAAAAAACCACTGCGTTAGGATTGCCTATTTTTTTTAGAATCTACACATATTTGCTCAAAAAAAGCAAAACATAACCATCTGCGGTTGTAATTCACCGCTTTGATAATGTTTTTCGCAAATCTTTTTTCAGCAATTTAGGAAGAGAAGGTGCAAAAAGCAACCTCAGTTGTTTGATTGAGATGTACTTATTATTTTTAATAGTTTTTGTCAAATTCAAAAAAGTTTGACTTTTCACTGGATTCAAGTTAATATTTGAAAAAAATGCACGGATACTCCTTGCCGATAGTCTTGAACTTGCTGCTTTCCTAGTTGTTTTAGTTACTAAGTCGCTAGCAGAAAATCTTACATTAGAGATTGCTGAAAACTTTTCTCCGGGACGAAAACTTGATAGAGATTTTGCACGTTTGCATTGAAATTGGATTTTTTTCAATTAAATTTTCTGAGTAGGCGGCTTGGTTTAAGTTACCAGAAACTTATAACGGCTACGTGTTCTAAATATAGTTGAAATTTGAGAAAAAAGAACCAACCATGCACTTTCAGTTGCTTGATTAAAAATTGCTGATTTGCAATGAGTTTTATCAAATCCGAAACAATTTCACTTTCTACTCAGTTGATATTTGAATCAAATGGACTAAAAATCCTAACCGATAGTCTTAATTTTGATGCACAGAAACTTCGTTTTCATTCAAATAATCGAAATCAGTCATTTTGGCAATAAAAAGAAAATTTAAGCACTGTTTTTTTATTGCAATGGAAGGCCTATAACACTTGATGTCCTACCCGAGTTCCTTTTGTTGTCAAAACCACTTACTTAGGATTACCCATTTTCCAAAAGTTTCTTAGATATGCTCAAAAGAAGCCTTCTGATGTTATATTTCACTGCTTTTTCTTCTTTTCAGCGAATCTCTAGCAGAGACTTATCAATATATTTCATCGGATGTTTCTGAAATATGTTTTACCCAAGACAACAGATTGTGTTTTTGCCCTTTAGACAAAAATTTGAGAAAGCTTTCAATGAAAATGGATAAAATTTTCAAGATAGTAGGATTAGATTTATAGTTTGACAAATATTCGCAAGAACTTTGGGAGAAATTTTGCAAAAGCAACCTCGGTTATAGTAAAACGAATATTCAATTAAAAGCAACCTCAGCTGTTTGATGTAGATGCATTTATTAAGTTTTATAGGTTGTAGTTAATTCAAACAAAATTGATTTTTCAATAGATTCCAATTTTTATTTGAAACAAGTGGGCTGAAACTCATTCAAGTAAACCACTGAAGACAGTCTGGTACTAAAGCAATTAAAATTGTGGACAATTTTAAAACAACTTCAATTCTAATTGGCCGCCGTAACCATACCCAAAAACTATTTTTTATTTTGTTCCATATGCTTTTGAGTAGAATTCCTAAGAGTTTCAGTTCCTGTAGTTTTTTTGCTACAGATTTGCACAGCGAAAAATGAGAATTTTTACTTTCCTCCGAAGATGTTTTGTTTATCAATTTTGTGCTGCGTTTATTTTTTTCATTGGTTTTTATAGTTTTAATAGTTACTATGTTTCTAGCAGATACTCAGGAAAATCTCACAGTAAATGATTCTGAAAAAATTCCCCCAAAACGAAAACTTGATAGAAAATTTGCACGTTTGCCAAAAAACTTGATAAAAAACTTGAATTTCAAAGAAGGAGGTTTAAAATTACCAGAAATTAACAACTACTGAGTGTTCTTAATAAAGTTGAATTTCGAGAAAAAAAAACAACTATGAAATTTCAAATTGCTCAAAAAAAAGCTGATTTGAAATTATTTTTATGAAATCCGAAATTTATTGAATTTCTATTTCTATTGAATTGATATTTGAAACAAATGGACTAAAAATCCGTACCGATAGTCTTGATTTTGTTGCACAGGGTTTTCGTTTGCATTCAAGTATTGGAGGTCATTCACTCTGTCACTGAAACAAATTGAGAGTTTCGACACTGTTTTTTAGTGCATTGGAAGGCCTATAATTTATGAGATCCAAAAAAAGTGTCTTTTTTTGAAAATTACTTCTTTGGGAGTACCCATTTCGTTGAATTTTCTTAGATTTGCTCAAAAAAAAACAACACATATCTTTCTCGTTTTATAGCTTACTGCTTTTTTATGTTTTCAGCAATTACTAACAGATACTTAGCAAAATATTACATCGAGTATTTCTGAAAAGTGATTTATGCCAGAAAATAGAATACATTTGTGCACTAAAGACAAAACTTTGAGAAATTAACAAATTGGTGAATTACATTCAAAGTTTGATAAAATTAGCTGGTAAAAAAAATTGAAAAATGCAACCTCAGCTGATTGATTTGACCTCTGTTGCAACCTCAGTTGTTCAAATTTGATTTTTCACTAGAATCAAGTTTTTATTTGAAACAAATGAACTGAAATTTTTTTTTACCGATAGTCTTGCAATGGCTGCATAGAGCCCACATTTTTATTCAAATAGTCTATTCCAGATATTCTGGCATTACAAAAATGAAATTGTGGACAATTTTTCTATTTTTATAATTTCCATTCCAGTTGTCAGCAATAACCAACTCCGAAAACTATTTTTAAATAAAAATGTTTTTTAAGCACCCATTAAGCAATTTGTTTGCTGGAGAGATGCACAGCGAAAAATAGGGATTTTTTCATTCCACCGAAGACGTATTTTTTTCAATTGTGTGCTGTGTTTGTTTTTGTTTTCAGTAGTTTTCCTATTTTTTCTTAATTTTGAAGACTCTAGCCGATCCTCCTGAAAATATGCTGAAAAAAGTTTGCCCAAGACAAAAATTTGATAGAAATTTTGCACGTTTGCTTTAAAATTGAAACTTTAAAAAAATATGTTGCAAAATTGATTTAAAAAACTTCCAAAAAAGGTGAGTTTACACGAGTTACAAGAAATTTAAGTAAGTTTAATGTTCTAAACAAACTTAATACTGGGAAAAATTACTAACTATGAATTATAAGTTGTTTCCGACATAAATTTTGATTAGCAATGATTTTTATCAAATAAGAAATAATTTCTTTTTTAGTGAGTTAATATTTGAATCAAACGGACTGAAAAACCTAACCAATAGTCTTGATTTTGATGCACAGTGTCTTCGTTTCCATTCAAGTATTGGAGTTCATTCATTCTGGCACTGAAACAAATTGAGAGTTTCGACACTGTTTTTGTAGTGCGTTGGAAGGCCTATAAATTGTGACATCCAAGCAAAGTGTCTTTTTCTTTTGAAAACCACTCCATTAGGAGTCCCTTTTTGCAGAATTTTCTTAGATTTACCCAAAAAAGCATTATATATATTTCTCCTTTTATAGTTTACAGCTTTTTTTATGTTTTCAGCAATTCCCTAACAGATACTTAGCAAATTATTACATCGAGTATTTCTGAAAAGTTATTTATGCCAGAAAAAAGAATACATTTGTGCACTAAAGACAAAACTTTGAGAAATTTTTCTGAGTGAAATGCGATGAAATTTAATAAATTGGTGGATTAGATTCAAAATTTGATAAAATTAGCTGGTAAAAATTTGAAAAATGTAACCTCAGCTGATTGATTTGAACTCAGTTGCAACCTCAGTTGTTCAAATTTGATTTTTCACTAGAATCAAGTTTTTGTTTGAAACGAAAGAACTGAATTTTTTTACTCATATTCTTGCAATGCCTGCATAGAACCCACATTTTCATTCAAATAATCTATTCCAGATATTCCGGCACTTACAAAAATGAAATTGTGGACAATTTTTTCTATAATTTCAATTCCAGCTGTCTGCAATAACCATCTGCGTAAGCTAAATTTTAATTGTTTTCATTTTTTTGAGTACCCATTCAGCAATAGGTTTGCTGGAGAGATGCACAACGGAAAATAAGAATTTTTTCAATCCACCGAAGAAGTATTTTTTTTTCAATTTTGTGCTGTGTTTGTTGTTTGATTTTCAGTAGTTTTCTCATTTTTTCTTAATTTTCAAGTTTCTAGCCGATCCTCCTGAAAAATTGCTGAAAAAGGTTTCCCCAAGACAAAAACTTGATAGAGATTTTGCACGTTTGCTTTAAAATTGAAACTTACAAAAAATGTCGCGAAATTTGATCAATAACTTCCAAAAGAGGTGAGTTTGTACGAGCTACAAGAAATTTTGAAAAGATATATGTCCTAAAAAAGGTTAAATACTGGGAAAAATAACCAACTAGGAATTATAAGTTGTTTCCCACATAAACTTTGATTTGCAAAGATTTTTTACCAAATACGAAATAATTTATTTTTTAGTGAGTTGATATTTGCTTCAAACGGACTGAAAAACCTAACCAATAGTCTTGATTTTGATGCAGAGTATCTTCGTTTCCATTCAAGTATTGGAGTTCATTCACTCTGGCACTGAAACAAATTGAGAGTTTCGACACTGTTTTTATAGTGCATATGAAAGCCTATAAATTGTGACATCCAACCAGAGTGTCTTTGGGTGCCCCCTTTTTGCTGAATTTTCTTAGATTTGCTCAACAAAAGCAACACATATCCTTCTCGTTTCATAGTTTACTGCTTTTTTATGTTTTCAGCAATTCTCTAACAGTTACTTAGCAAAATATTACATCAAGTAATTCTGAAAAATGATTTATGCCAGAGAATAGAACACATTTGTGCACTAAAGACAAAACTTTGAGAAAATTTTTTAAATGAAATTCAATAAAATTTAACAAATTGGTGGATTAGATTCAAATTTGATAAAATTAGCTGGTGAAAAAACTGAAAAATGCAACCTCAGCTGATTGATTTGACTTCAATTGCAACCTCAGTGGTTCAAATTTGATTTTTCACTAGAATCAAGTTTTTATTTGAAACAAATGAACGGAAATTTTTTTTACCGATAGTCTTGCAATGGCTGCATAGAACCCACATTTATATTCAAATAATCCATTCCAGATATTCTGGCACTTACAAAAAAGAATTGTGGACAACTTTTCTATAATTTCTAAATTCAATTCCAGTTGTCTGCAATAATCATCTGCGAAAGCTATATTTTAATTAATTTCTTTTTTTTGAGTACCCATTCAGCAATTTTTTTTTGCTGGAGAGTTGAACAGATAAAATTAAGAAATTTTACTTGCCTCTGAAGATATATTTTTTTAATCAATTTTGTGCTGTGTTTGCTTTTTCCATGGTTTTCTTTTTTTTAAATTTTCAAGACTCTTGCCGGCCCTCCAGAAAATTGCATGTTGAAATTTGCTGAAAAAAGTTTACCCAAGACAAAAACTTAATACTTTTAAAAAAATGTCGTGAAATTTGATCAAAAACTTTCGAAAAAATTGAGTTTCTTCGAGTTACAAGAAAATTTAAAATGCTAAGTGTTCCAAATATAGTTGAATATTAAGAAAAATGACCAACTATGTTTTTTAAATTGTTTCCTAAAAATAGGATTTGCAATGATTTTCATCAAATCGGAAATAATTTGACTTTTTAGTGAGTTGATATTTGAATCAAACGGACTGAAAAACCTTACCAATAGTCTTGATTTTGATGCACAGAGTCTTCGTTTCCATTCAAGTATTCGAGTTCATTCACACTGGCACTGAAACAAATTGAAAGATTCGCAACTGTTTTTTAGTGTATTGGAAGACCTATAATTTATGACATCCAACCAGAGTGTCTTTTTCTTTTGAAAACCACTCTTTTAGGATTCCCCTTTTTGCTGAGTTTTCTCAGACTTGCTAAAAAAAACAATACATATTCTTCTCGTTTTATAGTTTACTGTTCTTTTGTAATTTCAGCAATTCTCTAACAGATATTTTGCATACTGAGCAAAAAATTACGTGGAATTTTTCTGAAAAGTGATTTACGGCAGACAATAGAATACATTTGTGCCGTAAAGACAAAAGTTTGAGAAACTTTTTTAATGATATTTGATGAAATTTATCAAATTGGTGGATTAGATTCAAAATTTGATAAATTTAGGTGGTAAAAGATTGAAACATGCAACCTCAGCTGATCGATTTGACCTCAGTTGCAACCTCAGTTGTTCAAATTTGACTTTTCACTATGGTCAAGTTTATATTTGAAACAAATGAGCTGAAACTTTTTACCGATAGCCTTGATTTCGCCGCATAGAGCCCTCATTTTTGTTCAAGTACTCCGTTGCAGGCATTCTGCCTCTGAAACAAACTGAAATTGTGGACACTTTTCCAATAATTCCAACCAACTCCAATGGTCTGCAACAGCCATCCCCGAAAACTTTTCTTAGTACCATTTGCTTTTGAGAAACCATTAAGCAAAAGTTGTGCTAGAGACTTTCACAGCAAAAATGTGAACTTTACTTTCCTCCGAAGATGGTTTTTTATCAATTTTGTGCTGGGTTTGATTTTTCAGTGGATTTTAAAAACTTTTGTGGTTACTAAGTCTCTACCAAATACTCTCAGGAAACTCTCACGTTAAAAATTGCTGAAAAAGGTATACCCAAGACCAAAAATTGATACATAGAAATTTTTCAAGTTTTTCATAAAGTTAAAACTTTTACAGAATTTTTCATGAAATTTGATAGAAAGTTTTCAAAGAAGGTGGGTTTTTCCAAGTTACCAGAAACATACAGCGGCTCATTCTTCTTTAAACAAAGATAATTTTCAATGAGTTTCTTAATTCTGAAAGAATTAGATTTTCACTGAATTGATATTTGAAACAAATGGACTAAAAATTTTACCGATAGTCTTAATTTTGATGAATTCTTTTTGTGCTGTGTTGAGTGTGTTCAATATGCTTTTTATACTTTTGTAGACACTGAGTCCCTAGCAGATACCGATAATAATTTCACATCAGAGATTGCAGACAAGTATTTTCTCAAGGCAAAACTTGATAACAAAAATGCACGTAAGCGTTAAAGATAAAACTTTTCATGAAATTGATATAAATTTGTATTCAAAATAGGTTTTGTTGTTCAAATTGATAGAAGTTTACAACGGCTAATTTTTCCAATTATGGTTGGATGAACGAAAATGTGCAAATTATGCAGTTTCAGTTGGTAGCTGAAAAAAAAAATTTTGAATGGTTTTGATTTTTCATTGGACTTGATATTTGAAACAAATGTAAAAAAATTGTTTACCGATGGTTTTGTTTTTGATGCATAGACCCCTCATTTTTGTTCAAGTACTCGACTGCAGACATTCTGGCACTAAAAACATAAAGAAACTGTAAGCACTGTTTATTTTAATATCTTTAGCTCCCAAATATTGAAATTTCCATTTGCATTTGAGTAGCCATTTCAAACTACTTTTTCTTGGTAGGTTTTCGCAAAGAAAATGGGAAATTTCGCCTTCTTCCGAATATGTATTTTTTCCAATTTTTTGATGTTTTTTGCTTGTAAAGTCTTTTTTCTATGGCTTTAGAAGATATTTAATTTAGCAACTGTTAATGTGAGTTCTTGATTAATTTCTTCAAAGCAAAAGCTGAAAAGCGATGTTGTACGTGTGCATGAAAACCGAGCTCCCAAGATGACATTTGAGTTTTTAAAATACAATTCAATACCAATAGTTTGAAAAATCAAACTCGAGAACCATTTTATTTTGAGTGCCATTTTTGAAAGCTATTTTTTGAATAGTTATTTTAAAAATTTTTTTCCTAGATTTGCCCAAAATTAATGAACAATTTCACCTTCTGATTTTTTTCAATTTTTGTGCAGTTTTTTCCCGCTGTAGTAGTTCACTACATTTCTGTAATATGCCCTAATCAATTTTCTAGCAGATACTGGCAAAATTATTACAAAAATTGCTGAAAAATACTTTACCGGGACAAAAATCAAGTTGGTAAACAAAGAGCAAGTGCGTAGAAACATCAACACTTTTTAGAAAAATTTTGATGACATTTGATAAAGTTTTCAGTAAGGGTAGGTTAAAAGTATCTTTCAAAAACATTAATTGTCTAAGGAACCAGAAATATACAACCACTAGTTGCTCCAACTAGCGTTGACTATTGAGGAATAGTTTAAATATGCAAAATTAGTTATTTACTTGAGATGCAATTTTAACACATCTTGAGTTTGCTTGAGATGCAATTTATACACATCTTGAGTAAAAGTTCTAAATGCTTTGAGGGACCTTGCAAGGTTTCCATTCTCAACTGCGCATGAGGAAAAAAAAACTTGTTTTTGGTTTGCAGGTATCTTGCAAGATGTGAATTCAAAGTACACTATAAAATTTAGTGATCAGCCTTATATTAACAATCAAAATTTCATCATCAGGTTTTCTAACACAAAAACTTTTTCCGATGTTTTAGGCGCTGACTACTTCAATACAGATGAGTTCCAATAGTACGTTACAGCTAATTTTAAGGCTTTTTTAGTGAAAACTTTTTTCTATAAAAGGTTTTTATAGTGCTGAGTTTTAAACGCTATTTTTTCCGTAAGAAAAAGTGGAATATTGGGAGCAAAAGATCCAAATATGTTGACTCAGTTCTTTGCCACTATGCTTCCTTACTTCAAATTTTCACGTTCAAAGGAACGCAAAATTAGGTAACATCCGTGCAAGTCAGCGCAAGGATTACATTCCAAACTGAACTTCAAAAACGCAAACTTCTGTAAGAATCTTTCATGTTTCACAATCCTTTGTAATTATTTTGCAAGTTTCCTATTTAATTACCCTTTTAATCGAGAAGTCAACTCGTAAGTTATTATGTAGCTTCTATTGAAAGGACGCCAACTGGGCAGTTTATTGTTGTTCATTTTTTTAGATCATCATTCTACAAATTTATTGATCAGGTGGTTTTGAGTTATAACTTAGGAGCCAGAACAGAACTTACAACCCTTTGAGCGTCTAATTTTGTTCAAAATTGTGTCAAATCCTTTTGGATTTTCCCAAACAATGCACATTTTGTGCTGTTTTATTTTACAGTTTTATTTCACAGCTTTTTATGCTTGAGGCATATTTCTAGCTTATACGCAGAAAAATCTACCTCCAAGATTGCTGATATATTTTTACCTATGACGTAAAATTGATGACAAAATTGCAAGTGCACTAGAAAATCACGGTTCATAGTAATTTTTGATGACATTTGATAAAGTTTTCAGTATAGGTGGGATACAATTGTAAATTAAAATTTTTAATTGTCCAAGTAACCAGAAGTTTTCAAACGCTAATTATTCCAATTAGAAGGAAAATTTTAGGAAAAAAAAGGCCCAAATGTGCAAATGTATTTGTTTGCTTCAGTTGCATTTTCACACGTCTTGTAACTGGTTGAATGGTATAGGGAAAACAAAATGGTGCAAGGACCTCGTAAGGTTTTTACTCCACGCTGGGCATCAGAAATTGTTTTTGTTTTGTTAATTGCGCTTATCTTGCAAGAGGTGAGCTCAAAGTAGAATGTAGAATTGAGTGCATTTCAACTATTAACTTGTATTGATGAGAAACCAAAGGAAACAGTAAAACATTTCCATGGTTTTTGTGTCAAATCTAATTAATCATAATTTTTCACTCAACGCAAGTTGATATATGAAAAAAAATGGATTGAAATTTCTCACTGATAGGCTTTACTTTGATGCAGAGTACCATCACTTTTGTTCGACATTTCATCTGCAGACTTTCTGGTACGAAAGTTTTTGATGTGTTAGATACTGTCTGTTTCAAAACATATAAATGCAGATAGTTTGGGACAGCTAACTTCGAGGACCAGCGTATAGGGAAAATTTCGAGAGTTTTTTGCACATTGTGGAGTTAAATTTTTAACGCTAAAATTTCTTAAAAGAAGTGGACTAGTGGGAGGAAAGGTCAAGTATGCAGCATCAGTTGTTTGCTCAAAGTTTTCTTATTTTAAAAATCCATTCTGAAAATTGCTAACTTTTTTATTACATTTCTTTGAAAGTGTTTTGAAAGATTTCCAGTGGAGTTACACTTTGGAATCCAAATGTAAACTCGTAAGTCAATTTACACCATGTAGTTTCGATTGTAACCTCGCCAAGTGGTCAGTTTCACTTTTTTCACCTTTATAGATCATCTTCCTACATATTTTTGATGTTTATTTATGCGCAGGTGAATTAAATTTATAGTTGAAGGATGAGATCTTTTTGGTGCAATATTTTGTAAAACCTAAAAAAAACTAATATCTTTTTGAATTCAAGTTAATATTTGAAATTCATTACAATGGCCGAGCTGTGAACTGGATAGGCGCACATTTTTGTGTCTGTATGTTCCTGGATTCCTGAGACAAGTCTTTAAATATGTTCCAAAATGTAATTGGACTCAATCTACAAAAGTTCCGTGGACTCCGCGCACAAATATTTTAACGTAAATTTTGTCGGCATTTTAGTTTTGTTGTTGATTCCGCAACGAGCGAATGTAGATAGTTGTTCCAGGTTCCGCCAATGTAAGCGGATTCCGGAAAAGTAAGTGGATTCCGCAAATTTATAACGGGTTGCGCTTACACTTTGGGAAACCGGCTCAGAATTTGCTGATTCCGTTTACAATTTGCGGATTCCACTTACAGTTGCGGAATCGAGGAAAGCTTAAGTTTACTAAAGACATATATTATTATTTGTTCAAAGTGTTCTGGATTCCTCAAATTTTGTTTCGGATTCCGCAACGTTGCCCGTTTTTAGAGCAATTTTGAGTAATACAGTGTTTTAACTATTAGTCCGCAGAATCCAAAACAGCAAAGAAGATCATAGAAAAAGAGCAATGTTGCGGATTCCGCGATAAATCTGGTTTTGGCGTGTTGTGGATTTCGCTTACAATTCACAAAACGCACAGTTTAGTTTTGTAAGGTTAAATAGGTTGAATATTCCTACCGATAGCTTTGACTTTGGTGCAAAGAGCCTTGGTTTTCGTTAAAACCCTTGAGTGCAAAAATTTTGGCACTGAAAATCTACTGAAAACTTGAACATTCGATATTTTTATAGCAATTCTAGATGGCCATTTTTGGCCTTTTTGAAAGCTCTGGCTCCATTTTGCAAGATTCCTGCTAGACATTGCGATAATTTTTTTTCAACGATATTGCACGAATTCAATTTCTACTGAGGAATTGTTTCTGGACCTATGTGCCATTCTTGGTATGTTCCATGCATTTTATGGCTTTTGCAAGTTTCCACAGCAATTATCTAGCAAATATTTCTCTCACGTCAAGACCTAGAATGCAAAATTAAACGAGTGCGTTAATATGAAGGCAAAAAAAGATATTTTGAAGGTTTCTGAGAGATAATTAAAGTTATAGTTTGGAAAAAATTGATCGTTTAAGCAACCAAAAATATATACTGATAATTTTCTAGATAAAAAATTGGATAATGTTCAAGTTCGCACTTTCAAATGTTTGCTCCAAATGCAGATATTGAGCATCTTTGGTGTTCGGTAAAAGTTCTGAGATGTTCGGTAAAAGTTCTTCGCGTTAAGAAAAAGAAAACTAAGATTCGCAATTAAGTATACGAGCTCACTGCTCAACTCGTAGTCCAATCAACATAAACATACATTTTTTCAAATCAAAGTTTGCAGAGTGGAATTTTTTTTGGTTCCGTTAATTATCTCCAAAATTTACATGTTTTCAATGCTAATTTTGGTGAAAACTGACTCAATTGCTAATTGATTGAAAAGTTTGTTCGAAACCTTAATCAACTTTTATTTTCAAGGATTTTGTCTAATACAAAAAGTTTTGCTTTTTTATGCAGTCAACTTGCATTCTGAAATAAATTGGATTACAAATTCTTACCGATTGCTGTGACTTTGATGCAGAGAACCTTCCGTTTTGTTCGAGTACTCGAGTGGGGACAGTCTGTTAAGGAAAAGAGAGTGAAATAACGGAAACTGACTATGAAATTGAAAAAACGCTAATATTTTGTAGCATCTAATCGAGATTTTGCTAGAAAAGTTGTTTAAGTAATACAATGATCTTAAAATAGATTTGATCTCTGTACTTCACGACAGACTGCAGGGCTTTGCATAGGCAACTTACTCATGGGAACCATAACTTAAGACCATGGGAACCATAAAAGGGAACCATAACAGACTTGAGAACCATAAAAGATAAAATAGCATAAACATTTGAAGATTGAAATGAAGAACAACTACATATTACATTTCACGATAAAAAACTAACTAAAATATTTCATGGTAAATTTATCAAAAATTTGATTGTAAATGAGCACAACAAAAAAAACTGTGTCAGTTTTTATTACAGTTTTTGCTTAAGAAAAAGTGAAAAAGAATAAATAGTCATGCATCTGCCACCATAAATAGTCATATCATGAGTTTTTGGACAATTTTATTCCAGGAAACTATCAACTGTTTAAAATCATTTTTGAGTAGGATTAGTATTTAAAAAAAAGATTTGCTGTCAAGGATAGGTATACTGCTGAAATTTTCCCCTTTTTTGCTTCAAATTTTTTCCTCTTTAAATCATTAAATCTTTTTTTTACGATTTCTTGATTAACTATCGCTATTAAAGAATAACAGAAGTCATAGTAGGATCAGAGGCGCCTGAAAACGGGCTGCATAATTCCACGGCGTTCTCGCAATGAGATTTAGTTTGGTTGTAAATGTAGTAACTTTTACAATGAATGGAATCTAATTTGCAAACAATTTATTCTGATTATTTTTATTATTATTATACCAAAATGTTCTCCAAGTTCTTTCAGAATCACGACATGAAATGACTTCCAGAATTGCAATCTTACTAACATAAAAAGCACGCAATAGCACGTAAACAAAAGCCAGTAGAAGTTTAGGCTATTTTACACAACCCCACTTATTCCTTTACATATGCTTTAATAACATGAGACAAAAAAATCAACCGTATTTTATTATGCATATGACATTTCTGATTGCTAGAGAACAATCGAAGTATATCAAACTATCGAAAAAACCGCAAAAGATTAGGGCATTTGATGAACTCAAATAAGCTACTGTTGAATTAAAAAATAGTTATATGCCGACTTTTGTACCTCGCAAGCATCACAGCTTCGTTCCTGAAAATGAACCCCATTCAGTTTTTTGGATCTACTTAACAATTTCCCTCCTTTTGGTACATACTTAAAAATTGCCACCCCTATTAATAAAAGCAGTAAGTTAGCGCTAGAGCTTTATATTGGTACTTCTAATTTTGCTGTTGCTGCAAAATGCGTTTTAATAATCCACTTAACAATTGCCCCCTTTCTTAAAAGAAAGGGGGTAATTGTTAAGTAGATCCAGTTTTTTAAAAGACTATAAGTTAAAAGTCAGATTATTATGCTAAGCTTCATTTCATATTACATGTACAGTAGAATATCATCGCAAAAACTGCCAAATTTTCCCGACAAAGAATGATTTTGAGCTTTTACGATCCATAAAAACCAAAGCTCGGAAGACCTTTTTGCTTGTGAATGTTTCGATCACTCTTCGCTTAGGGAAAAATGTAAATTCTTAAGACATGCTTTTTACAAACTGGATTTTGACTTGACATATCTTTCTTGCTATCAATTCATTATGTTCACTGTTTAAGAGTTACGTATTTACGATTTTCTTAAAAATCTGTTCTTGCATGTGTTAACAAGTTGAATACTCTTTTTTTCTCCAAATTTATCACCTAAGTTTTCCCAAAACCAGATTGACTAACAAAACGATAATTCTCAAGGTATAACATTTTGGTTGACAAAAATGAGCCAAAATGTCTTTTATTCAGGGTAAAAATTTGGTTCCACATTTGGTAATCACCACCACATTATTCGAGTTTCAAATCAAAGCTAAAATATTTTCCTCATAATCCTCATAAGTGTTTTCAGTTGAGAAAAAATGAGAAATTATCCAATTTTTCCTTTTTGTCCGGATAATTTAAATGACTACTGTATATTTTAGAAAAAACCTTGATTTTTCTCCTACTTTCAGAGGCGGATTTATGGGGGGGGGGCGGGGGGACACTCTTCTTCCTTCAGGGATTCGACCCCCTGCCGACCCAAAGGGTCCCTCCCCCTTTGGTACTTTTTAAGAATTCCATTTTTGGCCGATCAACTCTGAAATTTTTCTGAAGGCGCCTTTGGCGCCAATATATATTTACTTTGAGGGGGAGCGCGCGCCAAAAAAAAAAAACGGCTTTTTTTGACCTTTTTTTTCAAATATTTGCCTCTAGGAGAGCTCGGAAAATCAATTCAGCCGATCTAAAAAAAATATCGTCAAAATTTTTGAAAATATTTTGAAAATCCGCTCCCCCCCCCCTCGAGAAAATCTTAGATCCACCCCTGCCCACTTTATGTATTTACATTAAACAATCTACAACTTTTTCCAATCATAAAAGCAAAATACCGAAGTTTTGAAACGTATTGGTTCCAACAATTTTTCAGTAACTTTTGTTTTTATTTCAAAATTCCTAGAAATTTAAAAAAAAATCAGATTAGTTGAACACAAACTTACACGTAAGCAGGGTCGTTGTAGCCGTAAGGTACACCATAATCGCTCTGCAGAGTCGGTTGGTTGGTCTGAGAAGATCTAGAAGTAATAAAGATTAATAGCTTCAATCAAATGGACGAAAATAAAAATGCTTGTATTAGAGCAAAACATTGACTAATCGACTGCCCTTCAATTGCTCTAAAACAGTTTTTAGAACGAAAAAAATTATAAAATTTTTTTAATAAAAAACATAAAATTTGATTTTTTGAACTTTATATGCTTTTTATCCCCATGCGGCTATTGTCAATCTGGCATAAAATCCCTACGGATAAATTTTTTGGCGGTACACTTTCAGCATCATAGATAAATTCTTGAAATCGCGCATAAATTTGTCTAATATGATAAAATTTGGCAAATTGACAATTTCAAAACTTCTAGAACGGAACATTAAAAAATGAGGATAAAAGTCTTCTTGAAGTTGAACTCAAAAAATTGATATAATAATGGGGGGACAAACAAGTTTTGTTGTTGAAAATTATGATTTCGATCTAAAAAAATTGTCCGAATAATAAAATCATTATCCCCATGCATTTACATTCTTTTCAAAACAACAATAAAAATCGGTAAATACAATTATTTACAATAAGACTGCTCGTATCAGGGCATGACATAAATGTTACGGCTGTTTAGAGTGTTTGAAACATAGTTGGCTTTAAAACCTAATAAAGGATCATAAAAAATTATTGTAAAATTTGGAACTTTTTGTGAAATTTTTCCGCTAAATTCAATGAAAGTAAAAAAAAACTAAATTCTGATTCTTTTAATTTAATATTTGGATCAAATTAGGTGATTGTTTGTAGCTTCTTTGCTTGTCTTTCGCTTTTTTGCCTGCACGAGCTTTCACAAGAAAAAGATTTTTTTTAAATTGAGCAACAGTATCGGCAACTTTCGGATTGTATAATTTTTTTCGTATATTTATTAATTTCGGAGGTGTTTATGTGAAAAAATTTTGTTACCTTTCACATTCATTTTTTTGCAGATCTCTATTTAGTTTTTTTTCGAACTCGGTTTTGAATTCAATTGGCAGTTGGTTGATAATGTTAATTCAGGTTGCAAGAAGGTAACAAAAATGGCTGCTTCTCCAGAAGTAGAATTTGTAAGTGGAAAATTTGTAAGTGGAATTTTTCATGAAAAAAACTGTTCATTTTTGATGTACTGGTAAGCTAACTTTTTTGATATTTCTGCGCTGTTGCAAACTCCGGTTTCTCTTGTTCAGTTAGATGTACTGATCTTTTTCAAGCTATTTAAGATTTTCAAAGGAAGTTTGCACGTAACTGAAGGTCGTTTTCTAAAAAATCTTTTGATATGTTTCAGAAAATTTTTTTCGGTATCGAGAAAAAGTTTTGGCCGTTGCTTTGACAAAATTACTACCAAGAAAAAGTCCCAATAAATTTTACTCTAATTTCTAAAGCAGTATGATTTCATTTTTCAAAAAATTACTGAGATGTTTTTGTATTATGGTTTCTTTAAACGCATCCAAAGATCGTTTAAAGAAAATCAACTCAAATGGACAGTTAGTGAAAGGTAAACTAATTGTTATCTTTTTAGAAGTTTTGGGATTATTACCCAGCAACGAAGAACTTTTATTCATTTTGAGCTAAGCTTTTGTGAAAATTTTTATGGCATCAACACAATTTTATAATCTGCTTTGCCCTATCAGTCACGACGTGCTTTTTAGTCGTTTCAGAGTTTCCGACTTTGCAATTTTTGTTTTGTTTTGAGTGGTTATGAGTGTTTTTAGAATAAGCAGCATATATTTTTGAACCGCGAGTGATGTGAAGCTTTGAGTTTTCTCAGTGTTCAAAAATATGTTTTCTTCTTTTAAAAGAACTTTCGATTATTTTGCATTACAAACAATTGACACACAATTGAACAATTAACTTCAAAAAAATGTGAAAAAAAATTGAGTTTTGCTGTTTTTGAAATGAAGTTTTTTTACCTGCAGCGAGCATTGGTCAGAAGTAGAACTACCAGTGACAATAACAAAATAATCACGACAGCTGCAATGACGCTGATGATAAGAATAATCACACCTTGTGCTAAAACCCCATTGTCGTTGGGAGCTAAAATAATCAGAGTAAAAGATATTGGATCTATTTAACAATTGCCCCATGGTATGTAATAAAAAATCTCCACCCCTTTAATTAAAACGAATACGGTAAATTAGCACTAGAGCTTGTTTTGAGAATGCGAATTTTTCTGCATTCTGATTGGCCAAAAAATCGACCAATTTGATCTACTTAAGAATCTTCCCACGCCCCTTTCATGAGAAGGGGGATTGTTAAGTAGATCTAAGATATTTGCTTTTCATGCATTTTCTTTCAAGTAAGAAGATTTTGCTTAATGCATTTTTGAGTTGCAACATTTATATAGAGTGGCACTCTTCTTAAAATAAAACTGATCAAGCTGTCAAGATTCGAAAATTTTTGGCCTCGTGAAACACTAAACAAGTACATCGTAATTTCAGATACAGTTGGGAGAAGATCGTCAGTTTAATCTTTTACATAACTATGCTAAATAAGGCCGAAAATTTAAAATGCCGTTGTTTTCTCACAGCAAAATCACCGACTACAAATAAACACCTGATAGGGTTGAGTGGAATTTATTTTTAAAGATTGTCAGTCGTGATTTGAATTTGCACTTAAAAATATTCTGTTTCGTGAAAAAACCGAAACTTAGCTTTTCTAATTATTTCGCATGAAGACAGGTAAATTGCAAATGTTGAATAAGTAAAAAAAAATTCAAAATCCTGAAAATGAAGAGGTGGCTGAATTGTTTTTGGCTGAATTTTCTGTGCGCCGTATAAACCCCACGAGTAATGTATAAATGCAATTGACCCCTCGTTTTGTCGTGCAGCTGTTCACGTTGACCTCCCCGCTATCAGATTCAAGCGTTAATAATCGATTATAATACGATTTTAGTACCAGTCTTACTAAAATTGAGAAACTATCGATTTTCATCAATTAATAATAGATTTATAATCTCTCTTTTTAAAATTAAATTATAATTAAATATAATACATTATAGTTTATTACAATCGATTATTTATTAGTCTATATTTCGATAAAATTATAATGATTTATAATTGATTATAATCCATTAGTTTAAATCAAAAACATAATTCATTAGTTTTGCTCAAAAATCCGATATAAACAATTGTAATTGATTATAACCATTTTGTTTGTCCATTTTTTCTTCGAAGTTGCATCTAAATTGCTTATATTTTATGTTTTTTTGTAGAAGTTGGTTCCTATGAAAAATGAGAATTTAAAAAAAAGTTTTCCAATCAATTCAAATTTATAAGGTTTTTTTTTCATTTCTTCCCCAATAATTCGAATGTTTTATAAATCAACAAAATTTTGGCAAAATAAGAGCTTATCATCGATTATAATCGATTATAATTGATTTTAGGGTTTTTTTGTAAGATTTATAATCAGTTATAAGCGATTGGTATGGTAATTTTGGTAATTATAATCAACTCAAATTATAATAAGTCAAAAAATCATCATAATAATCCGTTATAAGCGATTTTTTACGCCCAAACTTGGATGCGGGTCTCACTATAAATTTTGATTATTTCGCTGTTTTTGTTCACCACTTCCGCTGCTATTTGAATTTTAACTTCGAAAATTTAAAACAACGTGTTGTCGGATTTGCACTAAATTTTAGTGATAATATCCTGTGCAGCTACAATGATCAATCAAAAAATAGGCAACGGAGGAGGAGGGGGGGGGGGGGTGGGGTGGTGGGGTGGTGAAAACGAGTCAGTTTTCCTTAAAAATTGCATTTATGCTCACCTGAAGGTGTAGAAAACTCGAAAGTAAAGATTTGGGGCATCGCTTCCCCAAATAAGGATGGCTGCACCTGTAGCGAATAATCGCTGCTTTCCATCAGATTTTTTAAAATATAGCTGCATACATTTGAATCCAAAATACATTGTGATCCTTCCATTGTCATTTCTTGAACCATTTCGGGAGCCTCATCTGAAGATCCCTTCTTCCAGAACAGCTTTGGTGAGAAAAAAAAATTGGTATAAAACACATATACAACTTAGCTCGTTAAATTTTCTAATTTAAATATGGACAAAAAGAAATAGATTTTACTTCGAGCACCTGAAAATAAGGATTTTCTCAAGAGGGGGAGGGGATTTTCAAAAAATTTTGTCGGCTTTTTTTAGGTTGACCAAATTGATTTCCGGATCTCTCCTAAATCACTATAAAGACCCCATTTTGACCAAATTTTCAGCGCCGCAGGCAAAATTTAAAAAAAAACAGGCCAAAAAGGCGTTGATAGGCAATTTTTTGAAAATTTTGACGAAAAAATTGCGTATATTCGGCTCACGCTTCCCCCTCAAAATAAGTATATAATGGCGCCAAAGGCGACATTTTAGAAAAGTTTTAGATTCCGTCACCAAAAATGGATATCACAAAATAGTACAAAGGGGGCCGGCAGGGGGTCGATTTCCTGAGGAAGGGGGCGTCGTATAGAGTCCTACCCTCTAATGGCAAGCTCGCAACACCCTGGCGCGACTGCGAGGGTCACTATTTTGCTCTTCAAAAGTATGTGTATTTGTTATGCAGCGCCATTTATTAAGATAAAAAAATAAACACAAATGGTTTGCCTAATATTAGCGCTTAAATTTTCGCTTCAAGTAGTTTTCGCCTAATAAAGCCCCGCCCTTATTTTAGAGGAAGATTGGCTTATGTCATCTTTGAAAGCTAAAACATAAGACTTGCATCTCGGCCAAGTCTGCTACTAACATTGGCTTCGAAGCTGAACTTGTCACGGTAGAATAGTTGATTGTCCTTCACAGTCAGAGCACATTCGAATGGTTCGCAGTCAATGTCCATATGAATGGCGAAGTTGATAGCTGCAACAAACATTTTTTCCAAAAACAACTTGTGATTGTTATCTGCGATTAGAAAGCGAAGTATTGAGTGTTAATACTATGTATTGATGAAAATCGCATGTACTAGTTTAAATTTTTGATTTTAGAACAAAATTTGGACCGAAAAAAAATAAAAATTGCCAATTAACCCACGAAAGGGTTGCTTTTTCTTTTGAGTGAAAGTTTTATACGAACCAGGAGTTAATGTGAAGTCGAGTTTGTTCATATTAGCAGCTGTTTTCAGGCCACTTGCAAGATGTTCTTTGGAAAAGAGGAGTTCCAGTGTAATTTTATCGTCAGTGTAGTTTTGAGAGTAGTGAAGACACGTCAGTCCAATGCCATGCTGCCAAACAGTTTTTTAAACCATGAAAAAATAGAAACAAGAAAAAATGTTGTCTAGGAAAAAATATAGAAATTTAAAGCACTGATCACAAAAAAGCCCTGAATGTTCCGACTGCCTTTTAAGGTTTATCGAGCAGTAGTAACATTTTTAAATGTTAAATGTAATGAAATAAAATGAAAAAAAAATTTTTTTTCTAAAATTTGAAGTTTTTTTTATGACATTATCCCCCCACACGCCATATAAAGTTTAAAAGAATAGATTTTGCTCATTGTAACAAATCAATTATGCCAAAAAAGCTTCTTTTAACCAATTTGGAATGATTTCAAGACGGATTAAATATCCGCTTACGCGTTAATAGCGCGAAATATATCGAGCGTTAATTGTCCCAAATTGGCCAAAATGGCAATCTTTAAACCCCCATAACTTTACGAAAAATGATCAAAGGTGAAATATCTTTTCAAATTTAAGCTCAGGACAACAATACCTTTTGAATGATTAATTTTTTTTGTCAAAAATGGCTAGTTAAAAAGTCGAAATTTGTCTGAAGAAAAAAAACCCACCCCGAGCACAAATATTCCGTCACTTTCGTATCGAAAGTCGGAACAATAAATATAAAAATTGCTTCCGGTTATTCGGGAATGAAAAAATATCTCTATGAGTAGCGTAAAAATATGTCATCTTCGCCCTAGCAGAAGAGGGAGGGAGAGGGAGAGGGATGATGGCTAAATAACCAAGTCACAAACCGCAAATTGATGTAGAAAAATTTGACCCCTAATAGACATGCAGATATTTTGAAACTCAAATAGAACATTTATTAACGGTAGCCTGACCAATTTAGTAGTTTTACCTTGAATAAAAATGTTATTCAACTGATCAAAGATTGAGATGCACTTTTGTCATCAGTTTTTTTTTATGTTCATACTGAAAATCAACAACCAAAATAGCAAATCTCACGATTTTGAGCGTTATATCAAATTGTAATCCATAAAATTGTCATTCAAACTGCCCAAGTTTCAAAAAAGTTTTTGTTTTCAGGTTCAGACAGTACGGGCTGAATATTTTTGCTTTTCTGGTCAGAGCTGAAAATGAAAAAGAATCTTTCATGGTCAATTTTTTTTAAAATATGTATACTTTTTGTCTTTGTACGCTATTTTATAAAAAGTTTTTCGTAAAAGAAATGGAAATAAAAAAATCAACTAAAACACTTTTCATATTTTTCTCTTTTTGTTGAAATCTAAGTGTGGCCGAAATAATTTTTTTTTCATTTTGCCGAGTTTTGTTCATTTTGCCGAACAGTTAGAGTGATTAACCATAGATATGAATAATTTACATCTTCACCTGCGTGGTAGATGCCGTAAAGTAGCAAAACTTTTGCAAAACTACCCCACTTTAAGGTACTTAATAACATCTTAAGGTACTTCCCGATAAAGAAATAGTTGAAAACTGCCAGTTGCTAAAAATTAATGACCCGGATTCTTTTTAACGCAAGACGAGGTTTTGTTTTTGTGTTAAAACTTTCATCGTTTTTTGAAAAATAAAAAGTTTCTTTAGATGCTTAAATTACCCTAAATTACATTAAAGTTTCAAGTAAATTCAATTTAAAGCATCTTAAGAAACTAAAGTACATTTCCACTACTTTAAGTACACCTTAATTTACGTATAAACCCTTTAAAGTTTTACTTAAATCACCTTTAAAGTTAAGGTGTATCTGCCTTAAAATAACCCGTGTGGTAAAAATGCCTATTTCATATTATGCAACATCATACAATTTCATATTATGAAAAAAAAGCTTGTCATACAATTTCATACTATTTTATGTATCAAAAAATTAGCATGACATTAGCATGATAAGCATTTCTTCCATACTACAAAATTTTATAATAAACGTTTTTAATAAACAAGTAGTTACATTTTGAAGAAAAAAAGAAGCTTTTTGCCATTGTATGATAATCATTTCTTCCATTCTATGAAATTGTCTGACAAGCCTTTTTTCCATAACTTTTTTGTTTTAAGATTTTGTGCTTTGTGCTAAACAGACTGACTAACTGTGAAATTTTCGGTGTTTGAGAAAAGAGGTCTGTTTTTGCAAATTTTTGTTTACCTTGCCATATGAAAACGAAAAATTTTTTTGTGGGTGAAAAACTCAAAATGGATTACGTTATACACGCAAAAAGTCAAAAATTTCATGCAAAGTTTTTTTTTCATAAAATCTATATTCGAGCACAGAAGCAAGTTTTTAAACAAAAAATGAAATAAAAATTTTTACCTCAAATTTGAATTTTTTTAAACGAAAAAATGAATATCATACAATTTTCATGTATGCAATTGTATAATAAGCATTATTTTGCTCAATTTTTTTCCCCAAAGTTGCTCTCAAGTAATCAAAACCGCTACCAATTTGTTTTGTTTGAGTGTTAAGCCAATTTAGGATACTATTTGAAAAAAAAAATTCCATTGAAAAAATGCTCTTCATACAATTTTCTATTATGAAATTTGTATAATAAACTGTGTTTTTCAATAGGCTCCATACATGAAATTGTACATTGGATAATTTTTTGAATGGTCGTCAACCGCGCACCTTAAGTTACTTTATAGGTAAATTTACCTTAAAAATGTACCTTAAAAAGTAGGTAATTTATCTATACTTACCTTAATATTAGAGCATTTTTACCTTATTTCTTACCACTAAAATAACAAAAAATAAGAAAAGTTAAACTAAGGTAAAATAACCTTAATTCACTTCATTTTAAAAAAGTTTACCTCAATTTTTTATTTTTTTTGGAAAAGTTAAGGTAATTATACCCAGGGGCTGATCGAGGATTTTCTCGAGGAGGACGGGGGGGGGATTTCCAATCTTTTCCAAATTTTTTTGCCTTTTTTTAGGTCGACCAAATTGATGTTCTGAGTTCTCCTCTCCTGAATCACTATAAAGACCCCATTTTGATCAAACTTTCTTCTGCGCCGCACGAAATTAGGCATTTTTTGGTTTTCTCTTTTAAGGGCACTTGTGTTTTTAGGCATTTTTTGAAGATGTTCCCCCCTAAATCCGCTGGTGATTATACTTTTGACGTCAAGGTAAATTTAGGTAAATTGCCTACCTTTTTAGGGTAAATTTTTTATGTTAAATTTCGCTAAAAAAATAGTTCCAGGGTATTTTGTAAGGCTGATACACCTTAACTTTTAAGGTAATTTCAAGTAAGATTTCAAGATGTCTATAAGTAAGTCAAGGCGACTTAAGGTAGTGCAAGTTTAACTTATTTGTTAAGATGTCCTAAGGCATTTTCTAAGTAAGTTTACTTTTTACTTTTTTTGAGAGTGTAAAGCTCAGGAAACTTTCTAATTGATACAGCTAATGTGGCTTGGCCCTAATATGAGCAGTCATGTGTACTTTTACAGTGAGTTACTAATTTAAATGGTAGCCAGCTAAATGTCACTGATAACTATCCATTCACACCCAGCCATATTGAGATATTCTGGTGAGCGCTGATATTCAGACTATAGATGTGCGTTTTGCAATAAGAGATAAAAAGAGGATCGGTTTCAGCAAAAGTTGATCTCTTAAACAATCCTTGCGTTTTAAGGGCACTTATGTTTTTAGGCATTTTGTGGGAAATTTTCACCCCTAAAGTCTCTGGTGATTACACCTTTGATGTCAAGGTAAATATAGGTAAATTGCCTACTTTTTTAAGGTAAATTTTCTACGTTAAATTCGCTATAAAAAAGTTCTAAGGTATTTTGTAAGCCTGATACACCCTAACTTTTAAGGTAATTTGAGGTAAGTTTGCAAGATGTCTATAGGTAAGTTAAGGCGACTTAAGGTAGTGCAAATTTACCTTATTTGTTAAGATGTCTTAAGGCATTTTTTAAGTAAATTTACTTTTTACTTTTTTTGATTGTGCAAAGCTCAGGAATTTTTCTAATTGATACAGCTAAATTGGCTTGGCCCTAATATGAGCAGTCATGTGTACTTTACAGTGAATTTTTAATTTAAGTGGTAACAAGCTAAATGTCACTGCTAACTATCCATTCACACCCAGCCATAATGAGATATTCTGGAGCGCTGATATTCAGACTATAGATGTGCGTTTTGCAATAAGATATAAAAAGGGGATCGGTTTCAGCAAAACTGATCTCTTAAACAATCCTCTCGCCCACACTTATTCCTCGTGATGGATCAATATAAATAAAATTTTTGTAGGCAGAAAAATCAATAAGTATATTCATAACCGAGTACAGGGGTGAATCTGGGTATTTTTCGAGGGGAAGGCGGATTTTCGAAAAACTTTTGTGGTCCTTTTTTTAAGTCGACCTAAATGATTTTCTGAGTTCTCCCAGATCACTATTTTTGGACCCATTTTAACAAAATTTGGGCCCAAAAGAGCGTTTATAGTAAAAAGGCGTTATCTCAAAATATTGCAAAGGAGGGACCCTTTGGGTTGGCAGTGGGGTCGAATCCCTGAGAAGGGACGCCCCTCCCCCCTAAAACCGCTGGGGATTGTGTATAATTGAATTCTGAACAATAAAACTTGCAAGTTTTAGTTCAAAAGTGGCGAGGTACATGAGCTTCGAATAAAAAATTTCAAAGGTGAAGGGAGTTGTTTTAGTTTTTTCATTGGTCGTATTAGCATCAATCATAAGAAACAAACCCATTTTGTCGTTGCAATTAGCAACTGTAAGCAAATATTTATAGCATTTAGGACAATTGCTTCTAGAACCCAAGCAAACATAAACCTAATAACAAAATTAACCGGTTACTGTGCAAGTAGCACAGAATGTTCCGACCAGTCTTTCAAAACAACAAAAAGTTCTTTTTTTTTCAAATTAGTGTATTTTTTTTCTATAGAAGTATGATAGAAGGATCTGATCCAAAACTATAATTTAGGCATCTTCGACAGTCATAGTAATATGGACCAATTGGACAAAAATGTTTGTAGAGAAATGACTGAAAACAAAAAAAAAATTAAAATTCAACTATTTTTTAAAATTTTTTTTGCAGAAAATGTTTGAAAATTTTGGTTCTCAAAATGGAATTAAAAAAACTCCGAAAATTAATTTCACTTGCTTACAACTAAGTTTTTAGGCAATAATTTTTTTGCTTCAGTTAAGCTGTTGTAAGCCTGCTCGCTCGCTTTATTCGCTCGAAATAAGACGAAAAATCAAAAAATTCAAACCAATTTTTCTCGACTCTGGAGAATTTTTTAGGGTGGTTCAAATCATTAATGTAAAGGCTTGGATCCGATATGTCACACAGCCCAGCCCGATGAATATTTGTGGTACCTGACGTTGCGTGGAAAACAAAAAAAAAACTAAAACACCCGAATACAAAGTTCCTCCCCATTTTCAATAGTCGGTTGAAGTCTGGCTGACAATCACCTCTTAAGACAATGAACAAGTACATTTGATTCCACGTATAATTCCTACTTGTTTAATCATCAGACTTCTAAATGTTAATCTATAATTTAGTGGTTACACAATTCATCAATAATGTATAAAATACCATTCGGTTATTTAAGCATAGTCCGTTGCTAGTGGATAATCTTTCATATATGGGTCACACAGGTTAATGATAATTGAGCTAAAGTTTCCACTTATAATTTAATGGAGAAAGAACTTTCATTTTTATCTTTTTCATCCCAAGAACTAACTACATCAGAAAAAATAAAGGGCAAACGTGACATTCAAGTGTTTTTCCTGATTTGATCATCCGTGTGGCATTTTGATTTGCACATTGTATTTTACAAAAAACACTCGTATTTTTTTAGTTTGCAATTTGAATTGTCATTTAGTACAAAACCTGGAACAGATATATTACAAATCTAAACTATCACCAATCATTATATACCCATTTGAATTAACTTGGAATATATCATTGGAATATTCTACAGCACATCAACTTCTGAAAAACAAGTTGAATAAATGGCTTTTAAAAATACAAAAACTGCTTATCTCAGGGAAAAATTTTGAATGATCTGACCAGCTTATCTGTGTCTGAAACAGTTAAAAAAACTCAAAAACTGGAAATATCAATTTTTTAAATCCGCCCCCAAGCGTTCTTCCAAGTACAAAATTATATTTTAAGCGCCTATTTGGACCTTTTGAGTAATTCTAGTGCAATATTTGGGTTTATTGTTTTACCTCATTACAATTGCGAACGAACTGCGAGCGGTATATTTCGCCGCCTATTGGAAATTTCGGGAGAATAATTTGAATTATCATGTTAACCAAATTGGCATTTTTCAAACCCCGCATGTTTGTAGATTAGCTTATGAGACATATATATCGGTATCGGCTTTCATCCCTTAATGAACCTCTGCGTCCAGACAATGTTTGCTGTCATAATATGTTACCACTAAATTTACATGCGAGAAATGAAGTTCTGGATTTTTTAAAATTGCTAAAAAACGTTTTCAAGAAACAAGTTTTTTTAGAAAATGTCTTTGGCGCAAAAGATATGCAGACGAGTGAAAATTATGCATTGCAACGAGCTGCAATAGATAACCAGGCGATGTTACCTGACGCAGCGTCGGCCGTTCTTGAAAACATCTATATGGATAACCAGTCAAACTCCTTCGAAAGTATGGAAAGTGCGAATAAGTTAAGCCACGAATTGTCTGATTATAAATGATACATGGCGTAAAATTAACTAAGTTCATAAATAACATTTCTAAAACAAATAATATGTATGCTCGAAACGACAACACTAAGTGGAAGCAAAGACATTTCAAGGTTGAGGACACAACTTGAAATTTCTTTGCTTCCGCTTAGAGTTGTATTTTTGAGCTGGCTTTACTTATTATTTGTCTTAGAAACCTTACTTATGAACGAGGTTAACTTTAAGCCATGTATCATTTTTAATCGGTCATTTCGTGGCTTAATTTATTTGCGCTCTATTTCGGTCTCAAATGGGAGAGCACCGTGATAACACCTGGGTTGTAAGCAAAACGTGGTGTTAACCAAAATCTCGAAAACTGAAAAACACAATGGACTGCGTTAGGTTTCATATCGTTCGTTTTCGACTCATAGGTCTCGTAGCACCCTACTACGTACGAGCGCGACTACTCTTACTTAATGATGTACACATTGAAAACAAGTCGAGGTTTACCAAGTCTCGGCCAGGTGAAGATAAGGCGAAGTTATTTCATTGCACTCGAGAAATATGTTGAGTTACACGTGTGTTGAGAGAGCTCAGAAAAGTATTTTCCGCTTTAGTTTTTCCTCTTGCCCGTGTTAAACACTTGCAAAAAACACAAAAATAGTAATTGGCGAAGCAAAAATTGTATGAAAGCTTTCAACTCTGAAGCTTGAATTGCAAAGGCATTACTCGCTACCCGCTTGAAACAAGAAAAAATTTCAGCCAATTTTCAGGCCGAGTATAGAATAACTTAAGAGAACATAATTGTCTGTCCTGACATTGACCTCAATGAAGATGTAGAGCGAGGTGTTGGAGAAAACACAGACTACCTTGCTATATCCCTGGCACTATTTTAGTTCCTACGGTAAACTCCTGGTTGTTGTTGCGTGTATGCTCAGGTTGAGCTTTATACCAAACCAAAGTCAAGAAGATAGCAGATCTAGTTGAATTGGAAACATTAAAGCAACATCTTTTGTTGCTATAGCAAAAAAAATTGTTTGAAGCTGACTTCTCAACACTGTCTGGCAAAAAAAAACGTCAATAATTTTTCATCTTCAACATCAAAGACCATCTGCGCGCAGGCACCAATTAAAAGATCATCTGCGCGCACTTTTTCAATTTTCAATTGGATTTTTTGAAGTCAAAGTTGTTCTGTAGAAAGCGTGTAGCAAAAACTGTTTTGCCAATGATGGCAGAGCTTCCAGTTAAACAGCTTGGTTACGGTCAGTCACCTTTCACGAGTTGCAGCTTAAAATAAGATGGAGCCTTCAAAATCTCAATTTGAAGAAGTTTATAGAAGCGATGTTGCTTCTGATTTACCTATATGATCACAAAGCTGTACATATTGAGATTGTTTTGTCGATGGATACGAGCTCGTGTTTATTGGCGATCGAAAAATTCAGTGCTCTTCGCGGAACTCCGTCAGTCATTTGGTCTGATATTTGTATGAGTTTCGTGGGAGCCGAAAAAAACTCCTGCTGTAATCCGTCTAGGAACACGCAAGCACACGCACAGCTGGCCCACAGTTATCTCAGATGGAAATTCAACCGGAAGCTCCATGCCACGTTGGGTCATGGGAACCAACTGTTGACTGTTGTAAGCAATGCAAGACATATTTTATGCAATTTCAGGAAACGAAACTCAAGCATGAAGTTATTCAAACGACTTTCTGCCTTGTCCAACATTCACTGAAGTCTCGCCCAATAACATCAGCTAATGAAAGCCCAGATGGTTTCCAAATGTTACCTACCTAATTTGTTCTCTTAGGCCGACATTCTGCTAGCCTTATTTCGCTCTCCTTTGAGGATAATTAGGACCACCGTAAACGGTACGTCTGAGAATTACCAAAACGCAACATAGAGCCGTTGTCTTTGCGAGTATGTGCTAATTTTGATTAACTGCACAAAGTGAGACTCAGATGGTGAATTTTTCTTGAGAACCGGCAATTTTGTGTGATTTGTTGGCAAATGCAGTCCATTAATCTTTGGCTCGTATTAATCTCCCTAATAATGGAAAAGAACAAATTGCTCGATCATCCGTAGTTATAACCCGCACCAAGGAACTAACGCGACCGACCGTTAAACTTGCCGCGTTTTTTCTTCGTCGGGTGCCGAAGTTGTTCTCGCTAGATTTACTAGCGAGAATTTAAAATCGTGACTTTTTAAAATTACTCCACAACCTTGTGAAACTCCTGTTACTTTTTGACTTTAGATGACTCCGTATAATGTTATTGACAATTTTTGTTACTTGCTATGTTTTTATTGATTTTATTCATTCCGATGGTAACATTGATATTCAAGTTTTCGAATCGGATCAAAATCCCGTTGTTTTTGTCCTTTTTTACCGATAAAAAATAGGACTGAACAAATGCGATTCATCGCAATTTCTTAGTGTAACAAGAATTCCCGACTACTAGAGCTCGATCTGCCGAAGATGCCCCGGTAGACCATAAATTCGTCATGAAGGCAAATGATTTCTTGGAACAAAACTCAAACAAGAGGTTAAACCCAACACCCTAGTTCATGGTTCATTAGCTGATATTAATCAGGTTATTGAAAAATCATAGTCTGGTTTGAATACATTTAAAAAAAAATTTTTCTTATAAGCTCAACTCACAATTGTAGAATTCAAGTGCACGTTGGTTATTTTGATCTGTCTCATGAAAGTGTTCTCTTGTAGCAAGAGAGTTCGGAGTCTGTTGAAAGTTCCTGCGCCCGCAGTTCCATTTATTGACTCCCACACAAAACAGACATGACTTGCGTCCTTGGAAACCTCGTGAACAACTATTTGCATATCTGGCAACCCTAAAACCAAACATCTAAACTGAACCCAAACATGAAACTGGAGGCAAAACGAACAGGCAAGGGTGATTTTGCAAAGAGCACAGAATTTTATGAGACCTCATTAATTGGTTGCAAAGGGTTAAAAAGTAAACAAAAAATGAAACTATTTGTAGCCCAAATTTATAGTCCATTGGCAGCTGCTTTGACGATGCAGTTGTTTTGTAATAAGCAAATTGTTGATGAAATCAAACTTTTTGAAATTTACTTCCTAGGTGACGCGACGCGATGATAGTGTCAATTTACCTGTGATTACATCTTGACCCGCATACCGAACACTAGGCTGTCCATTCTTTGTCAAACTTCGAGCCCTGATCGAGTAAACTTGGGCAAACTTCGCTAACTTAACGCCGACTGCAGTTTCTTCCGAACTCAAAGTGATAGGCAATTTAACTGAACTATCTTCTAGAACATTCTCGGTTGAGTCAATGTCATCGCCGTCTTCGTCTTGTTCGTTGACTTCTACGCTGAAGCCGCCAAAAAGTCCTGTCTGAGGAATTGAGAGAACAATAGTGAATGTCTGCAGGTCATTTGACCGATCGGTTGAAATGGATTCGGGCGGCACTGGAGCTGTGAATTTATGGAACCCATAAAACTTTCTGCTAAGAGAGTTGATTACAAACGTACACATTTATTCAATTTTACCCGGTTGGAAAATTTTTAAAATTTTAAATAAAAATTGAACCGCTCAATCCAAAAATTAAAACGAACAAAACAGACAATTATTGTGTCAAAAGTCATGAAAAATTATCGCTAATCAGGGTGGGTGTTCATTTTTTCGTGATATTGGGGAAAAAGTTAAATAGAAATAAAAGTTTTGAAGTTTAGAAGCAAACCTGTGTCTTGAGCGAGAACCCTCGCCTCTGACCTCACTTGACCTTCAGGGTCCGCGACAGAATATGCTCGCACAGTGTATTGGTTTCCAGGTTCAAGGTCAGTTACGACAAATCGCAGATATGAGTCACTTAAAAACAAACGGATTTAGACATGAACATGGAATCCGCAATTGCATGTAGTTCTAGAGCAGTAACGATGTAGAGTTTTATTGAGTGGTACAAAGAGAGAGAGAGAGAGAGGGGGGGGGGGTTCAAGAACAAAAATATTGTGTGAATTTTCCTTTAAAGTAAAAAAATCCTTTCATGCAAAAAACTGCTTCATCAAGTTGCGAGCGTGCCAACAGAGGGTTGGAAAAATACGAAATATAGAGCCAGTTATCGCCACGAAGCGGCGAAGCGCTCGTACCGCGCCCAACGGCAAAGTGTTGATTGGCATAAAAGTGTGGTCGTAAGTCGTTAAATAATACCATTTGCGGCCTTTTGGGTGCAGCGAGGACGTTGAGTTACTGAGTGTAGTGACAAAGACTTGCGTGCGCTCCCCTTTTTTGAAAAAGATTGATACTTTTTTTGTTAAATTTGGTTAGGAGCGAATCCAGATTTATGTCAATGAATTTTTAAAAATGTATATAATTTCAATCTTAGAGCTCTCCGAAAAAACCGGCCACAAATGACGTTCTTGGACACTTTTGGGAAGTTTTGACCACCATTGCGTTCTTTTTTGGCGCGCGCTCCCCTCTCAAATTTTAGGGTCATTTCAGAAGGCGTATTTAGAATCACTTTGTGTTGGTCGTGCAAAATTGGAAGTCATAAAGATAGTTCATTCGCCCTCTTCTACCAAAAGAACATTGTCCCCCGATCCACCCCCCCCCCCCCCCACCTTTTATATCCGCTACTGTCTTCGATACCTTTTTAACTGTATTGACCTTAGACAGGTGACAGCAATTTTTTGTATGTTGGAGATTGCAGCTAAGAAAAATAAGAAATCAAATTGAACTATTTGTCGAAATTATGGAAAAACTATTATAAAAAAGATCAACATACAAGCTGAACTGCTGTTTCGTCTCTGTTGGTTTAAAACTACATGCAAATTGCTTGGTTACTTTTCAGGGGCAAGTATTGTTGCCTTAGCCTCGAGCAATGAGCATGAATCAGTCAGACTTACATTTTCTGGATTTCGAGCAGCGAGACATTTTGGTGGTAAATCTCGATCAGGAAGTGGTCAAAATATCCAACAGCCGGAGGAAGCCATGCCAGTCTGATTGAGTTCTCATCCACGAAATAGACATTGAGTTGCTCTACTGGATCCGGAACTAAAATCAGGCTCAATATTAATTGGCAAACGTCCAAACTTCTGATAACAGAAATCCGAAAGTTACCATGTGGTTGGTATACACTACCTCTTTCGTTAGTTTTATTTTGATTAGAGATATCTCAAAGCGGGTATCACTGGACTAATGACAATCTCCTATACTGGATTGTGTTGCTAAATGGAAAACCTTCTTTATATGTTGAAATGTGAAATTATGAAGCTTCAATCGCAAGACGAGAATGCTGTTTTTGTGCAAAATTAACTAAATGGCTTTGACGCGGTTCCCCACAAGACGTTCAACAGGTCCGGCTACACCAAAGACACTTCCAGATTTTGGCAATGTTTTAAAATACGAAATACGATAGAAATTACTTAAACCTAAAACCCCAGTTGTGTCGTGAGGCGACCTTCGGTACCTCGTTATTTAAATTGTCCTTTTGCAGCCTCGCTGCAGTCTTATGTTAATTTCATTAACCAAGGTCATAGTTCTAACCTAAACAAAATACCACGCTGTGCGTGTTCACTCTTTGCTATCTACATCGTTTGTTAGATGTCCTTATTCTCTCTAATCCTCATTGATATTCAGGATAAAATTCTAAACTCAGGAATAAATTGAAACCAAGCAACTATATTGATTCAAGTAACTAATTATTCTTTTCTACAAAACAATTTACTTATTGTTGATCAACCAAGTTTTCACTCTAAAATCTCGGCAAATGTCATGGCGCAGCCAGCAGTTCCTGTGAACGAAGACAGGACTGACCTGTTAGACATTCCCCCTTTCTGGGCGAAAGCTTCTATTAACCCGCCATTCCTTTGGGAATCGTGGATAGGTCAATTTTTCTTGGCCGCTGGACTGAAAGATAATATCAACTTCACGATCTTCTAATCGAACCCGAAGAGGTCCTCGATGAACCCCCTCCAAAACCCGAGATAGTTGCTGATGGTGAAGACGCTGGAGCGGTTGGGGCTCGAAGACAGAGAGATCAAGCGGCAATTCGAAGAATTAACGAGCTAAATATTGAGAGGAGGTGAAAAGATCCTCGTATCAGTCAGAACTGGTTCTACCACTAAGCTGAGGCTCGTTTGAAGTCTCGTTTGTTCTTTGCATTGGGGAACGAAAGGAAGAGACGTTTTGCGGACTTTTTTCCTCACACGGATATCAGCGCTATTCGCTTTCGAGAATTTCATAATGGCTGTGAAACGTTATTCAAGGTCGAAGAGGACTATACGGTTGAAAGCATCAAGCTGTATAATTCAGTATTTATGCTTGAAAATGATACTTTCTGGTCATTTTATGCTCGTCTTAGTGCTCAAGTGGCCCTGTGTAATTGGCCTAATGCCCAAGAAAGGGAGACATTAAAAGGCCTTTTTATTGGACGAATTTGAGATGTAGATGTTCAACAACAACTTATTAAGGCTAAAGATGATCTCGATGACACCTTTAAACTCGCACTGGAGTGTGAAAAGGGTGCAAGTACGTCTGCTCAATTCCAGAAACTACTCCCTCATAATCAGCATTCAAACGCCATCAAGGTTAAACAGGAACCCATTTTCTCGATTCAGTCATCTAGAGGAAAACAGAATTATCCTCAGAATCAAAACAATCGACAAAATTTGCAAAGTAACCAACGGAATATCTCATGTTACTTCTGTGGTGATCCTTTTAGTCCTGATCACCGAAAATCTTGTCCAGCTCGAGACGTTACGTGTAACCTCTGTAGGAAACGTGGCCATTTCGCAAAGTGCTGCAATTCGTCAAAACTACGAGTAAATCTGGTTTAGGAAAATGAGGAAACTTCAGGTCCCTCTATAGATTGTAATTTCATAGATGTTGAGCATGACAAGGAACCAGAATATGGGGTTTTACAATTGGAATCCGCTGTCAAGATTAACAGTATTGAAACACTCAAGTCAAGCGGAGAAAAATCCAGGAGCCTCAGTATTCAGTTGCGTTCAGGTTACAGTTTTTTCTATTCAACTGTTGATACAGGAAGCCCAGTTTCGTTCCTGAATAAGCGTAACTGTGATTTATTTTTGCAACGAAACCCTCCAATTGAGTTTCGCGATATCACACATTACCCTATAGATAGACAATTTCTATGTTGACTATAATAAGCAGTCTATTCGTCTCCTCGGGTCGATTCAAATCCCGATTTTTTCTAGCGGCTGGAAGGTGGATAACGCTCAGTTCCTCATTTCGGAAAACAGAACTCGTAATCTTCTAGGCTTGGATCTGCAGGAGCAACTCGGTGTAGTTACTACACAATTGAAAGCTGAATCCGTTCAACTGCTGGAAATCATTTCCCAGGATCCGATATCAGAATATTGGAGTTCTTTCTTTGCGAGAAAATATGCACATGTTTTCAGTCGTTTAGTTCGATCTAAACATCATAAAGCTTATACTAACTTTATATTCCCTCTGGTGCCCCATCAAATTAAAGGACGAAAAGTTCCGATCCATATTCAGGATAGAGTTGCGAGCGAAATAAAACTTCTAATAGAGCAAGGTCAAATTGAAAAATTGAACAAGTGTACGACTGAATTTTTCATAGCGCCTATTGTGTTAACTGCAAAAAAGGATTGCTCGATCAAACTTGCCCTTAATGCTAAGCCGATGAATGCTCAGATCTGGAAAAACAAGTACCAGATGCGCCTATCATTCATGAACTCATCAATTCCGCGGCGCAGGTTACAACTAGAAATGTACTTGGAAACGTTTGGTTCATGTCCTTGGATTTGAAGTATGCGTTCAGTCAATTGCCGTTGTCATCGCTTACTAGTAGTTTTTGCAACTTTAATATTTTGTGTGGAGAGACTACAGGAACGAACCGATTCAAAACCGGGTTTTATGGTTTAACTGATATGCCTACCGAGTTCCAGAAGGCAATGGACTGTACCTTAAAGGGACTAGAAGGTGTCATTTGTTATCTCGATGACATTTTGATAGTTACAAAAGGAACATAACGAACTGGTCAAAAAAGGAGATGCAAAGACTTGATGTGGAAGGCTGGGCTTTAAAATTGAGTAATTGCGAATTCTCTGTTAACCAACTAACTTGGTTAGGGTATGACATTAATCAGGACGATTATTCTCCTAAATTTTCAAAGATTGAGGCAATTCAATCACTCAAATCTCCGCGGACTCTGAAATAACTACGCTCGTTTTTGGGGACATTAAATCATTTACAAAGGTTTATACCCGATTTACATATACATACTGTTCATTTTCGGGCATCTTTCAAGGCCTGTAACAAACAGTCGTTCATGTGGGTAGAGGAGCAGAAAAATGCCTTTAAAGGCATAATCAATATGATCGCCAAAATCCCTAGTCTTTATCATTTTGATTCGCCAAAAAGTTCAAGGGTAAAATGTGACACTAGTCATAACGGATTAGGAGCTCGCCTTGAACAAGAAATCGAACCGGGAGTTTGGGCCCCAACCGCTTTTGGTTCTCGTTTTTTAATAATGCGGAGGCAAAATATAGTACCAATGAATTGGAGTTGTTGGCAATTGTTTGGGCCTGCGAACATTTTCGTACCTATCTGTTGGGTACTCGTTTTCAAGTGCGGACTGATCATAAAGCTATCATTTCGGCATTAAATGAAAATTATAATAATAAGTCGTATCAGTCTCGTCTTGCCCGACGGGCAGATCGCTTATTACCGTTTGATTTCGATGTTATTCATGTTCCCGGGGTCCCGTTGGGGATAGTCGATTACTTATCTCGTTATCCTACGTTTCCAGCTCCTGAGCCTTCTAAATACGATGAAATTTTGAACTTTTCGTTGTTAAATCTATTGAGGCTCTTCGTCAGGACCTCACGTTTATTAACTCTTATAATTCTTCTAAATTGAGGGATAAATGTTGTCCGCCATCGCAAGAGGGTGTTCAATTCTCGTCGCAGGATAATATTGTCAATTTATTACGTCACTCGCCGGTAGGGGGCGCTAAAGAGTTTGCTCAAAGTTCTAGCCAATCAAATCGCGTTATGCAAACAGGCTGTTTGAATTTTTATCGAATGAGGGCGTCGATTTATGCTCTCAGGAAAATAACCAACCAGAAACCGGTATGCAAATTGATAATCGTAGACCAGTCTACGTTCCTAAAATTCATTGTCTCCGGCCTCAATCTTTAAGAAACAGTCATCTAACTCAACCTTCCTCAATTGCATATCTAAATTCTGCTGTCAATTCTACAGTCATGAATCAACCGCCTGGCACTAATCAAACTACCTTTGACTTGAACTCAACTCTAACTCCACAAGACTCCCAGGATTTACTCAATTCGACAGCCGAACAAGCTGACTTACTTACGTTCGTGGAATCATTTCCACTCAATTTCCCAAACTTCCGTCGGCCGAGTCCGCGTCCGCCCATGAGATCTAGACAGTTGAGCCAAATCTCCCGACTAGATCAGATCCGTCAGCAAAACCAGACCAGAGAACAAGTTTCCAAAACCCGTTTTGTTGCTGCACGAACCACGACCCGAAAGGATGGCCATTCCCAGCTGTTGGAGACGATGAGACGGTGTCGCCTATCGAAACCTGGAAAGGTCAACACTGCCGCAAGATTAGGGGGTTCTTGCTGTCAATGGAGGCAAACCTCTTCTTTCGCCTTCAAAGAAAGAATTTGTGGGGCTACCTGTACTCTTTGATGCGGACCTTTTACCAGAGTTGACGGAGGAGGACCGTTTTCTGGGCCCTATGAAACGAGTTATCATCAACAAGGACATCACATCAATCAATAAGCTCGGATCTTATATGGCCCAATTCTGGCCCAAAGCAGCTGTGGTTAATAACTGTCTAGTGATTGATAAAAAACTGGCCATACCCGAACCTCTCCGACAAGCTGTACTTTCTCGCCTTCACCGCTCCCACCCGGGTGAAGAGGCTACGATGGCGGCCTCTGAATATGTCTGGTGACCATTTCTGAACCGTCAAATTATCGAGACATGTGAGAAATGCCGTGAATGCACATTGTTTGGTAAGAATCTTAAATCCGCATAAACCTTTAATACTGGACAATCTTTACCTAGTCTGTCTGGGCCAAATCAGGAGTTACAATTAGATTTTGCTGGTCCTATACTTGATGATAAGGGTTCTAGGGTCTTTCTTTTGTTAGCAATCGATCGTTTCTCTAAGTTTCCTTCAGTTCTAATTTCTAAAAATACTGGGGCTAAAAAGGTTACTAAATTTCTTGCATCTTACATTCGTATTCATGGTTTACCTCATTCTATCAGAACGGATCACGGTTCAGGTTTTAAAAAAAACTTAGAGCAGGAATTTTGCTCTAAAAGAGGTATTAAACACATCCTCTCACCAGTCGGAGACCATAGAGGCAGTGGTTTGGTTGAACGATACATTCAGACTATAAAGCGAAAACTGGGTGCTGCAAAACTTGATCCTAATTTCAAAAACTTTAAAGAAACGATCCATCAAAGTATTGAAGATATTCGCAAGAGTAATCACTCGGTGCTTAAGAAATCGCCTTGAATTACCTTTCGGTCGTAAACCTAATACTGAGTGGTCCCAAGAGTTTATTAATGTTGTTCAACCTGATACTTCAGCCCAGGGACTGGAGCGGAGCCTCTTAACACCGGACCAGACTGCCAGCCAAGATTATAGCCGGGACCGTGCGAAAGTTGTTTCTCGAGGCAGTACCTGTCCTACAGTTGCTCGCCGCTTCAAACCCTTGTTTTCGCTGGATGGAAATGTGGCGGACAGTGAATCCTACAAGGCGTTGGCCGAACTTGCTCGGGCCGCAAACAAGTGGTCGCAGTTCAAGCGAAATCTTCCACCGGATGGGGGAAAAAAGCTCCTCAAGGAACTGGCAACCCGTCATTCGGACCTCGCTCATTCTCTCAAGTCAGGCCTTAACCATAACACCCTTCGCTTTCCGAAGACAGGAATGAATGTGACGCCTCTGGGGGCCCAAGTTAATCCCCGAAGTTTACCAGCTTTGCAACCTCGTCGATCGTCAAAAACAAGTTAACTAGAAAATCTTCTAGTGACTGATCCTAACCGAGTTAAGATCTTTAGGAAAATTAAAGATCGTCAATCGGGGAAACCTGTTTTTAAGCCTGCTAAGCTCAAGATCGTCCGTATTATCCATCATACTTATGTTACTGACAATGGGAAAGTTTATAGGAAAAATCGTATTTGCCTCAAACCTAATTCTCGGTATAACATTTCAGTTGGTCAGAACACTCTAGGTGATCGGCTTCAAACCTCGAACCCTACCTCTCAAGGTGCATTGAAGAGGCCAGCTACGCGGTCTCAGCCTGTGATGCTAGAACAACGGCCAAACAATCCCAATTTATCTGCCCCAATGGTGGACCTAAGTTGATATCCGAACAGTTTTTAGAGAGTAAAACAAAACTTGTTCAATCCCCATAGTTGGGGATGGAACTTGTGCCATTGTTGGGAATGGAACTTGTGCCATAGTTCCATCCCCTAATTCGAGGGTAGTTGGAACAGAAAATAAAAGTTTTTTTTTGTTTTTTTGTTCTGATTTTTATGAAAAATACGCTCTTAAGCAAAAATTTCAGTGATCTCAAAACTTAAAAGTGCTCAATTCCAGTGAGCGACCTCTTGGAGCAACTAAATAAAAAAACTTGCATTTATGCTAACAACAAGACATTTTGCTAACAACAAGACTTGGACAAAAAAGCCCAATATAATTAATAGACCGTCTAGCTACTTTTTTCCAAAAAAGTTATGAACTTCAACAACAATTTTTTAGGATAAAATCACTTGAAATATAATATTGAAAGCAGCGATATGTGAAAACTTTTGGATAGGTACATTGCAGCTGTTATTCATGGATGTTCATGGATATTTATGAATGTTTATAATATGGATGTTTATAATAAATTGGTATGGTAAGTTTTATTAATCATTGAAATGAACCAGGTTGAATCTTTGCTAAGTCACACGCTCTGGGTTCAGCAAATCAGAGGACAGCTGTTCAGACGACAACCTTTTTTTGCTGGGACTTAAAGATTAACATACATGCAATTCTCCTTTTGTTCTTGTGAGAAATACAAAAACCATTTAAATTCGAACAGTTCATTTAAATTTTTTCAACATTATTTTGTCGCCTTATTGTAATCTCGTCTTAGTGACTTGTCATCTTATTCATCTTTTTTTTCTAGGTTCAAAAATTTTTATATAAGCCTTCGTTTAATCCAAAAGCCAGTTTTCTCAAATAGCTTTTTGGCTGTGTTAAAAATTGGGTTAAAATATAATCTAATGAAATCAGGCGTTTTCGATATTTGTACTGCGATCAGTTGTCAGACTCGTTTAGCAAACTTTGAAAGCTGAAATACTAAATTCTTAACTTAGATAGCTTGTTCAATTGGTGTATCAGCATCAAGCAAAACTGCAGTTTAAAAAATCTGAAGTTTATATAAATTTATATGAATCGAAAATCTTCTAATTGTCAATTATTTACTAAGTAGTCTCCCAAGTTCCATACATCAAAATTGCTAATAAACAATCCAAAAATGGAACTTGTGAAAAAATTTGTATGATGAGAAACAAATCACTAGTTATTCTCAAAAAAGAAAATAGTTTAAAGGTGGATTCAAGTGGTTTTGAAAACACTATACGATAAACTATTGGGTTCTAACAAATATTCACGCAAAAAAAACATAGAAAGGCACGTTGCTTTTTTTGAAAAAATGCATATCACACGAATTCTATATTATGAGATTTGTATAACTTCAAATCCGCAAATTTTGCTAACTTCAAGAAAAAACTTGCAAAGTTAGAAAGTTTGAGTCTTGATATGATGGATTTTAGAAGACATTTTAGGATAAACTGTTACAAAAAAATTATTTACATTTTTGCGAAAAAAAGTTTGTCACTCAATTCTCATACTACGTTAAATGTTAAGCCAAATTTTTAAAAAATAGATATATTCAATTGCACAAAAAAAGTATTTACACGTTGTTTTCGGAAAGTGAAAAGACATTAGTGAAAACAGATCATCCTTATACTCATTTTCTAGCGAAAAGAGGGAAAACGATGGTATATTTTTCTGTGAAAAATAGTTAGTCGTACATTTTCCATACTTATGAGAATTCTCTGAACGCCAAACTTTTTAATTGAACGCCAAATGTTTTTCAAAACAGCAAAAAAATTAAATATATTTTGGTTAAAATATCTGCTCTGCCTTATCACGTTTTTTCTTGTTTTAACATGTTTAGAATCAGGGGCGGATCTAGGATTTTGTGGAGGGGGGTGTGGATTGTCAAAAAAATTTCAGAAAAAAATTTTTAGATTGCTTTTACGTAAAAATTATATAAAAATTATGTATAAAAATTTTACAAAAATGATTTTCAGAAAAAAACGCCCTCTACCTCCTAAATCCGCTCTGCCTTATACTGTTCTGGAAGCGCTCAAAAAATCAATTTAATCGACCAACAAAGGAACTTTTCGTAAAATTTTGAAAAACGCCACGTCATGGTAAAATCATCACAGTCTTGAGTCAACTGCAATGAAAGTGATCCGTGAAATGTCTGGCGATACGCAACATTTTGTTTCAAGTTTCTTCACATTTGTTTCTTTTTTAGTCATTTGCTTCTTCACAACTTTCTTCATTTTTTTGTCAATTTTCATTAAACACATAGTTATTTTTTACCAATTGGCAGATTGTCTTGTTACCTATTACTGTCAGTCCGATTTTTTGTAATGAACAAAAAAACTGAATTTGATTTACAAACCCGGAATGAAAAGAAGCGTACCTTCGTAGTGTGAAATTATCGTGTGTTCTGATTCTGAGAAACCTGTTCGCGTGAAGATTTCCACCTCACATTTCGACCCAGCCTCCCGGTTATCTCCAGCGACCACTTCCGACTGGAACCCGACTCCTCCGGACTCCGATTGGGACGCACATGTCGCAGTTCTGCACTCCACTGCCGTCTGATTTTTAATAGCGTCATCAGCTTCTCTGATCATCAGTTTGGAGCCGTCATCTGAATTTCATTGGATTACAAAAGACATTAAATCAATCCCGGGTCAACCCCGGGTGTTGGACTCAATCCTGGGTCAAGATCGTGGCTTTATGTTCAGAAGGTCTGGTTCAGATCGTGGATAACAAACTAAAAGATTTTCAGAGCGTATGCAACCACAAATAGCTGTTTTCAGACCCCGCGGACCGAATGTATTGGATTTCATACCAAAAGGACCAAAAAAAAACATTACGGGGCCAAACTGTACACTGGATAAGCGTACAATTTAATGTTTTTGTTCCTGAAATCCAGAGACAAGTCTTTAAACATGTTGAAATTTTGTTGGAACGATCAAAAACGATCGAAAAAAATAGATCAGAGAGTAGCGTCCTTGTTGCGGAATCCGCTTACATTTCACAAAATACACAGTTTGACCTCGTAATGAACCGGGATCAGACTGTGAGCACCAAAAAAATGGGTTTCAGATTTTGAGGACACACAATTCCGGTTTCAGACCGCGGAGACCGAAAAAAGAACGTCGGGTTGAGATTGTGGGGATTGACAAAATCTGGATTCAGTCTGCTTTGATCAAAAACAATCGTTCAGAGCTTGAGGACCAAAAATATCCATTGAGTGAAAATGAAACTCAAGAAACTGATATCAAATTAGTTTACGCTCAATTTTGAAATTTAAATTTAATCAAAATTCTTGTAATTTTTACTAGAGCCCAAAAACTTACAAAAAAAGTTATTGAAGTTTGATGAACTCTCTAATAATAGGATATGTTTTCAGACATTAGAATGAGATTTGTATGGCCCATATTTTATCCAGGTAGATAAACCAGTAATCGCAACAATTTTAAAAGCGAATTTTGATTTTATTTTCAAAGAATAAGAATGCACGCATTTAAAAAAAAAAAGCTTGCATCTTTATTATAGCGCCTTTCGGACTAACTAAAACGAATCAAAAATGTGAGCCGACTGACAAATTTGCAAACCGAAACAAAAAAAAATGTGTAGTTTGCGTCTGCATCATTTTTGCGTGATTTTATGCAGATTCCTTGTCGGCTAATATCGCAATTTTTGACCAAAAATTTGCGTTTTTGCGCTGAACCCTCAAATTTAGAATATTTGGCGCCAAATGCGCCTATAAAAAATTTTAGTGTCCGTCACCAAGAATGGATATATCAAAATAATATAAAGCGGGACCTGATTTTAATCGGTTATACAATAAGTAGAAAACCACATTGAAAAGTATTTTTTCCACTATAATTTTGTTTCGCGTCGTGCAAATTTCGGCACGCATTTCTGCCTTACTCAAATGAGTGATGCGGAAATTTTGCAAAGCGAAAGCTGAATCGATTATTCTTCACTACACATTATTATAATCGCTTATTCTTCACTTTAGCAGACACTGACAATAAATTTTGCGATTTCTGCGATTTTGCAAAACTGCAATTGTGAGAAAATAGACGAAAGTGAGAGAGATTTAAATTGTTTGCAATCAAATTGCGCGGGAAAAATATAATTGTTTGGAGACAGCAGGTAAATTTCGGTAGCCAAAAATTTTGCAAGTCAATCATGCATAATTTATTCAACTCAAAACTCTCTTGTAAAATTCGGATTTGACATTTTTTGTTCACTTAAACTAATTGTTTTGATAGATATTGACATTTTATGTGCTTTTTAAATTTGTGAAACTTCACTCTTAAGAAGAAATTTTGTTGGCCCTTTCCTTTTCATAGCTTTTTCCTCTAAAAACTTTTTCGTCTAGATCAGTAAAAAATAAAATAACTTCGTTTTTGTAGCATCCGTCTAAATTGTTTATCGTCTAATTTCCTAGGCCCCAACGCAGATATATACTCGAATACAATCTATAGCAATTGTCTAAGAAGAAAGCAGCCTGAGTAAGTGATCTCAGCATACAAAACATCCTAATTTTATTGGCCCTATTGATAAAATTTATGACATAAATAACCAAATTATGGATCGAAAAACAGAGTTTTAAACGTATATGGGCGAGCTTTTTAACAAATATATGGGCGAACAAATATATTTATCTATCCAAAACTTGCACAAACGAGTGAAAATTTCTATGCCTAACAGCATCGAATACAAACAGTGATCGGATTGGTTCAGTTTCAGGAAACTCAAACACTCAAAACGGGCGACTTTTTTGGGACACAACGCCGAAAAGCTCATTACACTCCGAAAAAACTCTATATCGATTTTTTATCTCATATACCGAAGCGAACCAAACACCGAGCCGAATTTACAATAACCGAACCAAACCAAATCTACGTTGAAATTTCTTAAGCCGCCAAGCCCCACCGGGAATTTTCCCAAAATTGTCAAAAAATTTGCATTAACTGCAGAATTGAATCAATCTCACTGTCGATAATTGTGATGTTCGGAGCAGAGCAAGTAACGACCACGTCTATCAACTCAGAGGCTGTGAACTGACGCAAAGCCGCAGTGATTAGGAGTGACCCATCTTCAAGGTCAACTGCAAAGGTCAGGTTACTCGTCTGCTGGTTTAGCGGTTGAGGCACTGAAATGGAGAAAAAACAATCATAACGAATAATCAATCGACAAATTGAAATAAAAAAACAATCAAAACTTGATATAACTTCATATCATGCATTAGTTTTACTGTTTCTATATATCTAGTTTGGGAATTTTCCAAGTGAAAAATTAACTTTTATTAACCATCACCGGATTGAAAGTGGAAAAAATGCGCCGAAAGGTAAATTAACAGAAACTCAAGATCCTTATGAGTGTGGCAATAAGTTAAAAAGAGGCTCTAACAATCCTGTAATTTTTCGTTTGTAAGTATAATTTGAATCTAAAATCAGGCTATTTTATAAATATAGTTTTAGAAAGTCTGTTGATTTTTTTATATTTTTACCTAAAGGATCGTACTTATAGAAATTACTGATTTTTTATTCTTACCTAAAACATCATAGTTATGGAAATTATATTGATTTTTTTTTCTTACCTAAAGGAGCACAATTGTTCAATGTTCGATTAGCAATAGTCGAATTGGTGCAAGAATTGATAGGCGCCACTTGGAAGCAAAACACGATGCCCGAATCCAATCCACCCACCCGCAAGGCTGACGAAACACCAACCACATCTGAAGACTGGCGTGCTTCTATTTCATCTGCCGAGAGAAACAGCGGAACGTAGTCGGCCACTTGCACTTGAGCTCTTAGCTCCAGTTTTCCGATCGGACAGTTATCGGTGCCATTTTCTGTATCAGTTGATTGCTGTATGTCGACGTTCAGCGTAGCCGAGAAAGGGGTAATATTTGAGGCGCCCAAATTCTCTCTTGAGTTAGCTAAAACAAATTTATTTTGAAAAAAAATGACCAAAATTCATGAATAGTGAAGTTTTAATTATTAAGACCCCTGCTAACATGCCAAGTAGTAGCTATAATTTAGAGAAGCGCGGGTCCTCCCCTATTTAAGTACTTTGGTACTCTTGCCGTTGGTATTTTTGTATAACATCAATTTTTGTACAACATCAAGTATAGCATCATATTTGGGTCAACCAAGACTACAATTGTTCTAATGGCAACTTTGGCCTAAATTTTTATCAATTTTTTAATTAAAAAAGAGCCAAAAACGTTTGACATTTGGTGCGCTTTTTCTAGAATTGTTTGGAAATGATTGAAAACTTTTTTGAAAATCCATAGCTGAAACACTAGATCGGCCTCTGAATCCAAGGCAGTTCCCCCCCCCCCCCCCCTCAGGGATTCGACCCCCTGCCGACCCAAAGGGTCCCCACTTGTTCTATTTTGAGATATCCATTTTTGGTGATGGACCTTAGAAAATTTTCTTAAAGCGCCTTTGGCGTCAATGTATACTAATTTTGAGGAAGGTAGCGCGCGCCGAAAAAAAAACGCTATTTTTTGGTCAAAATTTCCCAAAAAGTGCCTTAAAACGCTTTTTTTTGGCCTGTTTTTCAAAATTTTGCCTGCAGCGCAGAAAATTTGGTCAAAATAGGGACAAAACAGTGCTCTGGGAGAGCTCGAAAAATCAATTGGGTCGACCTAAAAAAAGGTCGACAAAATTTTCGAAATTTTACTGAAAATCCGCCTCCCCCCTCGAAAAAATCCTAGATCCGCCCCTGAGGCAGCTTATTTGATTTTCAAACTGAATTGAGGATAGCTATAATGCAAATAATGCAGATATGTTAAAATGAGGTTTTCGAGCTCTCCCAAAGCACTGTTTTGTCCCTATAGACACAGAGTATATATATATTTTTTTCTTGACACCACGTTGAAAGGGTTTTTTTGAAGATTCAAACTATTATCTCATTTTAATTGAATTTAATTAAATGAAGTAATCTTCATCCAATTATTCTGGTTTTTAATTTACTATTTTTATTTGCGTCTTGTATAAAGACCGACAACAAAACACAAACTGTCGATTAATTTATCATTATTTTTATCATTTGTATCAAAAGATTGATTTAAAATGCCGACAAAATTAATTAAAAAACAAGTTAATCAACCAATTTCTTTTTTTGGGTATACTTCAAGAGACCTAGGTGCAATGAATCATAATCAAGAGAAGAACAAAAAATGAAAAAAGGTGCTAGACCCAAGAAATAGAAATTATAAACCTGCATGGAATGGCAAATTCTGAGTTTTTTTTGACAGATTAAACTTAAAAACTTTAAAAGAAGAGCAAAAAAGATTAACTCCTGCATAGAAAGAATAGAGAAGTCTTTCAGAATAGAGAAGAAAAATTTTTCGACTACAATCAATTAAATAGCTTTACTTTGCCTAATTTTTAATCAATAAACATTGCCCAATTTTTCCTTCAGTCGCTTTTGTGTTGAAATCAAATTTTATTTGTTTTTTTTTTCAAGTTTGGCCGGACTCTAAATTCCCCAATTCATTGCTGTTATTTATACCTTTTCATTTTTTATTTGGAAGTACTAACGAGTGAAGTTTTGTCACTGGAGTAAAACTCTTATCTTGTGTTTCTCGGAACAGCTCTTACTTTTTGTTCCGATTTTTTTCTAAGAATATCTGTGCTCGGGTGGTTTTTTTTCTCCAGACAAATTGCGTTTTTTTTACAAACCATTTTGATTTTTTTAACAGTCGAAAAGTAATGTTGTCCTCAAATTTAAAAAGATAATTCACCTATGATCTTTTTTGTAAAGCTATGAGGTTTTAAAAACTGCCAGTTCGGCCAATTTGGAATAATTAACACGGAATACTTTTAACGCGTAAGCAGAGACTTAATCCGTCTTAGAAATCGTACCAAATTAAGATTAGGCATTTTGCTCTGCTATATCCAAAGAATTTAAATTCGATTTCATTTCTCCAGAAATATTACATTGTTAATGAAATTAACGTAATATGTTTCCTGGAAGGGCCTTTCAGTTCATCACCAACAGCTCCAAAGAGATCTAATAAGAGGTCAAGTAGAAAAGTGGGCTCCCATACAAAAATGTTTCAAATAAAAACTCATTATCGGTGCTGTAATTGTTGCAAACATTTTCTTAAAAAGTTTAAAACTCGCATACATGCTTTCAGCTTTTCAATATCTTTAAAAATTAGACAAGACTCTATCATTTTGCTTAATGCTAGAGTCAGGTTTCTTTTTACAGACTTGTTTTTTTTTGTATATCTTTTCTACTTAGCAGGTGGATGGATGATTTTCGAAAAAGAATATTCAGTGACTGCTCGACTTGCATGAAGCTCGACTAGTCGACTATTTAAGAATATCAACAATTGGGCCTGTTGGCTTCCTTAATTTTAAATCAAACGAATTGACTCGTTTGAATGGTGTAGGCTTGCTTTGAATTTTTACAATATAAAATGCGCCATAAAAATGCTGGTAAAACTTCGAAGGTTTTTTTCCTCACCATTTTTAGTCCAACGTATTTTTAGAAAAAACCGAATTTGAAAATTTTGTTCAAGTTCATTTTGGTTTAAAATCTGGTTGTTTTATATCAGTTCTATAGAAGCTTCCAGCTCAAAATACTGAGAATTTTCACTAATCCTCGAAAACATCCATGAACAAAACCAATCCAATAACTTAATGACATATATTATCAGGTTCGGCAAATTTTTGCTGCCTATGAGAGAATCACTTCAAAAACCCAATAGTTTGTGAAATGAGTGCAGATTCAGAAGAAACTTATTTTTAAATTACCCTGTATATCAATCAGAAAATAAAAAGCCATCACTCCTTGATCCCTGAAATATTTGATATTTCATACAAAAATCATATCCTGAAAATATTGGAACAGCTGTAAATATTGGAAAAATTGTCGGTACAAGCAAAAAAACTTCTTTGACAAATATATTTTTTTTGTTTCATACTTACTCAAGTTGTAAGCAAGAACCTGCGGTCCAACTCGTCGAAGAAAACTGTTCATGTAAATTTCTACCTCATAACTGACTCCAACTGTTAAATTGGTAGAATTGAATTCTGAAACATGAAACCAACACTCAAATAGTAAATTAGTTAAGCCAAAACAAGTATTTAACGTGCCCTGAGTTAATGGTTTGGTAGATTATCGCCACAAGTTTTCGAACTTTAACGAGGATCGCGGAAAATTTATTTCCAGACTATGATTTTTAAAATGTTATCCGTACCGGCGCAACTGAGAGGGTACTTTTTACGGAAGTCTAATTTTTTGATGTCAAGATTATAAATTTTTGATCATGGAATGATATTTGGCGTGATTTTGATTTTCTGGGCATAAAACTTCGACCTGCGTTACATTCTTTTTTTAAAATCGATTCAAACTATTTTTTCAAATAATCAAACATTATTAAAAGAGTTTAATGAGTTTTAGCTACCCGGGTCGGGGTGCTCACTTTATGTTTCGACTTTTGAAGTTGAGTATATGTCAGTTTCAAAACATGCCGCTCGAAACAGCAGGCTCGAAATAGCAAGCTCGAAACATGCCTTGAGCACGTCGAAACGTACCTAAAGATCGGTTGAAAAATACAAAAAAAAAAGTTTTCAATTTTCAACGTATTTTTTAAAGCATTTTCGACTCAAATAGCCAAGCAGTATTCCAACAAATGGAAAAAAAATTAGCTCAAAAATTGTTCATGCATTTAAAGCATTTTGCATTTGAAAACATTTTGAAAAACACAATTGTTGCAAATAGTTCTAATCATTTTATTCTGATAAAAAGCATCATAATACTCGAAAAGCAGAAATTATAACGTTTAATATTGGATAACTCATTTTGTTCGAAAGTCGAAACATATACCCGGGAACATGCCAGTTTCCGTCGAGCACGGTCGAAAACAGCCGAATTTTTGTCGATACGGTCGAAACTTAAAGTGAGCACCTCGACCGGGTAGTTTTTCCCTCACCACTAGTACTTTTCCCTCACCTGTTTGTTTAACCATTGCCTGCAGTTGGCCGTTGATGACAACTTCGAAGTTGTTGTACAAATTGGAAGATACATTCCAGAATTGTCGAACTGCTTCGCCGGGCACAAGGGTCGAAAAGGAGACTGCTCCCAGCTCTGGGGCAGGCGGCTCTAAAATATTATCAACTATTATTAAGGGCCAAAAATGGTTTTCCGGATGGGTTACGGGTATGGCGGAGTTCGGCTCCGTGCACACCATGAAAAATAGCTTTTTTTTAGTATAACGGACACTAAAATCTATTGGCCAACAGTACTTTTATCACATTCATTTTAACACATTAATTGTTATTTGATACCTTCCTTATCGAGGATTTTCATAAACAGGTTACAACAACACCACATACACTTAAAGGTGTCTCAAAGAGAGCAGCGGTAACGCATGGCCGTTTGACAGACATGGCATTGTTTTAATTCACTCAATTTTGTAGCCTGTGTTTTCTGTGAGTTGTATTTTGTTCGATTTCTAGCATCGTATTCAGATTGCGAATAAGCGCAATTGGGATCAAGTAAAAATGCCGAACGGTTGGAAGGCTGAATGAAGGCTCAGCTAAGCTGCCGAAGGAACAAATTCGGGATCAATTCAGCAATCTCCTCGTTCACCATTTCGGCTTGCCATTTCTGGGGAGATAGCTCAAGAGGCACTTGAGACCTGTTTATAACGACCTGAACAACTACTTATATTTGTATAAAACTATTTTGTATAGCAAGTTACCAGGGACAATAATTGTATTGACCCTGGTAACTTGCTAACCTCGAAGCAATGATTGCACAAACAAAAAATTGGAAATTTTTTTAAAGTTTTTGGTATTTTCAAATATTTTAATATTTTTTCTCGATACTCATATGAAAAAAAAACTTCAGTCGGCCAATTGATGGCGACCTATATAGACTCGAACCACCTGATTGCGTTAGAAAACGTTTTTTATAGTGTTTTGCCGTTTTTGGCTGGGGGTATAGCTCAATTGGTCATAACAGGGGGGAGGGGGGAATTGTTCAATTGATCCCCAATTCGCTGCTTTACAAATCAAAGGGTAAACTTTCTACCATCTACGAAGAACTGTTACAGACAGTTCGATCATAGCTAAGCATCTATGTAAGAATGCGGTGAAAAATAAATTCTCAGCAATAATAGAGACGAGGTTGAGGCGCTAACGGGCAAACAAAAATGGACATATACAACCTGTGTGAAGTAAGTTTTCTAAGAAACTATCAAATTTGACAATGTTTGAATAAAAATAAATAAATAAATTACCGATTGATCTGAAATCAATTACTCTCCTCAACCAACAAACCAGTAAGATTTTTTATAGTTTATTGTTTGATCGAAACAAAGCAATCTTTCAGAAAAAAAAACAACCTTCTTCTGTATCCGCGCGAATCTAGGATTTCCTCAAGAGGGCAGAAATTCCTCTATTTAACAAAAAACGGTCGATTTTTTTCAAGTTTCCAGGTCAAACAATTTGATGTTGCTAGCCCTCCCTGAACATAAAAAATATCGTAATATGCCAAAAAAAGTGTTATATTAACGTCACATTTTTCCCTATTTAAGAAGAAGCAACGAACTGTTGGCTCTGAGGATAATTTTCTCCAGAAGAGTTTCGAAGCTTCAAAACACGTTAATTTTCGAAAGACTAAACCAAATTTGCCCATACTGACAATATTCAGATTGAACTCGATTTTTCAAAAGATCATACAAGGTATAAATATTTGTTTACGGTAGCCCAAATGCTTTTGTAAATCGATTTACTCAAAAAACAGCACCGATGTTTTAGCAAGGTTTTTAAATTTGATCTTACGGAACTTTCGAAAAAAACTGGTTTTGGAATACGTTGTTGAGTCTTTTAGATCACTGTTTCAAGTTTTTCAGCTCTTCCGGAACGCTTGAAAACAAATCATCATAAAATCAAACAGATACAGAAATTGATACAAATTCAGAATTTTTCAAATGAACTTTCACTGAATATCTAAGGACAACATAAGCTGGAAAACAACCTGGTATTATTATTTTTAATCTTATTTTGATAATAAAATTTTGAATTTCAAATTCATTGTCAAGATGTCTAAAACAAACGACGGTACCTAAATACTCGTTTTGATTAAGTTTCTGGTGTTGACAAAAATTTTTTTAATTTGAAAATACGTATTACAGGGCGCAATTTAACTGTTTTTCGGTGTAAACTTCTTGTTCTATGGCAGAAATGCGTCTTGAAATCTCAATCTACAATTCATGTCGAGGATTTTACAGGCTATTCCTCTATTGCAGGGGGGGATTATGGTTTGATACATATTGATTATATAAAATGAATTTTTCGTCAAAATTTAGTTTCGTCCTTGCTTTTTGAAAATCAATGCTTCTTTTTTTGTTATATTTCTTATTGTTTCGACTTCCGAAGAAAGCGAGGAAGTTATATGCCCGGGAGGGTTTTTTATTCAAACCGATTTTTAAAAAAATGACTGAGTGTTGGCATCACTTCATAAAGCTTGGGATTGCCAAGCGAGTATGCTTGAACTACCCGCACCGAAATTTCATGGATAAAAATCGATTATAATGGTTATTTATTGACAAAATTTTTTTGTCTATATCAACGATTATAGTGGCAAATTTGGACAATGTAATGGATTTTAAATCTTTTTTAATCGATAATTTTCGCAAAATAAAAGTTCGAAAATTAAATTTTATTTTCAATAAAATGGAATATTTTTTGTACATAAAATCCATCAAAATGGATTAAATTTTGTAGCTAATTACTTCTTTTTGCAGATTTTTCTACAACTAGAACGAACACGTTAATCCAGGGCGCCCAAAATACAGTAATTTTGAAGAGGCCAATATCTAGCAATTTTCCAAAAAGTGCCCAAAAACCGCATTTTTGACCCTTTTATTACGAAATTTGCCTGCGGCCTAAAAATTTGGTCGGAATACTTTCTTTAGTGTTGTGGGAGTCGTTTTGATTTTTTTTGATATTCCAGTCGCCCTCCCCCCTCCCACTACTCACTATCATGCCCCTCCCCAACCACCTCCCCCCTTATTTTTGTTATTTTATAGAGACTTACAATGGGGGGAATTGTTCAATTGATCCCCAATTCGCTGCTTTACAAATCAAAGGGTAAACTTTCTACCATCTACGAAGAACTGTTACAGACAGTTCGATCATAGCTAAGCATCTATGTAAGAATGTGGTGAAAAATAAATTCTCAGCAATAATAGAGACGAGGTTGAGGCGCTAACGGGCAAACAAAAATGGACATATACAACCTGTGTGAAGTAAGTTTTCTAAGAAACTATCAAATTTGACAATGTTTGAATAAAAATAAATAAATAAATTACCGATTGATCTGAAATCAATTACTCTCCTCAACCAACAAACCAGTAAGATTTTTTATAGTTTATTGTTTGATCGAAACAAAGCAATCTTTCAGAAAAAAAACAACCGTCTTCTGTATCCGCGCGAATCTAGGATTTCCTCAAAAGGGCAGAAATTCCTCTATTTAACAAAAAACGGTCGATTTTTTTCAAGTTTCCAGGTCAAACAATTTGATGTTGCTAGCACTCCCTGAACATAAAAAATATCGTAATATGCCAAAAAAAAGTGTTATATTAACGTCACATTTTTCCCTATTTAAGAAGAAGCAACGAACTGTTGGCTCTGAGGATAATTTTCTCCAGAAGAGTTTCGAAGCTTCAAAACACTTTAATTTTCGAAAGACTAAACCAAATTTGCCCATACTGACAATATTCAGATTGAACTCGATTTTTCAAAAGATCATACAAGGTATAAATATTTGTTTACGGTAGCCCAAATGCTTTTGTAAATCGATTTACTCAAAAAACAGCACCGATGTTTTAGCAAGGTTTTTAAATTTGATCTTACGGAACTTTCGAAAAAAACTGGTTTTGGAATACGTTGTTGAGTCTTTTAGATCACTGTTTCAAGTTTTTCAGCTCTTCCGGAACGCTTGAAAACAAATCATCATAAAATCAAACAGATACAGAAATTGATACAAATTCAGAATTTTTCAAATGAACTTTCACTGAATATCTAAGGACAACATAAGCTGGAAAACAACCTGGTATTATTATTTTTAATCTTATTTTGATAATAAAATTTTGAATTTCAAATTCATTGTCAAGATGTCTAAAACAAACGAAGGTACCTAAATACTCGTTTTGATTAAGTTTCTGGTTATGACAAAAAAATTTTTAATTTGAAAATACGTATTACAGGGCGCAATTTAACTGTTTTTCGGTGTAAACTTCTTGTTCTATGGCAGAAATGCGTCTTGAAATCTCAATCTACAATTCATGTCGAGGATTTTACAGGCTATTCCTCTATTGCAGGGGGGGATTATGGTTTAATACATATTGATTATATAAAATGAATTTTTCGTCAAAATTTAGTTTCGTCCTTGCTTTTTGAAAATCAATGCTTCTTTTTTTATTATATTTCTTATTGTTTCGACTTCCGAAGAAAGCGAGGAAGCTATATGCCCGGGAGGGTTTTTTATTCAAACCGATTTTTAAAAAAATGACTGAGTGTTGGCATCACTTCATAAAGCTTGGGATTGCCAAGCGAGTATGCTTGAACTACCCGCACCGAAATTTCATGGATAAAAATCGATTATAATGGTTATTTATTGACAAAATTTTTTTGTCTATATCAACGATTATAGTGGCAAATTTGGACAATGTAATGGATTTTAAATCTTTTTTAATCGATAATTTTCGCAAAATAAAAGTTCGAAAATTAAATTTTATTTTCAATAAAATGGAATATTTTTTGTACATAAAATCCATCAAAATGGATTAAATTTTGTAGCTAATTACTTCTTTTTGCAGATTTTTCTACAACTTGAACGAACACGTTAATCCAGGGCGCCCAAAATACAGTAATTTTGAAGAGGCCAATATCTAGCAATTTTCCAAAAAGTGCCCAAAAACCGCATTTTTGACCCTTTTATTACGAAATTTGCCTGCGGCCTAAAAATTTGGTCGGAATACTTTCTTTAGTGTTGTGGGAGTCGTTTTGATTTTTTTTGATATTCCAGTCGCCTTCCCCCCTCCCACTACTCACTATCATGCCCCTCCCCAACCACCTCCCCCCTTATTTTTGTTATTTTATAGAGACTGACAATGAAAATTCAATATAATCGATTATTATCCATAAAACTTCAGTGCGGTAGACAAAAGTACTACTGGGCTGCTGCAAAATTACGTATTAGTTTGTTTCAATACGCGAATTGATTTGTTAGAAAAAATTTTGAGAAACCAAAAATGAGAGACCACAGGGGCGAATCTAAGATTTTCTCGAGCTTTCAGATCAATATAAAGACTCTATATTGATAAAAATTCCTGCGCCGTCGGCAATTTGATGAAAAAAAACAAGCCTTCTTTGAGCACATTTCGAAATCTTTTGACAAAAAATAACGTTTTTAAAAACAACGTTTATATAATGGCGCCGAATGTGCCTTGAGAACAATTTCAGGACCGGTCGCCCAAAAGTGGATGTCATAAACTGTTCCAAACGGGGACCCTTTGGGTGGCTAGGGGTCGATTTCTTGAAGGAAATGAGCGTCCGCATCCCCCAGCCTCCCTAAACCCGCCTCTCTGAAAATAGGCACTACTAAAATGGCACTAACTGCAGAAGTCTTCCTCGTCATAGTAGCAGTTTAGAATGTTTCCGTTTTTGTCCTTGCACTGCAACTCATCTTGGTCTGTGATTGGAACACAAGTTCTGTAGTTCTGTCCTTCGTGTTCGAAGGGGATCTGACATAAGTTGTCCAATTGTTTTGATGGACAGAATCCGCATTGCTCTGGACATAATTTTAAAAATTGCAATCTCAAAATTAGGAGAGAAAATTCAGACTATTACGATAAAATTTTAGTAGCTTCAAAAACTGGATGTGCTCTCAGCTCTCAAATTATTGGTATAAAACTGCAAATTTATGTATTTTGACAAATTGCTACTTAAAACTTGAATAATTGGGCGCAGTGAAATGTGAAAGCAAATTTAAACGAAAATAATAGCAAATACGGGAATTCAAATACGGGACTCAATTAATTTTCTTCTGTACTTTTTACCCGAGATACAAAAAATATCATAGTGCATGGCAGGGGCGGATCTAGGATTTTCTCGAGGGGGGGGGGGGCGGATTTTCAAAAAAATTTCGAAAAGTTTGACGACCTTTTTTTTAGGTCAACCAAATCAATTTTCGGAGCACTCCTAAAGGACTAAAAAGACGCTGTTTTGATCAAATTTTCTGCGCCGCAGGCGAATTTTTGAAAAAAAACAGTCAAAAAGCCGTTTTTGGGCACTTTTTGGAAAAATTTGACAAAAAAATCGCGTTTTTTTTGGCGCCCGCTCCCCCTCAAAGTTAGTATATATTGGCGCCAAAAGCGCCTTTAGAAAAATTTAAGTGTCCGTCACCAAAAATGGGTTTTTTAAAAAGTACCAAAGGGGGACGCTTTGGGTCGCCAGGGTTTGAATCCCTGTAAGGGAAGCGCAATAGCCCCCCCCCCCCCCCCTAAATCCGCCCCTGGTGCGTGGGATAACGTAACTTAAAGTTTTTCCATTTTATAAAATATAAAACCATTTTATTGAACAAAAACGAACTCAGTGAGACAAGTTGAATGGCAGTATTAATAATCAGGTCATCTTTACTCTGATACGAGCAGTCTTTTTTCACTTTGTGTTAATTTACATAAATAATTGCGATAACGTTTTCAGATAACTAGAAACGGTAAATAACTTTTGGAAAATTCTATTAGAATTACAAATGATACGAAATTAAGTTCAACTGCAGCTAGTGGTCATTGAGTTAAACTGAAATTTTCTTTTATAGAATTGTATTTTGTTTTAGAGAACAAGTTTCAATCTTATAGAAAAAATTTTTCAAAAAAAGTAGAGAAAAAAAATAATATTTCAATTTGTAAAAGTACTAACCCATTATTGCGAATCTGAAGTTGCCTAAAAACAAAATCAACATAGTGACCTCCAACCAAGTCTATGAAAGAAATTTCATACAATGAATTTATTTTAAAGGTGAACTAACCAAGGTCCTGCTTCCTGAAGGTGTCATCGTCCCCTAAATTATGGAAAATACTTAAATTATACATTTTTCGCTCAAAATCAAACCAAAAAATTATTGAAAATCACTTCAATTCAGTTATTAACCTGATTTCCCCCAGAAAATTGAACCCTTCATTGCCAAAAAATGTCTCCCCTTTAATGGTGTGATTTTACAGCACCCATTATTGACGGACCAATCCTAGTTTTGTGATTTGGGATTAGTGTTGTTTTTTTTTCATTTTAATGCTTTTCAAAAACCTTTTTTTCAGATTTGTTTCTTTTAATGCGCTAAAATCTATTTTTTCGGAAACATCCAAACTGAAAATCCATTCCTGATTATTACAACCTATTACAAAATATTTGAATCATTAAAACTTCGAAAGAAACCTAAAATATTTCTCACAATTTCTGATGGGGAACTGCAATTCTTCAGCGTTGAGACCTTCTCTTACAGGGAGGATGGTAATATTCTGGCTGATGCATAAGTCAACCTCCAGAGGGACGCTAAGAGCTGAAAAAATTATTATTAATTAGGATAGATTTTTCACTTCGCTCAACCTGGTGAAAATCTAGGAAAACTCAGGTGGTGGAAGATTTTTTTATGTAAGCAAAACGGATTTTCAAAGCTCAACCAAGATATCATACAAACTTTTTCTGAATAAAGTTTCCAAAAAAATTAGCATTTTTCGAGGGGGGACTAAACATCAATTTTGAACGTTTTTTATCCAATCCAAAAGGCGAGGCGACAATCCGTTGGCAGCGTCAAACGGTCGAAAGTTACAAATTGTCGAACTTAAAACAACGATGACTTGCACGGATAAAAACATTAAACGCGATCTAGAAATCAAAAATCAAAGTTAGAAAACAATTTTTGAGAAGTTCGGCCATCAAGATTGGACTTTTTCTTATTTGGCAGCGTTGGTAGCACACTCTCCTGATTGAATTCCAGTAAGTTTTTTCTCGGTACTGCTCAGATCTTTTGGATTGCAAAACTTATGGATAGTCGGATGAGCGCAACCCATTCATATCTGGAGGGCTGTATGCCAGCCTTCTACTGTTATATTAGTTTTCTGTCGGCCCGTCTTTGCATGTTTGATTTGATTCCGCAAAGATTGAGGAAAATGACAAATCCCATGCGGCTATGGTTGATCATCTGGACCCCAGTTGACTCCAAAAATTCAACATAACCCATCAATGGGAAATCGTCAGACTCCTCATAAATTAAAGAGCAGATGGAACTGAAATCTAATTCGAAATCTAATTCTGGCGTAAAACCAAGTCCACAAAATAAATTATCATCCAGCGCGTCTTCTGATCTGCTTTGTAAATTGGAGCCAATTCAAGTTCCTGATGTTCGCGCAACTTTGCCTGAGCGAGATGTACGATATCAAAAGAATGATTTCGAAAAAAGACACTTCAAAAAATCCAGAGCTGAATTCAAACACTGGCTTCACTAATGGCTTCACTCTGCTATGGTTTGACACTTGAATTTTTTTCCTTCAGTTGCCCAAACGCGCAAATATCTTTCTCAACGCTCTAGTTTTTTATTCAATAAGAAGACTAATGGCGTTGTTTACTCTTTCACTGCCACATAAAGTGTAAAAATTAGGTAAAACAGCAATGGGAAAGCTTTAAACGTTCCATTAGCGTGCCATACTAAGATATATTCTATTACTTTCAGTCTCTTATCCGTTTCAACAAACAAATAACTTTCCTGATCGTTCAGGATCAAATCATGTGAAAAAAACTTTCAAGTACTACTATGGAAAGTTTTTGCGTTGGTTTCTTTTTAAAATGTTTCAATCAAAAACGAGTTGCTGTTAACCGCTTGGACTTATGGTGGGCTGCAGAGATTTTTGATATCGTAAGAATTTAGAAGCAAAAATGAGATTTTGAGAGTAATAAACAAGATAATGGCTTTTGGTGTTACTGATTGTTGACAATTTCAACATTAAATCGTTTGAGTATGCAAAGTAATTCAAAACCGTTGTTAATTTTTTTACATCACAATCGCACTTTTTATATATCCCCATTATGATGATCAACTGCATCAAGAATCTTGAAAGCTGGTATTTGTTTCCTCCGTAACTCTTAAAACTACTTATTGTCGCCTGATACGAATGATCGGCTCGTGCTGAGCGTCGTTTTTTCAAAAAAAGTGCAATTAGTCGCTTTCGACAAGTTGTTGCCTAAGGAATACAACCAAGAAAAAAAACCAGGTGTTAAGATTTGATAGCTATATACGTGATGGCAAAGATGTACATAAACTGTTGTATTGCAATTATACGTCTGCATGCACTTAGTTGTAGGAGCTGAAATTTGATTACTATTTTTAGATGTATTTTATGATCATGTATCAAATTTTGAACCCAAGCAATATAACTTATTGAAAATCGAATTTATACCCCTTTTTTGAAATGATTATAGTCAATTTGTTTGATTTCGTTTAACCAGAAACAAAAACAATTTTCAATTTCTTTAAACACAATTGATAACTAATCGTCTCGTTCGTTATATGATTTATTTTTTAAATAAATTACAATCAATTGAAGAATACTATAATCGACTATAAAATTTTTTCTATTTTCCGATTTTAATTTTTTCTATTTCAGCACACCATTTATTTTTTACCGAGATAAATAATTTATTATTTCTTTATGAATTCTTTTTTTTGGTTAATTGACTAAAGAAAATTAAATTAAGAAAGAAATTAAGCTTTTCAAGTTTTATGATGCCGATTAACGACAACAATGAAAACAGTAATTTTAGTTAAAAGTTCTTACAAGAAATTTAAGATGAATGCTCGACTAATGAAAAATAAATATCTTGCTGTCATTGTTGAGTCATTCTCATTATCATTGGCTACCCTAAAAAATAATATTGCCCTCTCTCAATTAAGATTTAACTAATAAAGGGACCTGTAGCTTGCAGAAATATGTTGAGTTAAATTTATGCGTTGACAAGTTATGGAAGCTCAAAGTTTACTATTTGGGCAGTCCATAAATACGCGGCTCTTTGTTTTGAAAAAAAAACTAATTTACAAGGTTTAAGTGCAAAGTTCAAAATTTCTTATGAGATGTATATCATTTCTAAAAAACAGTTAAAGTCAATTTGACACTTTTGGTGGTAGTCAGACTTATCAATTTTTTGACACGACACGACCGAGGTCTTTATCCTTTCATGCAAAACTAAACAATTGTAATCATAATACACAGAAGCCAAGCTGAGTTACGTAGCACTTGCAATATAAAAATGAATGATTATATTTAATATCAGACGGAAAAAAGAATGAATTGAAAAAAAAACCTGCTTCGAAAAACCATAAAAATTGTCTCAAAGTCCAGAAAATTTGGATCACAATTACTGCACAATTAAAAATTTATCAAAGAGCTTTCAAAATACTAAAAGAAGCCGAATTTTGAAAATGTTTTTGGCGGAAAAAGCCGACAAAAAAAGGGAGATAGACAATCTGAATTAGCAAAAAATTGTAAGTTGGCAAAAAAACAGGTGTCGGCTCGAAACGAAATCCCAGTCATTGTCGTCTCAAGCGAGGGTAATTTAAATTGATTTATATTTAAGAAGAGGTAACAAAGCCAAAATTACCAGAGCAGAAATACTTCATATCGAAGAAAAAAGAAAAAATTCTAAATTTTCAGTCTTCTTTTCTTTCAAAACAACTACACTCTTACAAAAAGATTGTTTTGATGCTCAGATGACGCAAAAAGAGGCCACTAAGTTGATATAAAATAAACGAAAACCTATAAAGCCGAGAAACGAGAAAAAAAATTTTTTTTAAAATCAAAAAAAAATTTAAACAAATCGAGTAGGTAAAAAATTACAATCAACATAAAAGCAAACTTTGATTATGTCGGCTATTTGAAAGGCCAACATGCTGTATGACAGATGATTGAGTCCAGAAGATGAGTCCAGTGAACAAGGATATTTACGGTAAAAAAGTCTTGCACCCGGTTGCCATACCATTGCTTATCGCAAGGGTAAAAATTTAGTTTTGGTCTTATAGCAATCGGGACAATGAGAGATTATAATCTATTAAAACCAATTCTAGGGTGTTTTCAGCCAAATATTTAATCAAATAGAATTGATTATATTTCATTGAAAATTCACAATAAATTGTATCATTATATCGGATTGTTACTATAATGAACGCCTAAAATTTGGTTCTAACATCTAATTATCAGTGAGAAAAGCTCGCTTTGCTCGCGGAATCTTTCAAGTCCAACTTTTTTGAAAAAATTTTTTTTTCCATTACATGTGCTTCAATGTAGATTTTTGGCATTTTAACAATCTCTCGCGGCTCTAAGATCACGTAAGCCCCTCTATGATATAAATCATAATTGATTTATGATGTTTTTCACAAATTTTTAAATTTGTATACTTCAGGGATCTCTTTAACTATTTCCCCTTTTTGGTTTTTTGTTACAAACTGCCACCCCTATAAAGAACTTTTTAATGGTTAAGCATATGTGAATTTTGAACCTAGTAATGAACCTCCCCTTTTTGCAACTGGGGAGAAATAGATAAAGAGATTCTGATCAGAGCATCATTTTAACATTTTCTTATCTTCGGCTCTTTTTCGTGATAGCCCACCTTAAAACTTCAAATTCTTTGTTAAACTTGGGGCTGAACATTCAATTAAAGAGGCTGAGGAGGAGAAGAGGAATATTGAGAAAAAATTGAAAGTTCAGCTTAAATTTTTGATAAAATAATGGAGGAATTTTGCTTGCAAACCGAGTCTTATTTGTTTTTATTCCGTGAAAACTCGTCATTTCATGTTTTTGAAATAATTTAGAGGTCTTTATTTAAAAGTTTTTTGCTCAATCGTATAAAAAAAACGGTCAAAAAATTGAAGTAGTCTACAAGGTAAGCCGTAGGCGTTTTAGACGATCTTTGTTTGTTGTTAAAAATATACATATTTGTAATTAATTAATGATCAACTGAATTAAATAATATTATTAGTTAAGATATAGTATGAACAATTAAAATTTAGAATTTGCCTCGAACCTCTTGAAATAGGTCTTATAGATTGTTTCTCCTGGCCGTTCAGCAGAATGGAGTAGTAGTCTCCACTGAGCAGGTTGAAAAAGTCTTCCGGTGTCTCCCATTGGACAAAGAGGAGAGTGGGCGTGAGAAAGAAGAAGCTGTGATCAATTGGCCTGCCACCCGAACCTAAATATATAATTTTCATACAGGCCTGCTGGTGCAGGATATTTTGCGAGGGGGTTGGGGGTTGGGGGTTGGGGGTGGGGTGTCACTAGGTCTGAAACCCCATTATGTCGTGACCCCACCCATTGTAAAAATGTGCCCGAAGAAGCCGTTTTTTGGCAGTTTTTTGAAAGTTTTAAGTTTCTAAAAACTGGATTTTTGGAAGAGCTCACCCTCAGTTCTGCAAGGAATTTCTCGACTGCTCACACTGTTGTCATAGCTCACCCATCCAAAATCGAATTCGTGATGGCATGAAATCGCAATCATAGTCTGGACCGAACAAATCAGCTCAGTAGCCAACGGAAGAGACGTGATGTCGGAAGATTCGAACGTGAAGAGACCCTCATTACTTTGAGAGGGGATCGGAAGTCTGGTGGATATAAGAAGCTCTCCGGTGATAGTTCTGACGCTAACCAAATATGCGTTTGGTGCAATAGTACCACTGATAGGTTCACTCCATGTCAAAATGACTGCGTCTTCAGCTGAACTGGCTTGTTTTAAGTTTTCAACAGGGTCGGGTCCTGCAGAAAAGAGCAAAGCTTGAAGAGGATTGTTAGCACTGATCAGACAAGAAATTATAGTGCGGTTAATCAAATTATCCGAAAAACAAACAAGTTCATTTTCCAAATCTGGTTAAATTTTGACAAAAATTTAGCCGGCAAACCTCCTGAGCCCAAAGAAAGCTGAGCCTAAAGAAGGCTGATTTTTAAAAAATTATTCAATATATGTATATATATATATACAGGGGCGGATCTAGGATTTTCTTGAGGGGGGGGGGCGGATTTTCAAAAATTTTCGAAATTTTTGTCGATCTTTTTTTTAGGTCGACCCTAATTGATTTTCCGAGCTCTCCCAAAGCACTAAAAAGACCCTGTTTTGGTCAAATTTTCTGCGCCGCAGGCAAAACTTTGAAAAACAGGCCAAAAAAGGCGTTTTTAGGCACTTTTTAGAAAATTTTGACCAAAAAATTGTTTTTTTTGGCGCGCGCTTCCCCCTTAAAGTAAGTATATATTGGCGCCGAAGGCGCCCTTAGAAAATTTTTAGGGTCCGTCACCAAACATGGAGATCTCAAAATAGTACAAAGGGGAGACCCTTTGGGTCGGCAGGGGGTCGAATCCCTGAGGTGATCTCTCATATATATGAAAGTTAAACTTTTTGTATTACAAGATTTTTTCTAATTAACTTTTTTGATAAAATTTGCCAACTTTGAAAAATTGAAAAAACTTGGTCGAGCGCCATCATAATACGGTAAAATTTTTATTTCCAAATCCCAAACCAATATAGTTTATTTGAAATTTACTATCCACAAGGGAAAGGACCAACGTACGAGATGTTCAGCTCTTTACGGGGAACCGTTTTTGTGCCTCTGCTTAGGAATTACATGTAATTTTTTGGCTATTCATATTACATCACAGATACTTACGCGAGCAGTACTTGAAAGAAGCGACTTCAAATGAAGTAATCTTCTCGGAGGGTCTTTCGATGAAGCTTTCAATTTGAACTGTGAAAACCTCCGCGGGCGGAAATTTCATTTTTATAGTTCCATTAACTGATGAACTGTTCACACCTGTCGGAAACATTTCGGCACTGTTTGGCCAAACTGATTTGATCTGAAACCCGTCAATGTGACCTCCGACCGGTTTGACGTCTGAATAATGTGAAGATCCGAAATGAACAAATTCCGAAGATTGCACCATCGACACATAGAACATATCAACTCCGCGTGGTACTGAAAAAAAAATGAAAACTTGATTAGGGCTGAAACTTCTCAAGAAAATGCTACCTTTTGGAATTTTTTCTAAGAAACTTACAAGAAGCGCAAGAACTGTAGCCAAAACGTTTTTTCTATAGGATAAAGAAAGATCAGAACATCAAAATATCTGCAATCGAATTAACTTTTTATTAAGAATCCACTTGCGAAAATTCTAGATGACTGAATCATGATATCCGAATTCCTGGTTCAGTCTCTGGTCATTTTTATATTGACTATGCAATCACCAAAAAATTACTTTCGCAATCATGACAACCCAATTCCTGTTTCAGGAGATGACCAGATTTAAATTGACCATGCAATCACCTATAAAAATTGCTGTAGCAGTGTTTCGAATTACTAAAGAGTAACGCCATAAATTCAAGAAAGACTTGATTGAATCATGGAAACCTTGTCTCCCTGTTTTGTTTGCTAGTTTGCTACCTATGCAGACGTATCCCGGGTTGACTTAAAGTCCCTATCTTACAACTTTTCTAATAAGATTCTTACAACTTCTTACAAAATGACTCCCCTCTTTCTCCCCTCAGGGATTCGACCACCTGCTGACCCCAAGGGTCCCCTTTGTACTTTTTGAGATATCCATTGTTGGCTGACTAACCTTAACACTTTTCTAAAGGCGCTTTCAGCACCAATATATCCTAATTTTGAGGAGGGAGCGCGCGCCGAAAAAACGCAATTTTTTGGTCATTTTTTCCAAAAAGTGCCTAAAAATGCCTTTTGAGGCCTGTTTTTTTTTGAAAAATGTGCTTGCGGCGCAGTAAATTTGGTCGAAAATAGGTCTTTGTAAGGATTTAAGAGAGTTCAGAGAATCAATTTGCTCGACTAAAAAAGTCGACAAGTAAGTTTTCCAGAGCAAACAAAGAAAGCTTATTTGAGGAAAAATTAGGTGATCCTCAGTTCAGTTATGACTTAAGACATAAGCTGATAGTCGCGTAAATAGTGACCAGCTCTACCACGACCTGTAATGGTTTATTAATTCGTGGGTTTTGGGTTTATTGCATTTGATTTTTGCCAGAGACTCCACGAGAACACGAAAACGCTCAGGCGATTACAGAAAGGGAAGCTCGACACCAACTAGCCCGGGATAAGATTCTTCTAGAAAATGAAGAAAGAAAAACTAGATGACCAAAGGTTGGACACAACGTACATTACAACGAGGTACAGAAACGAGTAGCCTCTAGATTATTTCTGGCGTTGGGCAGAAGGAAAGAAGAAATTTGTTCAAAAGAACCCGCATGTAGAAGTTTCAAAGTTAGAATTCAGGCAGATGGTAGCGTTGGCTAAGACTTCATTTGATAAATCACAGAGTGTTACGTATGACTGCTACAAGCTGTTTGACCGTTCACAGGAAACAGGGGAATCACTAGAGGCATTTCATGCCGCATTAACTGCTCAAGCAGCTAGAGCAGAATTAGGGACACTGGAGGATGAGCTAGTGCGTGACCTATTCATATCGAAAATGAAAAATGTGGCATTACAAGATACACTAACGTTTGAAACATTTTCACCGGAGGAAGTATTGAAAAGGGCGTTGAAATTTGAACAAAGTAAACAGACAACTCGGGCATTTCAGAAAACTAATGCAACGACTGCAAGTACAGCTCAGGTAAATGGAACAATGAAGATAAAACAAGAACCAGTTATGAGTATTGGAAATAAAAATGCTTACGGAAGGAGACAGCCGAACAACATGTACAAGAAGAAATCATCAGACAGAAAAGATGGAAAAAATTTTACAGACACGAAAACGTGTACTCGATGTGCTCGACCATTTGGGGAAGGACATTTGATGAAATGTTGAGCCATGGGCAAAACATGTAAAAATTGTTCTAAACCAAATCACTTTGCAAAAATATGTAAGTCACAGCAAGTAAATGAGATTGCGGAAAAATCATCCAGCTCAGATGAAGAGTGCAATTTAATTCAGTCATTTGACTCGTGTGAAGAGTTCGAAATTATAGCTATTGAATCAGAATTGTCTTCGATGGAAGAGATAGATGAGTATATAAAACAGCAATCAAATAGAAACCGAGATATCAAGAAAAGTAGCAAGGACATACAGAAGGTTGATATTCGCAGAAATACCCGATCCAAACAAATAAGATCATTAAAAGCTTTGGTGAGAAAAGATCATCAAATCATAAACATGACTATTGATACGGGCAGTCCTGTATCATTTTTGAACTGGGCTACTGCAAAGCAAATTCTGGAGTCTTCGAAAAATACGAGGTTCATTCCACGGTAAAATCTCAACTTGACTACAAAATTTGTAGACTATAACAAACAGCCGATAAATATATTGGGTGCAATCACCACGACCATCCGTTCAGCAGGGTGGGAGGTGGTGGGAGCATCATTCTTAATCACAGACCGACGCACGCGATGTATTTTGGGGCTAGATTTACAGAGCAAAGTCGGGATACACACAACACAGAAGTTGGCACCGAAAGAAAAGACGAGGTTTGACGTGTTACTGTGCGAACAGTCAGAAGGTTGGAAAAACAAATTCTATGGTAAATTTAAAAACCTTTTTGATCGTCAAGGGTGTTCAAAAAATCACGTTGTCAGCAAAAAGTTCAAATACCCACTTTGTCCATTACAAGAAAAGGGGAGACGCATCCCAATACACATACAAGGGAAAATGTATGAGGAAATGGAAAAACTGTTAAAAGAGGGGCATATAAAACGTCTAGACAAATGTACTAGTTGTTGTTTTATAGCACCTATTGTGATAACAGTAAAAAAAGATGACTCCATAAAATTAGTTTTAGATGCCAAACCAATAAATAGACAGTTGTTTAAAAACAAATATCAAATGCCGATTGTGGATGAATTATTGGACGGGGTTAGCCAAATAATCACAGCAAATGAAAGCGGTACACTGTATTTCTCAGTATTAGATTTGAAGTATACCTACAGTCAACTTAAACTGACTGCAGAGACAGCTAAACAATGCAATTTTAACATCATAGGTGGGCAAGCTACTGGAACATACAGATTTTTGACCGGATTTTACGGTCTGGCAGATATGCCAGCTGAATTTCAAAAGGCTTTGGACAGAACATTGAATCATGCGGAAAATTTATTCTGTTTTCTTGACGACATACTCATTGTGTCTAAAGGAAGTGAACAAGAACACAAAAAATTGATCATGAATGTGTTGGAAAAGCTAGAAAAAGAAAACCTGGCACTCAAACTGTAAAAACGTGAATTTTTTCAACAGGAGGTGAATTGGTTGGGACATAAGTTATCGTTGGAGGGTATTTCTCCAAAGATAACAAAAACGGAAGCGATTTTGAAGCTTAGTCCGCCAATTTCACTGAAACAACTCAGATCATTTCTGGGTAGCATAAATCATCTGGCCAAAATCATTCCAAACGCAGCTAATTTAACTGAAAAGTTGAGACCTCTGTTGCGAGAAGAAAATGAAAAAAAAATTTTCAAAAGTGTGAAAATTAAAGTAAAAAAATTCGAATGGAAAGAAGAACATTCGGAAATATTCGAATCGATAAAAGCAGCGGTTGCGAATATAACAAAAATTCATTATTACGACCCTAAGTTACTTACTAGGGTAAAATGTGATGCCAGCCATAGTGGGCTGGGGGCATCAATGGAACACTAAAACTGGCAGGGGGAGTGGATACCGATTGCATTCGCTTCCAGATATTTAAACACACAAGAAAAAAACACTCCACAAATGAACTAGAACTGCTAGCAGTAGTATGGTCTGTTGACCGATTTAAACATTATTTGTTAGGAAAAGAATTTGTGATAGCCACAGATCATAAAGCAATGGTTTCTGCCTTGGATGAACATAAGTCAAACAAAACCTACCAATCTAGGCTGACTAGATGGGTAGACAGATTACTAACCTATCAATTTAAGGTTATTCATTTACCGGGGAAAGATATGGGCATAGTAGATTACCTATCTAGAAACCCGAAAGGTGAACCATGGCCGGAGTCAGTATTGGATGAAAAATTTGAAGTCACATCGATTGAAAGTTTTCATAAAGCTCTCGACTGTTTAAACAGTCGACTGAGTGATCACGATAGGCTCGACCGGAACAAAAACGTTCTAGAATATTCTAGAATTGATCATAATGTATCAAATCAGAACACGTCATCTACCCGTTGCTATGGCAACCAAAACGGTCCAAAACGGACAAAGCACGACCGGAACGAAAGAAATGAAGATTCACGTTCGTTTCAACGCGAAAAGTTTGAAAACTCAAAAATCAGTTTATCTCAAAATCGTCAGCAAATACAGTCGGTTGAATCAGCTAAAAAAAATCGGAAAATTTTCAAATAGCGAATCAGAAAATATGCAGTCAGGCGAAATAGCAAAGAGAGGAAAAGAGAAAAAATGATCAGAATTCAGGATCGGAATAACACAGACACATTAAAGGAGGAAATAACAGAAACGACGTTCCAAAGAACTAGAATGATACAAAGGACCCCAAACAAATCAGAATCAGAGAATTCAATACCACAAGCGAATTGGAACATGATGAACAGACAAATCAGAACTGACACGATAATAGTGGTCAGTCAACATCAACTGCTCAAACAGCCCAACCTATGTTAGTTTCATTTTGGGAACTAATAGGATCGGAAAAGAATGAGAAACCCCGACCAATGATGGAATTAGAAGCCAAGTCGTTGATGCAAAGCCCGAAATCATCGAAACAAACCCAATCAGGAGATGAAACTGAAATTGGACAAATCGTTGAGGTGGATTTAACGATGGACAGCATTGATGAACCAGACTACCTTTCAGGAAATGAGACTTGTATGGTCACACCGCAACAGAAAACGAGAAGTGGACATAAGTCGCGGAAAAGCAATTACCAACTGTCGGAGCAGTTAAAGGAAACAAATGGCCCACTGTCTCTCAAAAAATTATTCGACAAAAGTCTACTGGCGGAACTCGTATCAGAGGACACCTGGATGGATCGGCTCAGGCGAGTGGTGGAACGAAACGATAGACACGGATTCGAGCTAACGGGTCCATACACCAATCCTCTGTGGCACCAGATGTCGGTAGTAGATGACTGCCTACTGGTGGACAATCGTTTAGCCGTACCTGAGAAGCTAAGACAAGCGGTGCTTCGGCGACTTCATCAAGGACATCCTGGCCAAGAAGCGATGTTGGAGGTTTTCAATTACTTATGGTGGCCACACATGCACAAAGACATAGTCAATATGGCCGAAGAGTGTAGAAGTTGCACTCGTTATGGTAAGAATGTTAAATATATAATCCCAAAAAATTCGGCCAGACCACTTCCACTGTTGACACAGCCGGGTAAAAAATTACAATTAGACTATGCGGGTCCACTTGAAGACCATAAGAGAAAGAAGATATATTTGTTAGTTGCCATTGATAGATGCTCATAATTTCCGTCAGTCAAAGTTACGAAATCTACAGGGGGAAAATCAACAATAAAATTTCTACGTACTTACATGGAATACCAGAATCGATTAAAACGGATCAATTTTCAGGTTTTAAAGGAAAATCAATGAAAAAATTCTGCACTGAAAATAATATTATTCAAAAATTCTGCCCAGTCGGTGATCATCGAGGATGTGGACTGGTCGAAAGAACGATACAAACTATTAAACGAAAATTGGGAGTAATGCTACTCGAAGAAAAAGTACAATCTATTAAATTGTGCTTGAGCACAATAATTAGGGACCTAAGATGGAATAAACAGAAAACAATAAAGTTGTCCCCGTTTGAAGCGCACTTTGGTCGGTTACCTAAAACTGAGTTTAAAATTGTACGGGATAAATTTCTGAAGGAATCTGATCGTTTAGATAAAGAACATTTGGAGAGATTGGTGTTAACAGCATCGCAGTTGAAGAGACGCATCGATCAATCCCGGGAAAATGTAAAAATTATACGAAAAGGACAGAATAGCCGGGATGTCAGCCCACTGTTTCTACGCAACAATGCGGCGGCCAAAGAAAGAGCAAGGGCAAAGGAACCAAAGCAGCTACTAGAGGCCAATGCGAGATGGAATGTCACCAGACGGGATATCTCAGATAGCGAACTACGACGGATTGTAGATGAAACGAGCACGATAAATCCCGAACTGAGAAAGGAACTCCTATACTCATGGCAAAAAGGATTTATCGAAGACAAGCAGACTACAGCGGATGATAGCTGGTCAGGAAGCTTCCTCCGAAAACAAGAGCAACGAAAGAGTGGAAAGGCCCTAACAATACCGCTGAAAGGCAAAATAGTGGCAGAGACACCGTCAACTATCAAAACAGTTGCTGGTGCAGTATATAGAAAGAGCGACGTAGCGAGGTCAAAACTGCATACACAGCCCAAAGCACAGAGCGCGGAGAAAAAGAGGAGCCCAACGGGGGAGGAACCTAGGAGCAAACAACAGAAGACAGTATCACATCATGAAGACGTAGACAGTGAGTCGGCTGAAGAACATGATGCGAAAGACCAGGGGCCAACTGATCAGGAAGTAGAAGACAATCGACTAATGGACAAGTTTCAAAACTCGCCAAACGTAGTTACGTCAAAAGAACTAAAGACGGGCGGGGGCTTAAATCTAGGAGGAAAAAGGGTTAAGCCAAATAGGGCAGGACCATTAGTCCAAAGTGCAAGATCTGGAAGAACTAAGACGCAAGAGCCACGTGCAACGAAAACTGTTGAAACAGCAAGAGAATCTAAGAAGCGGGATACGATTAACGAAGCTGTATACATAGAGTCGTCTGCACCGAAAGAAGCTCCCGTGAGCAAAAAGATTACACGGCAAACTAGTGAAAAGGAAATTCTGGACTTATTCCAGAATAACAATTTGACAACAAAAGAATGGGAAGAAATCACAAACCAGGTTTTGACCCGAGGGGTACAAAACGAAGCAGAAAAACTACTGACTCAACAAGCGGAATCAGTTGCCAATAACCCGGCAGTATTTGTGGACGAGTCGGACAAAGAAGAGAATACAACGACAGTCAGAAGAAGTAGTCGACAAACAAAGAACCAGGGACCAAAGAGATACGGCAGCCCGTTTTCACACTCAGTAAAGTTGATTAGTTGTGACGACGATGTAATAGAGCTAAATTTGGCAGCACTTGAGGCCTACATATTGAGACTGGCAAAGTTGAACATCAATAACAAGGAAACGACATTGGAAAACAACACGTTTGACTTACTAGAGAGACATTTGTTCAAAAGAAAATTCGGAGCTACATCGTTGGATGAGTCGGGATCGTGGAACACTGCAAGAAACAAAGCGGAAGTGATGAAGAAAACAAGCAAGGAAAACTAAACTAAAATGAAAACAATTTAGTAAACTGAAATTTATATACTATTTATAAAATTTTATAAGGTATTTTATAAAATTTTGTTGTCCTCAGGGGAATGTGGTACCGTGTAGTACTGTTGCCACAGTAACCTTGGTTAAAGTGTTATTAATATTCTGTTATGTATTGTTAGTATTATTCAAGGCCATCCATGCAGGCCAAACGTAACAGTCATTTGGACGGTTGCGATCGTAGAAGACACTTGAACGTGATCTCTAAGAGAACTAAGCAATTCAACAATACAGAATTAAATTCAATTATTCTCTCTTGCTCTTACCTACTCGTAGCATAGCAACATCACAAAATAAATCAAATTTTGTCGTCTCAATTTCCCAATTTATTATAAGAAAACTAATTAAGTTCCCGTATACTCATTTTCACGTTTACTCACTTTCTTAGCCCCAGTAATGGTTTTAAGAATAGTTTGTCTTGCCTTGGGATCTCTGCGTTTTTCTGAACTTTAATTTACATTTTTGCAATGTATATGTAACTCGTTTGTAACCCGCTATTTTTTCCCAAAAACGCAAACAATCATTTGAAAACAATTTTTCTATGATTCAATCGTGGGCTCTAAAATATTCGATCTGAAGTCAAGTGCAAAAACAGCTACAAAAACTAGATCTGGTTATACTATCAATGTGAAACCTGTGGTAATGTTGAAATAAGACGCAGGTCCAGTCAAATTGCCACATTGTGCTGAAATAGCCAGCTGATAGAAACAACCCATCACTACTCCTGTTATATTCTGCTGAGCTGCCAAATCTGGGAAGGTCCCCTCTATGTTGTCACTGCACCCTTGGTGGTTCAGACTGGATAGACGGTAGAGCATTGACTGGAAGGATCCGGACAGGACTCCAGAGATGCCAGAAAAGGAGATGGTGCTGCTCCTCTCAAGGTCACTGACTTGCACCTCTGAGCTGTTGACAAAATCGGGAACTAAATCGAGAAACCATGAAAAATAGGGCAAAATAGTATACATTGTTCCGATCACGAAGTTCGGGTCGTTTTTTTTTTTGGACAAAAGCAGATGCCAGAAATAGTTTTCACATGTCGTTGAAAGCTATATCAAAAATTGATTCGATCTAACTTCTAAAAATTGCAAAAAACTCGCGGTATTCAAAAATTTGCTTTTTAGCCAAACCTACATATTCATACTCATTTTAAGCTTGAGTTTCTAAACTATGTTTACTCGTTGGAGGCGGAGCAATAAGCAGAATGGTCTAAGAGCAGAATGGGTCTAAGAGCAGAAACACAGAAAAAAATGCCTTTTACTGATTAATACGGGCAAATTGATAGAAACAATTATCAGAATCAGGGGCGCATCTAGGATTTTCTCGAGGTGGGCGGATTTTCAAACAATTTTCGAAAACTTTTTTTTAGGTCGACAAAATTGATTTCCGAGCTCTCCTTAAGCACTATAAAGAGGCTTTCTTGGCCAAATTTTCTGCGCCGCAGGCAAATTTTTGAAAAAAACTGGTCAAAAAAGCCGTTTTTGGGCCTTTTTTGGAAAATTTTGACATAAAGATCGCGTTTTTTCGGCGCGCGCTCCACAAAGTTAGTATTTTGGCGCCTAAGGCGCCTTTAGAAAAATTTTAGGGTCGGTCGGCCGAAAATGGATTTCTTAAAAAGTAGCAAAGGGGGGACCCTTTGGGTCGGCAGGGGGTCGAATCCCTGAGAGGGAGAGCGTCGCCCCCCAACCTCCACCACTCCCCGCCCTCCCCGTCCTCCCCCCTCCCTCCTCCTAAATCCGCTCCTGATCAGAATCGTCAATAATATCAAGAAAATTTGTGGCTCTTTTTCCTTTCCCCCCACCTGCAAAATTTTACAAATGTAAAGTTTGTTCACATGATTCCATTGATTTGAAAGTTGGCATACGGACTAATAAGGCCATGGCAAACATATTTGTTCTTCATAAATAACCTTGTAAAACCACTTGTTACACCGCAAAATTGATGCTCGTGTGAGGTGCGGGGGGGGGGAAGCCAAATGTATAAATTATTCATGAATTGAGTAATTTCATCTAGTACTTTTTCATTGATTTTTTTTTAAATCTAGATTAAATTACTTAAAATAAAATATTAGTTTTTTTGGTAATATTAACTATTATTATACTTAACTTTCCAATCAGCTTATAGAGGAGTATAATTTTCTGTTTTTTTTTTGCTTTTGGACCCATTCTGCTTATTGACTGGCCAAATTATTCGTTAATAGTGGCTTTAGTAGTTTGTTCTAAGTCATTTTTAATTTCTTGTTTATTCACAAAACCAGTCGAATATTTGAAAAAAAATTAGGAAAAATTAGGGAAAACCTAATTTTCCAAGATGAGCTATATCCTTTTTGGATGAAGCACAATTTTGCCAATATAGTGGGACAATTCTTTTTATTTGCCTATATGCCGTGTTTTTTCGAGTTATATTTTGATTTAAAAAAATTTTCAGCCCTTTTTAATAAAAAGAATGTTTTTTAAACCAATGTCATAATAAAATATTTTGATCTGATCCGTACCCGTGCAAGCATACGAAACTGCGGTTTGTGAGGGCAAGTCGAACCCATAATTACACCTGCTCCTGCCAAGTTTTACAGTTACATTAACCCCGTACTCCGTTCCAGCCGCCAGACCCGATAAAAAGTAAGGTAGCGACAATGCATTGATGTTGTCCACCATTGTGATTGACAACGGAGACAGGACGCTAAAGTATTGTACAGAGAATGTATCCCAGGTGTTGTTTGGAGAGATTACCACACGCAATGCTGATGAATTGAGGGTCGTTAGTGTGGATAAGACAGGATCGAGCTCTAAATGGAAACGAAGTTGATTTTTCATGATTTTTATGATTTTTTGCTTCTTAATTGTTAACTATTGTTAAGTACGCAAAAAAATTTGTTTGGTTTAATTGCCACCTGTGTGGACAGAACCTACTGTCACATCCAACAGAAGCAGTTGTGATAGTAGCAGATGACGTCACTGAGCCAGTGGCTCCACAATGAGTAGTGTTCCCTACACCCACAGTCACCGTCACATTGTACTCTTTCCCCACCCCCAGTCCACCCCCGCTGAAGGTATGATTGAAGGTATCTGCATACTGTTGGAGGAGGGGGCGTCAATCAAGCTTTCTATTCCGCAGCACAATCATCCAAAACAACTGTAAGGTAAGAAAAATTGCCCAAAACGGTATTTCAATGGGCTGGGGGTATATTCGAAAAAACCCCAAAATGCGTTTTAGGCTCTCATTAAAAAGGATGCACACCAAAAATAGCACGCAGACTGTATTGCCAGCTATAATTCTAAGACCAGAGGTTTCAAATGAGCAAACCAGATTAGCACCGTTAATATCGAGCCCTGTTAGCTTGATTGATGCCTGAGGAGAAGATTGTAGGCCATGGTCAGTGTTGATCTCAGCCATCCAATAATCGAATCTTCCGTTTGGAATTGAAACGCTGATCATCAAGGACGTTGAATCGAGCCCTTTTGAAGTGACTTCAGGCGTGTCCGGCACTGAAACAAAGACATACTTTTAACAAATTTGACTTTTTTTGTGATTGAGTCGCTATGGATTTACCCAAGCAAACTGGTAAACTTTCGGTCTTTTATTTGACTATCTGCCGTGTTTTTTTAAGTTATATTTTGATTTAAAAAATTATCAGTTCTTTCAAAATGAAAAAAATAAAATTTGAAGTTTTTTGAACTGATAGCATATTAAACTATTTTGATCTAATCCGTACCCGTGCAAGCATACGAAACTGCGGATTGTGAGGGCAAGTCGAACTCATAATTACACCTCCTCCTGCCAAGTTTCACAGTTACATTAACCTCGTATTTCGTTCCAGCCACCAGACCCGATAAAACGTAAGGTAGCGACGATGCATTAATGCTGTCTACTATTGTGGGTGACAGCTGAGACAAGAAACTAAAGTATTGAACAGAGAATGTATCCCAGGTGTTGTTTGGAGAGATTGCCAGACGCAATGCTGATGAATTGAGGGTCGCTATTGTGGCTAAGACAGGATCGAGCTCTAATAGAAACAAAATTGGTTTTCCATGATTTTTATGATTTTTTGCTTTTTAATTGTTAACTCTTGTTAAATACACATAAAATTTGATTGGTTTAAGTGCCACCTCTGATAACAGAACCTACTGTCACATCCAACAGAAGCGGTTGTGATAGTAGCAGATGACTTCATGAAGCCAGTGGCTCCACAATAAGTAGTGTTCCCTACACCCACAGTCACCGTCACATTGTACTCTTTCCCCACCCCCAGTCCACCCCCGCGGAAGGTATGATTGAAGGTATCTGCATACTGTTGGAGGAGGGGGCATCAATCAAGCTTTCTATTCCGCTGCACAAACATCCAAATCAACTGTAAGGTAAGAAAAATTGCCCAAAACGGTATTTCAATGGGCTGGGGGTATATTCGAAAAAAACCCAAAATGTGCTTTAGGCTCTCATTAGAAAAGATGCACACCAAAAATAGCACGCAGACTGTATTGTCAGCTATAATTCTAAGACCAGAGGTTTCAAATGAGCAAACCAGATTAGCACCGTTAATATCGAGCCCTGTTAGCTTGATTGATGCCTGAGGAGAAGATTGTAGGCCATGGTCAGTGCTGATCTCAGCCATCCAATAATCGAATCCTCCGTTTGGAATTGAAACGCTGATCATCAAGGACGTGGAATCGAGCCCTTTTGAAGTGACTTCAGGCGTGTCCGGCACTGAAACAAAGACATACTTTTAATAAATTTGACTTTTTTTGTGATTGAATCCCTATGGATTTACCCAAGCAAACTGGTAAACTTCCGGTCTTTTATTGGCCTATCTGCCGTGTTTTTTCAAGTTATATTTTGATTTTAAAAATTATCAGCACTTTCAAAATGAAAAAAAAAGTTAACGTTTTTTGAACTGATGGCATAATAAACTATTTTGATCTGATCCGTACCCGTGCAAGCATACGAAACTGCGGATTGTGAGGGCAAGTCGAACTCATAATTACACCTCCTCCTGCCAAGTTTCACAGTTACATTAACCTCGTATTTCGTTCCAGCCGCTAGACCCGATAAAACGTAAGGTAGCGACGATGCATTAATGCTGTCTACTATTGTGGGTGACAGCTGAGACAAGAAACTAAAGTACTGAACAGAGAATGTATCCCAGGTGTTGTTTGGAGAGATTGCCAGACGCAATGCTGATGAATTGAGGGTCGCTATTGTGGCTAAGACAGGATCGAGCTCTAATAGAAACAAAATTGGTTTTCCATGATTTTTATGATTTTTTGCTTTTTAATTGTTAACTCTTGTTAAATACACATAAAATTTGATTGGTTTAAGTGCCACCTGTGTGGATAAAACCTACTGTCACATCCAACAGAAGCAGTTGTGATAGTAGCAGATGACGTCACTAAGCCAGTGGCTCCACAATGAGTAGTGTTACCTACACCCACAGTCACCGTCACAGTGTACTCTTTCCCCACCCCCAGTCCACCCCCGCTGAAGGTATGATTAAAGGTATCTGCATACTGTTGGAGGAGGGAGCATCAATCAAGCTTTCTATTCCGCTGCACAAACATCCAAAACAACTGTATGTTAAGAAAAACTGCTCAAATCGGTTTTTCAATGGGCTGGGGTTATATTCGAAAAAACCTTAAAATCGCTTTAAGCTCAGAAAGGATGCACACCAAAAATAGCATGCAAGCTGTGGTGCCAGCTATAATTCTAAGACCAGAGGCTTCAGATAAGCAGACCAGATCAGCATAGTGAATATCGAGCCCTGTTAGCTTGATTGATGCCTGAGGAGAGGATTGTAGGCCATGGTCAGTGCTGATCTCAGCCAGCCAATAATCGAATCCTCCATTTGGAATTGAAACGCTGATCACCAAGGACGTGGAATCGAGCCCTTTTGAAGTGACTTCAGGCGTGTCAGGGTCTGAAGCAAAGTCATAGTTTCAACAAATTGTTTTTTTTTGCGAATAGGTCGCTTTGGATTTAAGCAAGCAGTGTTAAGCCGCCTGTCTAAACATTAAAAGGTCCATTATTTTTTCCTTATAGTATCCTTGTATGATAAAAGTAATATCTTTTATACCGAAAACTTATTAAATTTTGACTTTATCTTTTATTGTAATCCATTAGACTCGATTCTAATTTGTAATGATCAATTTTAATTGAAAATACTAAATGCATTTTTTCATAATTTTAGAATTTGCATGCTTCAGTTCTTTAGGCTTTGAATCAGTTTTGCATATTTTCACCCAAAAACAGCAGTGTAATTGTAAGTAAAGCTTCTCAAAAAACATCTTATTTTCAAGAAAAAACTCTCATGAGGCTTACCCTGATTTACGCTTAAGCATGCCAGCCGTTTTCGCCAGCTATCTTACAAAACTCGAAATTTTAAAAAATTATATGCGTGTTGTCCAATGCCAAATTTTACGTGGAGTATTGGCAATGAAGTAATTATTGTCGGTACATTAATTATTGCTCATTATTGTTCCAAATTCCGAAGAAAGCGACTGAAAATTTGTGCTCGGGTGGTTTAGTTTCGGACCAATTTCAATGATTTGTTAACTGGCCCTTTTTAAACAAAAAAAACTTCCAAAAAACATCCAAACCCTAGCATCCAAAATGGTTGGATTAGCTGAGCTCAAATTTTAAAAATATTACCTGTGATCGTTTATTGAGGCTTGAAAATCGTCATTTGAGCTAATTTAGGACAAATAAGTTGGAGAGATATTTCGTGTTATTAATGCGTAAACGCGTAAATCCCCCCTTCCGCGCTTAGTTCCTTAATTCCGCATCACCTTCCACAACAACTGAGGGCGTTAGGGAATTCAGATGGTGGGTTAGAATGAACAGTAATCGAACGGGGGGATAAATACGCAATTTATGTAAAGTTGATTAGGTTTGGATTTCGAGTAGGCCGCAAGTACGTAAGTATAGCAGTTGTTGAAAATTTTGCTAAAATTTTTACCAAAAATGTAGACATTATAATCCATTATAGTTAATTATAACACGTTTTAATGGATTACAATCTATTATTTTGGAAATTAATGAATTTTGTTTTAACAAAAGAATCAAATTGATTATAATGACAGTACAATCGATTTCATGGTCTAAATTCGCAACACAAATGACGACAATTTGTACAGCATTTTCTTTTAATAATAGTTTTTTATTCATGAAACTTGAGTCGTCTTTGTTTCTGCGGAAAAAATTTAAATTTTGATCTTTTTTATGCAGCGAGTGAGCAACAACTCCATTCAAAAAGTTGCGAAAATGCACTTTGAGCAAAACATTAAGGAAAAACTCCACAGACTGAAAAAATTGTTTTAATTGATTCACAAAAGCTGAGGACATAACATTTTGCATTAGGAGAAGAAAATAACGTATTGTGATTCTTTATTTTTCAACGCCCGTACATAGCGGACTTTCTATACAAGATATGAAATTCATTTTTTCTTACATATATTGATTCTCAGATCTGAAAATCCATACTTCAGATCTGAGAAAACCCTTGTTAAACTGTAATTTATGCATTTTGCGCAAACAAGTGAAATTTCGCTTTTGTGCTGTTTTTTGCAATGCACAGTTGTATCTAAAAAAATACAAAATGAAAAAATTTCCAGTTAAATACACACATTTTTTTCAATCTAACCTTCTTGCTCAATTGTTATGAAAACTTTTCAAAAATTGTTAAAAACATATCAAATTTTGATAGTCATACCTACGCTTTATCTCATGCTTTGAGAGCAGTCTTTGATTAGAGAGTTTGCTAGTTATTTTGCTGATTAGAGATTTTGCTAAGTACCATCTAGTTACTATCAGAAACTATAAAGTACAGAATTATAATAGCAAAAAATTGTCACAACAATTTTTGATTTTTATTTTAGATCGGAAACAACCATGAAAAACAATACTCCAGATCTAAAAAACAGATCCGAAATAAATTTTCTCAGATCTGAAATAACCATGAAAAACAAAGCTTCAGACCTGAAATTAGAACTGAAATAACCCATTCCGAAAGTATCCAAGGTTATTTTAAAATTTCACAACCCATTTCAAATCTGAGATAAGGTTCGGCAAAAGGCTATTTCAGACCTGAATTAGATTAATTACTAGGTAAGTATATGAAACTTTGTGCTAAAAAATGGGTCTCTCCATTGTGCTTCACAAACGGCTTCAAAAAGTCTTATAGCTTGAATAATAACCGAGAGTTTCCAGATATCCAGTTTTGGATCTGGTTCAGATTCTGTTAAATCTGGTTACCATATGGTTACCCGCTCTGGAGTTCCCTTGAAAAACTTGAGTTTTTTGCCATGGCTTATGAAAGAGGAAAAACAATTTTCACTGCGGTAGTCACTGCATTCCGATGAGTTACAAAAGCTCGCTTGAAAGCTCCTGCTCCGATGCCCAGCTGATATGCACTGTACACCCTGCTGTGCTTCGACATATGCTTCATGACATACTCGTACAAACATGCAGTCATTTTGGCTCTAAACCATGGCATCAGTCGTCTCCTGGCCCATATCTTCTTCACTTCCATCGGAATGTTCAAGATTTTGCACATTGGCTCAAAAAGATCGACATCTTTTAGACAATCCAGTTCCTGTAATTGTTCTCTCGTCGGCATCTCCTGTCGATTGTTCTCCTTCACATGAGCTTCCAGCCATCGGATTGCCATCATAACTCCAACTATCGCTATCGTTATGGGCTGTGATGAATCTGGTATAGGAGAGCAGCTCTCCAGAATCCCAGATCAACACCAGATTACTGCGACCGGGATACCACCAAGTTTGTAGCAAGCAATGACAAGGTCAACATGATGCTCTTCCAATTACGCTTCCCCGACGCTTCCAGTAGTGGTTTCACTTCAAGCATTACTCGGTGGATTTCGTCGTTTTCATCTACTGAGGTGTCACCTGTTGCCATTGATCCTTTCTGCTTCCCTCTTTCAAAATCACTAAAGTTCCCACTTATTGTATCCCATGAACTTCTTTCCAAGTACCGGTTCTAACTCTTCCTTGGTTCTTTCTGGTTCTGCTGCAAACATCCTACATAGCAACTCGTAGGATTTCTCCGACATTCTCGCCAGTCTTACACTTTTCGGCACTGAGAATGCCGAAAAGTGTAAGACTGTATGTTCATTTCTGCCTCTATAGCTTCTCTCCACTTTCCACTTTACTTCTGTTCAGTTTGCAACACTCCCAGAAACATTTCTACGCTGATGGCCAAAACCATCTCAGGCGTTTGTTCTAGATTCAATAGTGACTCTAAAGAACCAAACATTCTGTAGAATCCTAGTGCAGTCACTAGATTCACCTCAGTTCCTCCGTGACAATCTGCAATTAGTTCCGTTTCCGTTTTCGCTTTCAGTACTGTGTTTCCGAATAATATCGTCAATTGCTTATGTTGTTGCAGAAGCATAGAGTCAAAATAAGCATGCTGTATCGCAAGACTCAACATAAAATTGTAGGTGGACTGTTTTGCAAGCAGTCGCTAGCCAAGTAATGCATTTTTTCGCCCAAATCAACCAGAAAGGGCACTTCTGTACTTCTTTTCAAAAAACAGGGGGTGGAAGGGGTGTAAAATTGCAAACTTTGTGGTAGGGGGTTTGTGAGAGGGCAAAGGGGTAAACGTTAGGGTGGAGCGGTTAACCGAATCGTCTTGCCTTTTGAGAATGCTTAAGTTTTGAAATTTGGTTTAGAAATTTGCGAGAAGTTTGTGATTGGGGGGTTTGTAAAAACATCTCGGTAACATTCGACCGGAAAAACATATCGACGGAAAATAAAGTTAGGTTGTAAAACGACTGGCTAGCGTCTAAACACAGCTCTACATGCTTTTAACCGTCTCTACCAAATCCAGTTCTTTGTGTGGTCCTTTAAACATCGGGTCGACAAAAACGTTACTGTTTCCGGCTTCGGCCAGAACGCTCAGATTAATTCAATTACATGCAAAAATAGTGAGCTCATGGCTGGGTCTCAGTATCCCCAGACCACGAGGTCACTCCTAAAAACAGGGCTACTACTTACTTATTATATTACGGTATTTTTTTCAGTAGATAAAAATCATCAGTCTCATCGGAGATGCATCAACCCTTTTACTGAACTCCTAGCTTCTCATTATCTGAAAATGACTAAAAGTTATTAAAATAAAGAGTTACAGTTCTCTCCCGAGACCCTTCCGGATTCTTGAATCTGGACGAAGAATAGTCTTATATTCTTTCCGAAAGGCTGGTCAGATAGTCCCAACACTCTTCCCGGTTCTCGGAAGTTGCTTTGTAAAAATGTGGCGGCACAGTCGTAACAACTCGGAAGGGTTGTTAATCACTATAATATTCGTATTTCTCGTATTTATTTCTCCTCTCGTCTCTTTCAACGAATAATGTTGTTGTGTTTTCTCACGTTTTCAATTTTGGCGAAAAAGAAAATTGCTACGTGTCTTTCACGCCGGAAACGAAAATTTAAAAATTAGCATGTCACGCCAAATTAACCATTCCTGATTCGCTCAATCGTCCAACTAGCACCACTAATTCATCGAAACCTCCGACCTTCCCACTTAGATGCTATGTTAAAATTTCGAATCCGGAATGCATTTTGAAGGCATTCTGGTCGAATGTCACATACTCCTGGACAGCCCGGTCAAGGTTCTCATTGCGTCTCGCAGTATTCATCAAAATGGTACAGTGCCATCGAGCAGAATTTACAAAATGCATGAAATCACTTTTATCCACATCACGTCGACTCACCGCAGAATATAAGTGGCATCATACTACACTGTTATAGCCTTCCAATTTTTTTTCACTACTGTGCATTTTTAAGAATATGGTTAAGATAAAACATCTTTTCTGACTTTTAGTGCCATGGTCTGGAATTAAAACTTTTTCTCCTAGGTTCAAAAAAATGTTGGGACGCAGGACGGTCCTGCCAACCAACAAACTAAAAGTATCCTACTATGTTTCTTCCCTTTGGAAATTTAGTTGTTATTGGTCCTGAATATTAAAATTCAGGAATGTGATGTTTTGAAGGAACAATGAAATAATCTCCCTCTCCAAGAGATTACCCAAGCCCTTCATATCACCACAAAGTGATCATTTGTCTTAGTCGATTCAAAACAATCATGCAGGCTAGAATATTTAATATACTCTTCACTAAAGCCTCTCTAGATAAATACTAAAAGTCTCCAAAGACACTAACTAAAGTTTCAAAGCAAATTTATAAATGCAACAAATTCTTTAACCTGAAAAATCAACTAAAAGTTTCCTTTCGTTCAGTTTCAATTGGTAGCTTAGTTGCTTAGTTTCTCATTGAGTTTTTCTCACATAAGCAATTCTGCGTTTTAACATCTTCTCCTTCGTTGCTTCTTTGTTCACTTCTTTGTTCACTTTTTTGTTCACTTTTTTGTTTTCTTCTTTGTTTGCTTCTCTGTTTTTGTCGTTTAAAAGTTCTAAAACTTCTAAGTTCTTCTAATATTTCTGTTTTTTTTTGCATCTTGTTTTTCGGCTATTTGGCAATGCTCCATCTCTTCCTCCTGTGACATTGACTCCGCACTTTCGGTCTCAGTGTCTTGCAACACGTCGGTAGCTATTCTGACGCTGTTGGAGGCAGTCCTCCAACACTTCTGCTCTTCTACTCTTTGTTTGCAACAAGGTAGAGGATCAACATTATTTTCTCTGTTTCGGCAGAAGCTTTTGTGAGGCACAACGTCATGTTTCTCTCTAAGTCTTCCTCCAACATCTCTTCTCTTTCTCTCCCATGAACTTCTTTCCCAGTATCAGTTCTAACTCTTCCCTGGTTCTTTCTGGTACTGCTGCAAACATCTTACATAGCAAATCGTAGGATTTCTCCGACATTCTCGCCAGTCTTACACATTTCGGCACTGAGAAGGCTTGGTCCACAATCTTCCTTGTACTCTTCACATCCACTGCCACAGAGTGCACAGCACATCGATTTTTGCACATCGGAGCCATCGTCGATCCCATTAGGTATCGCGCTCCCGTAGGTATGCGATAAGCTTTACTCTGCCGAATGTTCTTTCCTGCCTTTATAGCTTCTCTCCATTTTCCAATATACTTCTGTTCAGTTTGTAACACTCCCGGAAACACTTCTACGCTGATGGCCGTGACCATCTCATGCTTTTGTTCTGTATTCAATAGTGACTCTAAAGAGCCAAACGTGCTGTAGAATCCCAGCTGCAGTCACTACATGCACCTCAGTTCCTCCTCCGTGGCAATCTGCAACTAGTTCAGTTTCCGTAAAATTGCAAACTTTGTGACTTTGTGGTGGGGGGTTTGTAAGAGGGCAAAGGGGTAAACGTTAGGGCGGAGCGGTTAGGCCGTACATTTTTTTTGCAAAATGCAAAATTTATGCATAAATCTTTGAATGAATGCAGAAATTCTTGCAAAACTGTGTACGATGCGAAACAGCAATAAATCGGAAAAAATTCAATATAAGTGATTTTAAATGGTTCATAGTTAGGTTTAAATTTGATAAAATACAACGGATTATAAACGATTTTTTATTCCATTTTGATGTCTGAGTGCAACAAGGGAATCTATTACATAAATAACAATTAAACTACAAAATTCATTGATTTTTTTCCCATTTTTCTTAGATGCGGGCATGCTTGAGACGTTGATCTTCGTTGAACAAACAGACTTATTGAGAAGTATCAAAAGTAAAAAATGGAATCGCACCGGTTTAGATGGCTTTGAGCTGAAATTAAAAGTGGCAGAAAGTATTCCTGCGCAGGATGACAATAAAAGATGGAGAACAGCCCAGCTCTGCTGGCTCAGATGAATTTCGCTGTAGCAACAAATCTGAACCAAGGCGTTGATCGCTTTTAGGAGAGTTCTTTCTTAATATTTTCTCAATAGTTGTTGATGTGTCCTCATCCCTTGCAATTCGCAACTGAGTACTGATCAGGGCAGTAATCTGACTGGATTGAACAAATTTAGGAGAAAATTCTCAAAAAAAAATTCAACATCCATGGAAATTTTGTGCGGAAACAATTTTCGTTTTTTTTATCAATCAAATGTTGCTCATTACGTCTCGATTCAAGCTTTTCAACTCAACAATAACTCAACAATATGTTTTGACATGATTAGCAAGAAGTTTTACCGGCGCCGCTCAAACTTTAGAGTTAAACCAATTCAGACCAAAAATATGTGTTCAACCCAACGTGCCATTTTTCGAACGATTTGGCAAAAATTAGCATAAATTGAACGACTCTAAAATTGATCGACTAAATAGGTGTCCAAGTGTGTTCAATTAAAGTAAGCTATACTCCCAGCGTCTCTGCTTTGCTGAAGACTTACAACTCAACTGTACAATTCTTACCCACAATTCAATCGATTCAGAATTTGAAGTATGACATATAAAGAACCTTACGTGTGCATCCGTCAGTGCTCTCAGTACTGAACCCGTCATGGGCTGTTATTACGTAATATGATCCAGGGAGTAGCCCTGTTATAGCAACGACTCCTTCATATCCTTCTGGCGTCACGGGGGTCCCTTCGGCTGGTCGTGTCCCGTTCCGAGAGTCTGTGGTGTTGCGTGGACAAAAAGGACTCTCAGGGATACCCAAGCACAATACTCCAATGGTACTAGAGTTGGAACCATCAATTGAGATTGACACTGAAAAACAAACAAATAACAAATACATAAATTTTTTTAAAAAATTTCGAGGAGTATTAGTCATGATTAAATTAGACTATTAATCTGAAATAAAAAAAGTCACGGATGGTCTGCCTCAAATTGGTGTCGTTAAATAAGTAAGAGAGACTGTTCAAAAGAATTTTGCAACCAGAACTGGAGGAATTGTCTTGTGCTTTCATATTTCGATTAGGCTGAAACTTTGTGGTAAAGACACTGTAAACATTTTTAATTTCAAATCAAATATGATTTTTGAAAATTGGGCGCTCATATTCAAAGTTTTGCTGGAGGTTACAATGTCAGCTACAGACTCAATTTATAATTTTTGTCAGATAAAAATCATAAAACCAGGGGTTTTGCCAAATGATCACGCAAAAACTTGAAGTTTCGGGAAAAAAATCAAAGCAGTTTCAAGGGATGAAACTTCGAGCTTATAAAAGATTGTTTTTGGCCGAATTGTCTAGACGCGGTTTCAGTACCTTTCACCACGAGAAACTCTATAGAAGTAACTACTGACACACTTAATTTTTCAAAAAAAAAAATAACTTCAAACTTTTTTTACTCTTCACATTTTGTTCGACATCTTAACTTTTTCAAAAAAAAATTAATTAACCTCAAATTTTTTTACGAGTGAAATAAATAGTGCCACATACTGCCTGGCGATATTTTGCTGACAGTGACGCAGTTTTTGAGAGGTTTAAATTAAGAAGAAAATAAAAATTCAACTAAGAAAACTTGCATCCATAGTTCAGAGAAGCCTCCCGAAAGTTTCTTGTTTTGAAGGGTTCGAGTAATCAATTAGGCAATATATTTGATTGTATGATCAAGCGGAATTAATTAGGCCAACTAGTTTAAAAAGTTTACCTAACATGGCAAAATAATTTCATTTCTGAAATAAAAAAAGTCACGGATGGTCTGCCTCAAATTGGTGTCGTTAAATAAGTAAGAGAGACTGTTCAAAAGAATTTTGCAACCAGAACTGGAGGAATTGTCTTGTGCTTTCATATTTCGATTAGGCTGAAACTTTGTGGTAAAGACACTGTAAACATTTTTAATTTCAAATCAAATATGATTTTTGAAAATTGGGCGCTCATATTCAAAGTTTTGCTGGAGGTTACAATGTCAGCTACAGACTCAATTTATAATTTTTGTCAGATAAAAATCATAAAACCAGGGGTTTTGCCAAATGATCACGCAAAAACTTGAAGTTTCGGGAAAAAAATCAAAGCAGTTTCAAGGGATGAAACTTCGAGCTTATAAAAGATTGTTTTTGGCCGAATTGTCTAGACGCGGTTTCAGTACCTTTCACCACGAGAAACTCTATAGAAGTAACTACTGACACACTTAATTTTTCAAAAAAAAAATAACTTCAAACTTTTTTTACTCTTCACATTTTGTTCGACATCTTAACTTTTTCAAAAAAAAATTAATTAACCTCAAATTTTTTTACGAGTGAAATAAATAGTGCCACATACTGCCTGGCGATATTTTGCTGACAGTGACGCAGTTTTTGAGAGGTTTAAATTAAGAAGAAAATAAAAATTCAACTAAGAAAACTTGCATCCATAGTTCAGAGAAGCCTCCCGAAAGTTTCTTGTTTTGAAGGGTTCGAGTAATCAATTAGGCAATATATTTGATTGTATGATCAAGCGGAATTAATTAGGCCAACTAGTTTAAAAAGTTTACCTAACATGGCAAAATAGTTTCATTTTAGTTTTTTTAACAATTAATGATACAATAACATAAAACTTTGATTTTCTTGCATTGTTTTTCAAATGTCAAGCTTGTGCGTTTGTGGGCTGTCATTTGAATGGTTGTGAGTTCACGTCTTATTAATGACCAAAATAGCAGTTCAGTTGGAATTAAAAGTTTTAGATTTTGTAAATTCTGTCCCGCCGATGAGAGGGCGAGCAGACTCCAATCAAGTTGTGATTACGCGACCGGTTCAAAACGAGAAACTGATACATAAATTAGTTTTATGTAGCTCTAAAAAGCCAAGTTCTTCTCATTCTGTAAGTAAGAACTTCTTGACAAACAAAACTAATCTTTTAAAAACCTATTTTCTTGAGAATTCAAACATACCCTCTAACGCAGTTCTATCATTGCTTCGCACAGATACAAACAACTCACAGTTCTGTTGTGTGATTAAAAGTTATTGATTTTTAATTATTCATTTTTTTCGTATAATATCTTTTTGAAAAGCTTCACAGGGCGCAGTTATGTTAGATTTTGTTTTATATGACAAAAAGCAGTGGGAAGAGAAACGAAGCCAACAAGAACTTTTAGGGTAATCAGCAATAGACATCGAAAATTGTGTAACTCAGACAGAACACACGTTATTGTCAAAAAACTTGATGAATTGCAAATATTGGCAAACAATCTTGATTACAGCAATTTGCTCCACCAAAAAATGAAAAAAACGAACACGATAGTAACATCTTTTCTCTAAGATGACACCAAACACTTGGAAAGTTCTATCAGAAGCAGAAAGAGAGGTGGCGGCATTGTGGCATTTTTGTAAGACCGATTTAAACTGCGGGGGGGGGGGGGTGGTGTGGACGCCGTTTTTTTGGGATTCGACCCCCTGCCGACCCAAAGGTTCAAAACCAGTCAGAAACACAGCCAGAACTGTCAGAACTGCAGACACACCATATGTATAAGACTTAGTTCAAAAAGCTGCCAGTAAATAGCCTGCCTTTCTAATTGTTCGACAAAAAAGTTTACAATTAAGAAGCAATATTTTAAAACATATTTAAGCCTTCTTTAATTTTGTAAAATATTCGACTCACAATTTGGAGAAAATGGTGATTCGGTAGCTGAAACATAAAACAGACTCTCTTTTGATGCAACCAAAAATATAGCAGGGAATTGTTCCGACCACTATCGCAGCTTTTATTTCAAACAATTTTTCAAGCCAAGTTGTTGAGCCAACTGCCTTAAGAAAACTTTTTAGGGGGTCAATTGTAATTTGATAGAAAAGCTCTATTGATCGTTAGAGCGGACGAAGGGGGTTGGAGGTTCCTTATTTTCTCCATCCCAAAATTTCTGTCGAAAAACACAAAAAAAATAACAGAAATTAGGTGTAAGATCAAAAAAATCGTTTCTAGAACGAGAATCCAAAACTTTTTCGAATTGATCTCAAAAATTTACTTGCATCACTTCAAATAAATGCTTAACGAATAAAATTAGACAAAAATCATGCGTTAAAAAGTAGTCGCATATTTGTTGTTAATTTATTCAATGAGATTAAAAGTATCAACCAATCAAATCTTTTTAATTTATTCGCAATTATTGCGGCTACTGGTTTGCGAAAATTGAAGGATTATTGGCCAAAAAATTTTTGTGACAAATTGCTTTAATTAGTTCAAACCGGGGATATTTAGTTTTTTCGACTATCGATTTCTAGTTTTGAAAGTGGAATTTACTTTTTAGATTTCCAGAGAATAAAAACTTTACTTATTGATCCAGTTTTCTCAAGTCGGGTTCATGTTATCAAAAAAGCGCCCATCATAAATTGTTCTAGAAATTTAAAGAGCTTAAAGGGCTTCTATTTTTTTCTTTGAGTTTTGAAAGTTGAGATTTTTCAACAACGTCAGTGTTATTTTTTAATGTTTACTTGCGTTCATTACTCCTTTGCAATCTTGTGCTTAATCTTTACCTGTTTTTATTTCTTTAAATTTATGCTCTCAATTGATGTAAATTGTGTTTTTCCTATTTTGAGAGATTAAGGTATAAGAAGTCGTCGATCAAAACTTGAAGATAGCCGCCTATCACAAAAAAAGTTTAAAAAAAGAAGCTTTCTGGGGGCAACCGCCTAGCGGGCTGTGTGTATGTTTGCGTAGCTAAGATTGCTTCCTTCTTCCACGAACGCTACTTGGTTGTCTTCGCGTGTAAAGCTGTTTTTGCCCAAAAAAATTGTATCTTTAAAGATCTTGCAAAAAAAAGGTTATCTTTAAAGGAGGTTATCTTGCAAGATCTTGCAAGAATCTTGCAAGATCTTTTAAAGAGATGCATCCTCTTTAAAAGAATCTTGCAAGATTCTTGCAAGATCTTGCAAGATAACCTCCCTTGATCGACTAGGGACTGCTTGATATTCAATAGATGATATGGTATTTTTTTTAAAACCTAAACATTAAACTAGATGATAACCCGCATTTAGGGTAGCGATACATAAATTGAGTAAGTGTGTATTTATACCGGTCATTACAGTAGAAACAATTTATTTTTTTTTTGCCCTAAGTTTTTTTCAACTTGATCAAATGGATTTTTTGCCATGTAGTGAATCAATCAAAGCCTCAACAAAATTGATTTAACTTACTTATTCTTTTAAATTTGAAACTTGAGTAAAGTTTTGTTCTAAAAAAATCTCCATCGGAGCTACAGGTGGCAAAAGTTACTCGAGGAAAATATTTTACATCATCAAACTATTCATTTGAGTGGATTACTTTTTGATTTTCGCGCGCTACAGGTTCACGCGCTGATGAAAAAACACTATTGTGCCAAAAACCTGGGAATGTTATTTTCTTTATCAGCATTCAAGGACAAATTTTGTTAGGCAAATGACATATATTTGCAAAACTCCATATTTCATGTAAGTACGAAAAACTATTCAATTCTCCAACAAGAGCTATTCAAATCAGAAAAAATTTTGTTCCAAATTGAGTAATTTGTACCAACTTAGATGGTAACATATATAGTTTACATCAGTTATTTTATATAAAACGGTGCAGAAATTTTTTAAAGGAAGTTTTGTTTTGCTAAAATCAAGATGGGAAATTTTCTGTGGACAAGAAATTTAAGCAGTTTAAGCAATTTTGGCGATTTAAGCAATTCTGGATAATTTTAGATCAAAAACACAATAACTCATTGGCTTTGTGAAGACTGAGTTTGATCAAGACCATGAAATGGATAAAATGACAATTGCTGCTTTAATACATCAGTTTGCATGTTTTTTTGGCCATCGGTATTATTTTCTCAACAAAAGAAATTGTTCGGCTTTAAATTTTTTCCTCGAAATTAGTTTGTGTATAGAAAAACGTTTTTGAAGCTAAAATACAGATTGATGTTTAACCAACAAATATTGATAACAAGTAGTGCGCAGATGAAATTAACATCTAAAGTAAATTCACGAACGGCTGAAGTTTATTTCGATTATATTAACACTATTTCATTCGGCGAACTATCCATTTGAAGTCTTTTTCGAAACCCAAGACGTATATTTTATGCTCTGCTGATTAGTTTTGCTAGTTTTCTGCTGAAAACAAATGAGTAAATTAGATTTTTCTCTCAGGATTTTTGAAATGATTATTTGATTGCTGAAAAAAAATAATTTTCCACCAGGATTTTGACCGACCCTTGCGTATACTGACAATATAAAACATCAATTTTTTTAAATTGTTGAAAACTGTTGATTTGTGTCATATACCACGATTTAGGTATAGCACGACTCGATGCCTGAAAATCGAAAGGAATACTTTTGTAGTTCGAATAAATTAAGCAGTACATATAAAATAGCAGATCAGATAAAAACTTTTTCAACTAACTGAATAATTAATCAAGTTTGACACTTGGTCATGACTTGTTTTTATTAATTGAATGATAAAAATTTTGCCAAAACTCAAACTTAAAAATCTAATCTCATTTATGAGATCCAATGGTGATTCAGTTGCCGAAACATAAATCTAATTATAAAACACACAAGTGTTGCTGCATTTTTGCTATTTTTTCGGTTTGCGATTTATTTTTTCAGCGAACATAAAACTTGATGATTGATTTTGCTCTCCTGAAATTTACCGTTTGATTAGAAGTATCTATAAGTGTATGACGCTCTAGCAGTGTATGACTGATAGTTTCAACAAATCAATTGCTAGCAGAGCAGATGAGAGTAAGTAACTCCAATTTTTTTTTGTCTCGGATGACATTTTTTCCTAATTCAGTTATTTAGATTTCATCGAGCAGCCTGCTTTGAATTTATTTTTCTCGGAGAAGCTCAGGAAAATGCTTTTGAATACTTTGTAAGAAAAGCAAAATGTTTTTCATCAAAAATGAAAAAACAAAACCAAAAAACAATCAGCGATTTTAATTGAACTTAATATTGGTAAAAAGATAATTCTGTTGCAAAAACGTAATTGGGTCGAAAATGAGAAAAATGTTATCAAGATTAATCGTTTTTCTAAGTAAACGCAAACTTATCTAGTAACTCACGTCTTCATAAAATTGAACTGCCTGTTTAGATAAAACGGCGATTCGGATGCTGAAAATTTTTTGATGAATGTATAATCAAATGTTAGCTCAGCCTTGCTAGTTTTTTTAAATTTATTTTCTAATTTGTGAGCAAAAATTGTCATTTGATTTTTTCTCCTTTTATTCAATGTGTGGGTAGAAGGGCGATTCTGACAGAAATCGACTACTTATTTCAGAATTCAAAATCTAGCAGAGTAGATGAAAGCATCCATTTTCAAATGATAAATCAATTTGGATAAAAAAAATTTGTAATTGAGTAACTCAATTTTATCTAGCAGTCTGTTTTGACTGAAAAAAGTTTCATAAAATTGGGAAAAAATATTCGTCTATAATATTTTACCAAATTGGGCAATGGATTTTCTCAAAAAATGATGAAACGAAAACCAGAAATCAATGAGCAACTTTGCTTAAACTTATTACATGAGTCAATTGACGATTTTGTTGTTAAAAACAAAATTGAGTTGTAAACGCCTAAATTCTGTCATATATTATATCAGACAGAAACATATCTAAGTGAAAACAAAGTTATTCGTTAATTCATTTCTTTGTTTTTTTTTAATTCACTATTTAGATACAACGGCGATTCCGTTGCCAAAACATACAAGTTATTGACGTATAATGAAACGTTAGAACAGCTCTGCTATTTTTTCAATTTTGATTTAAATTATCATCTAATAAAAAGTTAAGTATTTTGATTAAATTTCTTCAAACTTACTGTTTGGATAGAGGGGTAATTCTGACGCTGAAGGAGAAAGTGTGTTTTTTAACAATTCAAGAGCTAGCAGAGCAGATGAAAGTATTCCATCCAAGTGAAACAGTTTTTCATTTTGAAATATAGGCTTTTCTTCCTTTATTTTTATTTAGGATGATACCTTTCAATACAATTTTTCGCCGCGACTTTGTTTTAGTTGATGGGCGACTTTGTTTGAATTTACTAATTGGGTAAAACGGTGATTCGGTTGTTGAAACAAATAATTATTAACGAAAAATCAAACTTTGGTACAACGCTGCTATTTCCTCAATTGTATTTTATTTTCATATCTAACAAAAAACCCAATAGTTTAACTTAATTCTCATGCAGAATCAAAAATCAGTTTTGTTTTTTAACAATTCATTAGCTATCAGAGCGGATGAAAGCATCCGAACCAATTTCAAATCTGAACCAGGTTTTTTTTTCACTTATGTTCATATCATCAATTCATTGAACATTCTGTTTCGGCTTCAAAATTAGTCAAAAAATTTAGAAAAACACGTTTGCATACAACGCTTTACCACATGTGCAATATCTGCAATGCTTTTTCTCAAAAGAGCTTCTCTTCAAAAAAATTTAATGAGCGACTTTGTTTGAACTTACTAAATAGGTAAAACGGCGATTCGGTTGCTGACACATATAATTGATTAACGAATAATCAAACAATTGTCAATTTCTGCTATCTTTCAATTGGGAAATAATTTACATCTAACAAAAAACTTAATAGTTTGATTTAATTCTCGCCAAACTCACAGTATACATAGATTTTTTAACAATTCAATAGCTACAGGAGCAAATGAAAGCATCCGATCCAATTCCAATTAAATTTTCAATTTGTATAAGAAGTTTTTTATCACTTAATTTTATTTCATTTAACCGTCTGTTTCGGCTTCAAAAATAGTTAAAAAAACATCAGGAAAAAACATTTGCATACAAAGATTTGCCAAAGTTGCGCAATGATTTTTCTCGAAAAAAATTATCAAACAAACCGGAAGTTATTGTGTGATTCTGTTTGAACTTACTGAATGGGTAAAACGGTGATTCGGTTGCTGAAACATATAACTGATTAATGAATATTCAAACGTTGGTATGAACTGCTTTTTTCATTTGCTATCTATTTTAACATCCAACAAAAAGTTCAATCGATTGATTTATTTTTTTTCAAACTCACTGTTTGCATAGAAGGGCGATTCTGACGCTGAAGCAGAAATTTATAAGGATTTTGAACAATCAATAACTACCGGAGCAAATGAAAGCATCCGATCCAATTTCAATTAAGTTTTACTTTTCCTTGAGACGTTTTTCTTCGATTAATTTTATTTCATTGAACGGTCTGTTTCGGCTTCAAAATGGCCAAAAAACATCAGGAAAATACATTCGCATACATTATTTTGCCAAGATTGTGCAATGGTTTTTCTCGAAAAAAAACAAGCAAATCAGAAGTCAATGAGTGATTTTGTTTGAACTTACTAAATGGGTAAAACGGTGATTCGGTCGCTGAAACATATAACTGATTAACGAATATTCAAACGTTGGTAAGAATGGCTTTTTTCATTTGCTATCTATTTTAACATCCAACAAAAAGTTCAATTGTTTGATTTAATTTTTTTCAAACTTACTGTTTGCATAGAAGGGCGATTCTGACGCTGAAGCAGAAATTTAAAATGATTTTTAACAATTCAATAGCTACCGGAGCAAATGAAAGCATCCGATTCAATTTCAATTAATTTTTCCTTTCAATAAGACGTTTTTCTTCGATTATTTTTATTTCATTGAACGGTTTGTTTCGAGTTCAAATTTGTCCAAAAACCATCAGGAAAATACATTTGCATACAATGGTTTGCCAAGGTTGTATGGGTTTGCAATGGTTCATCTCGAAAAAAAAACAGGCAAACCAAATATTAATGAGTGATTTTGTTTGCACTTACTAAATGGGTAAAACGGTGATTCGGTCGCTGAAACATATAACTGATTAACGAATATTTAAACGTTGGTAAAAACCTGCTTTTTTCATTTGCTATCTATTTTAGCATCCAACAAAAGTTCAATCGTTTGATTTCGTTTTTTTCAAACTCACTGTTTGCATAGTAGGGCGATTCTGACGCTGAAGCAGAAATTTATAATGATTTTTAACAATTCAAAACTACCGGAGCAAATGAAAGCATCCGATCCAGGTTCAATTAATTTGGTTTTTCTTTTTCACTGAGACATTTTTCTTTTCATATTTTTATTTCATTGAACGGTCTCTTTCGGCTTCAAACTGGCCAAAAACCATCAGGAAAATACATTTGCATTCAATGTTTTGCCAAGATTGTGCAATGGTTTTTCTCGAAAAAAAAACAAGCAATGCAGAAGTTAATGAGTGATTTTGTTTGAACTTACTAAATGGGTAAAACGGTGATTCGGTCGCTGAAACATATAACTGATTAACGAATATTCAAATGTTGGTAAGAACTGCTTTTTTCATTTGCTATCTATTTTAACATCCAACAAAAAGTTCAATCGATTGATTTATTTTTTTTCAAACTCACTGTTTGCATAGAACGGCGATTCTGACGCTGAAACAGAAGTTTATAATGATTTTTAACAACTCAATCGCTACCGGAGCAAATGAAAGCATCCGATCCAGGTTCAATTAATTTTGTTTTTGTTTTTCAATGAGACGTTTTTCTTCGATTATTTTTATTTCATTGAACGGTCTGTTACGGCTTCAAATTTGACCAAAAACCATCAGGAAAATACATTTGCAGACAATGGTTTGCCAAGGTTGTGCAATGATTTATCTCGAAAAAAAAGCAAATCAGATGTTAATGAGTGATTTTGTTTGCACTTACAAAATGGGTAAAATGGTGATTCGGTTGCTGAAACATATAACTGATTAACGAATAGTCAAACATTGGTAAAAACCTGCTTTTTCCAATTGCGATATATTTTAACATCTAACAAAAAAATTCAATTGTTTGATTTAATTTTTTTCAAACTCACTGTTTGCATTGAAGGGCGATTCTGACGCTGAAGCAGAAATTTATAATGATTTTTAACAATTCAAAACTACAGGAGCAAATGAAAGCATCCGATCCAGGTTCAATTAATTTTGTTTTTGTTTTTCAATGAGACGTTTTTCTTCGATTATTTTTATTTCATTGAACGGTCTGATACGGCTTCAAATTTGACCAAAAACCATCAGGAAAATACATTTGCAGACAATGGTTTGCCAAGGTTGTGCAATGATTTATCTCGAAAAAAAAGCAAATCAGATGTTAATGAGTGATTTTGTTTGCACTTACAAAATGGGTAAAATGGTGATTCGGTTGCTGAAACATATAACTGATTAACGAATAGTCAAACATTGGTAAAAACCTGCTTTTTCCAATTGCGATATATTTTAACATCTAACAAAAAAATTCAATTGTTTGATTTAATTTTTTTCAAACTCACTGTTTGCATTGAAGGGCGATTCTGACGCTGAAGCAGAAATTTATAATGATTTTTAACAATTCAAAACTACAGGAGCAAATGAAAGCATCCAATCCAGGTTCAATTAAGTTTTCTTTTTCAATGAGACGTTTTTCTTTTATGATTCTAATTTAATTGAACGGTCTGTTTCGGCTTCAAAATGGCCAAAAAACATCAGGAAAATACATTTGCATACAATATTTTGCCAAGATTGTGCAATGGTTTTTCTCAAAAAAAAACAGGCAAAGCAGAAGTTAATGAGTGATTTGGTTTGAACTTACTAAATGGGTAAAACGGTGATTCGGTCGCTGAAACATATAACTGATTAACGAATAATCAAAGATAGTAAAAACCAGCTTTTTTCAATTGCGATATATTTTAACATCTAACAAAAAAGTTCAATAGTTTGATTTAATTATTTTCAAACTCACTGTTTGCATAGAAGGGCGATTCTGACGCTGAAGCAGAAGTTTATAATGATTTTTAACAACTCAGTCTTTACCGGAGCAAATGAAAGCATCCGATCCAGGTTCAATTAATTTGGTTTTTCTTTTTCAATGAGACGTTTTTCTTCGATTATTTTTATTTCATTGAACGGTCTGTTACGGCTTCAAATTTGGCCAGAAACCATCAGGAAAATACATTTGCATACAATGGTTTGCCAAGGTTGTGCAATGTTTTATCTCGAAAAAAAAAGCAAATCAGATGTTAATGAGTGATTTTGTTTGCACTTACAAAATGGGTAAAACGGCGATTCGGTTGCTGAAACATATAACTGATTAACGAATAGTCAAACATTGGTAAAAACCTGCTTTTTTTAATTGCGATAAATTTTAACATCTAACAAAAAAAATTAATTGTTTGATTTATTTTTTTTCAAACTCACTGTTTGCATTGAAGGGCGATTCTGACGCTGAAGCAGAAATATATAATGATTTTTAACAATTCAAAACTACCGGAGCAAATGAAAGCATCCGTTCCAGGTTCAATTAATTGGGTTTTTCTTTTTCACTGAGGCAATTTTTTATGATGTTAATTTCATTGAACGGTCTGTTTTGGCTTCAAAATGGCCAAAAACTATCAGGAAAATACATGTGCATACAATATTTTGCCAAGATTGTGCAATGCTTTTTCTCAAAAAAAAACAAGCAAAGCAGAAGTTAATGAGTGATTTGGTTTGAACTTACTAAATGGGTAAAACGGTGATTCGGTCGCTGAAACATATAACTGATTAACGAATATTCAAATGTTGGTAAGAACTGCTTTTTTCATTTGCTATCTATTTTAACATCCAACAAAAAGTTCAATCGATTGATTTATTTTTTTTCAAACTCACTGTTTGCATAGAAGGGCGATTCTGACGCTGAAGCAGAAGTTTATAATGATTTTTAACAACTCAATCTTTACCGGAGCAAAGGAAAGCATCCGATCCAGGTTCAATTAATTTGGTTTCTCTTTTTCAATGAGACGTTTTTTTTTATGATGTTTATTTCATTGAACGGTCTGTTTCGGCTTCAAAATGGCCAAAAACTATCAGGAAGATACATTTGCATACAATATTTTGCCAAGATTGTGCAATGGTTTTTCTCGAAAAAAAAACAAGCAAAGCAGAAGTCAATGAGTGATTTTGTTTGAACTTACTAAATTGGTAAAACGGTGATTCGGTCGCTGAAACATATAACTGATTAACGAATATTCAAATGTTGGTAAGAACTGCTTTTTTCATTTGCTATCTATTTTAACATCCAACAAAAAGGTCAATCGATTGATTTATTTTTTTTCAAGTTTACTGTTTGCATAGAAGGGCAATTCTGACGCTGAAACAGAAGTTTATAATGATTTTTAACAACTCAATCTTTACCGGAGCAAATGAAAGCATCCGATCCAGGTTCAATTAATTTGGTTTCTCTTTTTCAATGAGACGTTTTTTTTTATGATGTTTATTTCATTGAACGGTCTGTTTCGGCTTCAAAATGGCCAAAAACTATCAGGAAGATACATTTGCATACAATATTTTGCCAAGATTGTGCAATGGTTTTTCTCGAAAAAAAACAAGCAAAGCAGAAGTCAATGAGTGATTTTGTTTGAACTTACCAAATTGGTAAAACGGTGATTCGGTCGCTGAAACATATAACTGATTAACGAATATTCAAATGTTGGTAAGAACTGCTTTTTTCATTTGCTATCTATTTTAACATCCAACAAAAAGGTCAATCGATTGATTTATTTTTTTTCAAGTTCACTGTTTGCATAGAAGGGCAATTCTGACGCTGAAGCAGAAGTTTATAATGATTTTTAAATTCAAAACTACCGGAGCAAATGAAAGCATCCGATCCAAGTTCAATTAATTAGGTTTTTCTTTTTCACTGAGGCATTTTTTTATGATGTTTATTTCATTGAACGGTCTGTTTCGGCTTCAAAATGGCCAAAAACCAACAGGAAAATACATTTGCATACAATATTTTGCCAAGATTGTGCAATGGTTTTTCTCAAAAAAAAAAAACAAGCAAAGCAGAAGTTAATGAGTGATTTGGTTTGAACTTACTTAATGGGTAAAACGGTGATTCGGTCGCTGAAACATATAACTGATTAACAAATATTCAAATGTTGGTAAGAACTGCTTTTTTCATTTGCTATCTATTTTAACATCCAACAAAAAGTTCAATCGATTGATTTATTTTATTTCAAGCTCACTGTTTGCATAGAAGGGCGATTCTGACGCTGAAGCAGAAGTTTATAATGATTTTTAAAAACTCAATCTTTACCGGAGCAAATGAAAGCACCCGATCCAGGTTCAATTAATTTGGTTTTTCTTTTTCAATGTGACGTTTTTCTTCGATTATTTTTATTTCATTGAACGGTCTGTTACGGCTTCAAATTCGGCCAAAAACCATCAGGAAAATACATTTGCATACAATGGTTTGCCAAGGTTGTGCAATGTTTTATCTCGAAAAAAAAGCAAATCAGATGTTAATGAGTGATTTTGTTTGCACTTACAAAAAGGGTAAAACGGCGATTCGGTTGCTGAAATATATAACTGATTAACGAATAGTCAAACATTGGTAAAAACCTGCTTTTTTCAATTGCGATATATTTTAACATCTAACAAAAAAAAATTCAATTGTTTGATTTAATTTTTTTCAAACTCACTGTTTGCATTGAAGGGCGATTCTGACGCTGAAGCAGAAAATTATAATGATTTTTAACAATTCAAAGCTACCGGAGCAAATGAAAGCATCCAATCCAGGTTCAATTAAGTTTTCTTTTTCAATGAGACGTTTTTCTTTTATGATTTTTATTTCATTGAACGGTCTGTTTCGGCTTCAAAATGGACAAAAACCATCAGGAAAATACATTTGCATACAATACTTTGCCATGATTGTGCAATGGTTTTTCTCGAAAAAAAAACAAGCAAAGCAGAAGTTAATGAGTGATTTTGTTGGAACTTACTAAATGGATAAAACGTTGATTCGGTCGCTGAAACATTTAACTGATTAACGAATATTCAAACGTTGGTAAGAACTGCTTTTTTCATTGCTATCTATTTTAACATCCAACAAAAAGTTCAATCGTTTGATTTAATTTTTTTCAAACTCACTGTTTGCATAGAAGGGCGATTCTGATGCTGAAGCAGAAATTTTTAATGATTTTTAACAATTCAAAACTACCGGAGCAAATGAAAGCATCCGATCCAGGTTCAATTAGGTTTTTTTTTTCAATGAGACGTTTTTCTTTTATGATTTTTATTTCATTGAATGGTCTGTTTCGGCTTCCAAATGGCCAAAAACCATCAGGAAAATACTTTTTCATACAATATTTTGCCAAGATTGTGCAATGGTTTTTCTCGAAAAAAAAACAAGCAAAGCAGAAGTTAATGAGTGATTTTGTTTGAACTTACTAAATGGATAAAACTTTGATTCGGTCGCTGAAACATATAACTGATTAACGAATATTCAAACGTTGGTAAGAACTGCTTTTTTCATTGCTATCTATTTTAACATCCAACAAAAAGTTCAATCGTTTAATTTAATTTTTTTCAAACTCACTGTTTGCATAGAAGGGCGACTCTGACGCTGAAGCAGAAGTTTATAATGATTTTTAACAACTCAGTCGCTACCGGAGCAAATGAAAGCATCCGATCCAGGTTCAATTAATTTGGTTTTTCTTTTTCAATGAGACGTTTTTCTTCGATTATTTTTATTTCATTGAACGGTCTGTTACGGCTTCAAATTTGGCCAAAAACCATCAGGAAAATACTTTTGCATACAATGGTTCGCCAAGGTTGTGCAAGGTTTTATCTCGAAAAAAAAAAAGCTAATCAGATGTTAATGAGTGATTTTGTTTGCACTTACAAAATGGGTAAAACGGCGATTCGGTTGCTGAAACATATAACTGATTAACGAATAACCAAACATTGGTAAAAACCTGCTTTTTTCAATTGCGATATATTTCAACATCTAACAAAAAAAATTCAATTGTTTGATTTAATTTTTTTCAAACTCACTGTTTGCATTGAAGGGCGATTCTGACGCTGAAGCAGAAAATTATAATGATTTTTAATAACTCAATCGCTACCGGAGCCAATGAAAGCATCCGATCCAGGTTCAATTAATTTGGTTTTTCTTTTTCAATGAGACGTTTTTCTTCGATTATTTTTATTTCATTGAACGGTCTGTTACGTGTTACGGCTTCAAATTTGGCCAAAAACCATCAGGAAAATACTTTTGCATACAATGGTTCGCCAAGGTTGTGCAATGTTTTATCTCAAAAAAAAGCAAATCAGATGTTAATGAGTGATTTTGTTTGCACTTACAAAATGGGTAAAACGGCGATTCGGTTGCTGAAACATATAACTGATTAACGAATAGTCAAACATTGGTAAAAACCTGCTTTTTTCAATTGTATAGAAGGGCGATTCTGACGCTGAAGCAGAAAATTATAATGATTTTTAACAATTCAAAACTACCGGAGCAAATGAAAGCATCCGATCCAGGTTCAATTAAGTTTTCTTTTTCAATGAGAGTTTTTTCTTTTATGATTTTTATTTCATTGAACGGTCTGTTTCGGCTTCAAAATGGCCAAAAAACATCAGGAAAATACATTTGCAAACAAAATTTTGCCAAGATTGTGCAATGGTTTTTCTCGAAAAAACAAACAAGCAAAGCAGAAGTTAATGAGTGATTTTGTTTGAACTTTCTAAATGGATAAAACGTTGATTCGGTCGCTGAAACATATAACTGATTAACGAATAATCAAACGTTGGTAAGAATTGCTTTTTTCATTGCTATCTATTTTAACATCCGACAAAAAGTTCAATCGTTTGATTTAATTTTTTTTCAAACTCACTGTTTGCATAGAAGGGCGATTTTGACGCTGAAGCAGAAATTTATAATGATTTTTAACAATTCAAAACTACCGGAGCAAATGAAAGCATCCAATCCGGGTTCAATTAAATTTTCTTTTTCACTGAGACGTTTTTCTTTTATGATTCTTATTTCATTGAACGGTCTGTTTCGGCTTCAAAATGGCCAAAAACCATAAGGAAAATACATTTGCAAACAATATTTTGCCAAGATTGTGCAATGGTTTTTCTCGAAAAAAAAACAAGCAAAGCAGAAGTTAATGAGTGATTTGGTTTGGACTTACTAAATGGGTAAAACGGTGATTCGGTCGCTGAAACATATAACTGATTAACGAATATTCAAACGTTGGTATGAACTGCTTTTTTCATTTGCTATCTATTTTAACATCCAACAAAAAGTTCAATCGATTGATTTATTTTTTTTCAAACTCACTGTTTGCATAGAAGGGCGATTCTGACGCTGAAGCAGAAATTTATTATGATTTTTAACAACTCAATCGCTACCGGAGCAAATGAAAGCATCCGATCCAACTTCAATTAAGTTTTCTTTTTCAATGGGATGTTTTTCTTCGATTATTTTTATTTCATTGAACGGTCTGTTACGGCTTCAAATTTGACAAAAGACCATCAGGAAAATACATTTGCATACAATGGTTTGCCAAGGTTGTGCAATGGTTTATCTCGAAAAAAAAACAAGCAGACCAGAAGTTAATGAGTGATTTTGTTTGAACTTACTAAATGGGTAAAACGGTGATTCGGTTGCTGCAACATATAACTGATTAACGAATAATCAAAGATAGTAAAAACCAGCTTTTTTCAATTGCGATATATTTTAACATCTAACAAAAAAGTTCAATAGTTTGATTTAATTATTTTCAAACTCACTGTTTGCATAGAAGGGCGATTCTGACGCTGAAGCAGAAACTGATATTAATTTTTAACAATTCAACAGCTACCAGACCAAATGAAAGCATCCGATCCAATTTCAGTTAAGTTTTCTTTTTCACTGAAACTTTTTTCTTCGATTATTTTTTATTTCATTGAACGGTCTGTTTCCGCTTCAAAATTGGCCAAAAACCATAAGGAAAATACATTTGTATACAAAGGTTTGCCATGGTTGTGCAATGGTTTATCTTGAAAAAAAACAAGCAAACCAGATGTTAATGAGTGATTTTGTTTGAACTTACTAAATGGGTAAAACGGTGATTCGGTTGCTGAAACATATAACTGATTAACGAATAATCAAAAATTGGTAAAAACCTGCTTTTTTTCAATTGCGATATATTTTAACATCTAACAAAAAAATTCAATAGTTTGATTTAATTGTTTTCAGACACACTGTTTGCATAGAAGTGCGTTTCTGACGCTGAAGCAAAATTTGATTTAAATTTTTGTTATTTCAATAGCTATCAAAGAAAACGAAAACAACCAATCTAATTTCAATTCATTTTCATTTTTACTGAGAGAATATTTTTTATTTCCCTAAACGATCTGCTTCGGCTTCAAAATAGTTTAAAAAATAGGAAGTTACGTTTGCATACAATGCTTTGCAAAAGTGTTGCAATTGTTTTTCTCGAAAACGTTGAAAACAAACTACAAATTATAGATTGACTTTTGTTTGAACTTTTTAAATGAGTATAACGGCGATTCAGTTGCTGAAAGAGATAATTTTTTAAAGAATAATCAAAAGTTCGTTCAGCCCTTCTTTTTTTCAATTGCTGATAAGTTTCTCATATGAGAAATTTTGACGGCTGATGTAGTTCGCCTTAATTTTTACTGTTTGTTTCAAATGCTGAAGCAGAATTTGTCTTATTAATTTCAGACTTCAAAAGCTAGCAGAGTAGATGGAAACAAAAAGTTCAAATCTTTTTTCATTTTGGATGAATGATTTTCCTAGTTGCGTTCATTTGCCTTCATCAAATAGTCTGTTTCGACTGAAATTTTTTCGATTATATCAGGAAAAATATTCGTAAAAATTTGACCAGAGTTTTGCAATGGATTTTATCACAAACTAAAAAACAAACCAGAATTTATTAAGAGACTTTGTTTGAACTTACTAAATGGGTAAAACGGCGATTCGGTTGATGAAATAGATAACTGATTAACGAACAATCAATTGTTGGTACAGCCCTTCTATTGTTTTCAGTTGCGAAAAATAATCTCTACTTACAAGTTTTGATGTACAGTTTCTTAAGCTTAGTGTTTGGGTCGAAAGGCAATTCGGATGCTGAAGCAGAAGTTGCTTTATTAATTTCAGATTTCAAAAGCTAGCAGAGTAGATGTAAGCTTCATTTTCAAATCTTCTTTCATCTTAGATGAGATGAATTTCTTAGTTGAGTTAATTCAATTTCATCAACCTGTCTGCTTAGACTTAAAAAAAATTCGACAAGTTCAGGAGCCAAAACAATCTTAAGAAAACTTAGCCAGAACTTTGCAATAGATTTTCTCAAAAATTAATAGAACAAACCAGAGGTTTTTTGACCGACTGTTTGAACTTACTAAATGGGTAAAACGGCGATTTGGTTGCTGAAACATATAATTGAATAACGAATAATCAAACGTTGGTACAGCCCTGCTATATTAGTTTTCGAATGCGAATTAATTTCTTAACTAACAAGTTTTGACAGTTGATTTAAATCCCGTAAACTTACTGTTTGGATCGAATGGCATTTTTGACGCCGAATCAGAAATTGCCTCAGGAATTTCAGAATTCAATTGTTAGCAGAGCAGATGAAAACATCAATTTCAAACCCATTTTACTTTTAGTTAATTTTTTTTATTCAGTTAATTCAAACTTATCAAACGGTCTGTTTAGACTGAAAAACTTTCCTATAAAAACAGGAAGAAAAGAACGCGTAACTTTTTGGCCAGAATTGTGCAATGGATTTCCTCAAAAGTTAGGTAAATAACCATTAGTTAATGAACGTTTTTTTAAAATTTGACTAAATGGGTAAAATGATGATTCGGTTGCTGAAACATAATTAAGTTATGAATGAGCAAAAATAAATCAAATCTTGCATATCCCAGTTTTTGGGGTGTAAACAATGTAACTGTTCATTCACTTTGATAATTTTAATGAACTCACTAATTAAATATAACGGCGGTTCAGTTGCTGAATTATATGAATGATTATCATACAATTAAATGTAAACGCATACTTTTTTCGTATTGATATACTTTCTCATCTACCATAAAATTTGATTGTTTGGTTTTGTTTTTCTCAATGTTTTGCCGGATTTTCTCAAAGTTATTCAGCGGATCTTCTCAAAAACTGCCAAAAAAAAACAAAAGTTAATGAGCGACTTTGTTTAAAATTACTATCTGAGTAAAGTGATCATTCAGTTGCTGAAACATAATTGAGTTATGAATTAACAAAATTATATCAGGCATTGCTAATCACTTCTTTCTAGAAGAAAACAATGTGTCTGTTACTTCATTTTATTAATGTATTGAACTACTTATTTAGATAAAACGGCAATTCGGTTGTTGAAGCATTTAACTGATAACGCATAATCAAATTTTGATACCGCCTATAATCAAATGATGATATGTTGACAATTTTGTCGCTGAAGCGTAATTTGGATGAAAATGAGCACAAGATAAGCAAACCTGCAAATATTATTTTTTTAAGTGAACGCAAATTTATTTATTAACTCATTTCTTTGTTTTATTGAACTCACTATCTGAAAAAAAAACTGTGATTCAGTGGCTGAAACATATAGCTGATTAGAATATAATCAATTTTGGCACACTCTTACTTATTTTTTTCATTTTTGAACAATTTTTTGAATGAAAAGGTTGATTGATTTTGTTCTCCTTAAACTTACTGTTTGGATAAAGAAATGATTCTGACGCTAAGACAAAAATGACTGATTATTTTATTAACTTGATAGCTAGTAAAGTAGATACAAGCTTTAAAATTGAAAAAAAAAAAATGTTTTGGATAATTTTTTTCCCATTCAATCAATTAGATTTTATCAAGTTTTCTGTTTCGATTATAATAAAGCTTCGAGAAAATCGGAAAAAAGTTTTCGCGTACATCGCACCGACAAAATTTTGCAATGGATATATGCAAAAAAAATGATTTAGGAAAAAATCAGAGGTACACCAGCGACTTTGTTTAATTGGATAAAATGACAAATTTGTTGGTGAAACATAAATGGGTTCAGAATGAGCAAAATCACATTGGGCATTGCAAACAAACTTTTTCAGTGTTAATATAAAGTTATCTGTTGACTCAATTTTTATTTTTAATGAATTCATTATATAGATAAAACGGCAACTGTTTTCACTTAATAATCCCTTTTTCTTAAAAATAATGAAAAATACAACGAGCAGCTGTAACATAATTGTTATTTTATCCAATAAGTCAGTTTGAAAAAAGGCGTCGATACAAAATGAAGTGTTTTTTCAGCGCTTTTAACCAAGTTCAAGAAAATTGATTAAAAAAATTCCCCTTTTCGATGAATTAAAAACAGTTGTTGAAACAAAATTGATTGATGTAGAATCAAAAGTTGGTACATCTCGCCTACATTTTTTTAGTGGAGATATTTTTTTCTCAACTAACCAGAAAAATGAGAATGGTTTTATTTCCCTTTAATTTAACTGTTTAGTTGTTCTGACGCTGAAGCAGTTACTGGCTTCAAAGTTTAAGGTCTCACTATCTCGCAGAGCAGATGAAAACATAAATTCCAACATTTTTCATTTTCGATGAGATTTTTCTAAATTCAATTATTTCGATTTCATTAAGTGGTCTGTTTGCTTGGAATTTTTTTCAATAAAATCAAAAAAACTGCATGCGCTTACAATGCTTTGCCAAAGTGGTGCAGAGAATTTTCTCAAAAATTGATTAAAAAACGAAACGTCGACCAGCGTTGTGTTCTGACTTATTAATTGATTAAAATGACAACTTTGACTCTGAAGCATTAATGAATAGGAAAAAGCAAAATATTATCAGACAGTGCAGATACTGTTTTCTTAGTGAATACTCACCTATTTTTTAATACAATTTTTTAAACTCATTATTTAGAAAACTCGGTGATTTGGATATTTTTTGTTTTGTTCTTGACAGTTTTTGAGCGCATGTAAAATTTCATATCAATCATAAAAGTTATAGAATATTTTGGTTCGAAATTTTTTATATTTTTTTGAATATTTTTTATTTCGAAACCTTGAAGTTTTATGTTCAGCTGAACTTTTTTCTGCTCAGACTTACAAGTCGCATAGAAGAGCATTCTTATACTGGAATCCAAAGTGAATTGAAAGGTCTATGTGAGTTACAACATTTTGGTCGAAACCAAAAAGTAACAGCTTGCATATCGCGTTCTGCAATAGTTTCGAAATTAATTTTTTTGCAGTGATTTTTATATTTTAATAATTGCTTTTGCACAAACCTGTTAATAACACAAAAGGAAAATTCTGTAGCACAATTGTTGATGCTTAAAAAACACTAGGGGTACGGGGTGCGGGGTGTGAAAAAGCAAATCAAGATTCTTTATTGCAGATATTGGTGTTGTAATTGTATATATTTTATCTAAACAACAAAAATTATTTTTCCTGCTTATGTATATATTTCATCAAACTCAAATTCCAATAAAATGACGACTCTCTTACATAAACAAAAAGATGAAAGTTTTTCTTTCAATTTTGAGTTCAGCAATTCCGTTCATTGATGTTAGTATCAGCAAAAACTGAAGTTTTCAAATTGACCCGAGACTTAAAATTATCTTAAAAGCTTACTAGTTGGATAAAAGGGTGACTCTGTGGCTGAAACAGAAAATTGATGAATGTTTAATCAAAAACTGATTCAGGGTAAACTATGTTTTACATATATAGTCTATCAACTTTTGATATATTTTCTCAGCGATGGTAAAGTTTTTTGTTCGGCTAAAAAGTTTTCTTCTCAAAAGTAGTATTTGGGTAGTAGAGCAATTCTGATGCAGAAACAAAAATTAATTAATTTTTTAGACAATTGAACAACCAGCCTTGCCAAAAACCATCAAATCTTTTTTTGCTTGAATGAAAATGCTATTTGGCACATTAAAACATTCAAATTGTCAGCGTACTGATGGAATAAGTTTTACCGTTTTTCAATTTTTTAAGAAAATGTTTGCTTTTTTTTGAACTCGGCAAATTGTTTAAAAATTATATCATTAATAAGACTCTGAATATGTTGCTGAAACAAAATCTTAATTTCACAAGAAATTGCAGATCAGGCATTTGCAGACAATGTTGTTAATTATTTTCAAAATACAACTAATTGCTAATTGGTCATTTCTGGATTTCATGAAACTTACTATTTTGATTCAATGACGATTGGGTAGCTAAAACAGAAAGTATAGTTTTTTCAAAACAAGTTTATCGTCTTTATCATTATATCAAGCAACGGAAATGAGCAATTTAATCGTTTTTTTTTCAGTAACTAGAAACAGCCAACTCTCAATGACTGTTACTACCTTGCTGATTTCAATTATCCGGAGAGAATGAACAAAACTTGAAACTTCAAACGGATTTTTCTCAAAGTGAGTTGAGGTTACACAAAAATATTCCAGAGCAAAGTTGCTTAAAATTTTGCCAAAATTTTTGTTATGCAATTTATTTTGCGGTTTTCGGGCAAAAACACTACCCCAAAATTGGGTCATTTAAGCTGATTTAAACAATCAAAAATTACGCTAAATCTATGAGTCATAATATATAAACAATAAAATTATACTTAATTTGAATTTTCTTGAATCTGATATGCAGCAACAAAGCTGTAGAAGATTAAAACCTCAAAAGTGATTAAAACCTCAAAGTTGTAAAACAACAAAACTGTACAAGATTAAAGTTTGCGCAAAAGGATCAAAGATTAATTAAAATGGAATTTCATATAGTAAAATGACGTTTTTTGGCTATTGAACAAAAATATAATGATTTATAAAGAAGCCTCTTACATAGCTAGCTCAAAAAAATTCTAGAATGATAAAAATCTCCATATATTGCGCAAAGTTTTTGAAATTTGTTCTTCAGCAAAGATGTTGAGTTTTATAAAGTAAAAAGGACCTTTTTAAATGTAAAGCGAGAATACACTCTCATAGAAGTTTTTTGAAGATTTTACTTTTTCAGTACTTTTTTGAGCTGTGTAGGAGTCTTCTTTTGATATAACTTTTTGCCTTAAGGTGAAGATTGTACGATTGATCCCAGATAAAAACCCGTTTTTTGGACTCAAAACTCGGAATCGGGAAAAAAATAAGATTCTGCTACTGGAACAAAGAACTGAAGTCTTTTCTTTGTTCAGTTTTTTTCTCTGTGTTACGTTCACATTTGACGACCGGAATGTATCGAAAGTTGGCTTACAATGTCTGAATTTGATGAGGTAAACATAATCAAAACCGATTCATGCAAATCATGTTTTTTCTGTTTTTATGTTCGTGTTGAAAGAAAACTCCCAAAAAATAAAAATCGCAGACTATTTCTTGCACTATTTTTTAAGAATTAGAAAAACTGCTCTCGAGAAACACACATTTTTGTGAAAAATACTGCCATACGCTGAAACTGCGAAAAACTAATTATAGTTAAGCCAATAACGGGTTGAGGGGGCGAGGAGAGGGCGTTCAACCGCTCTCAAGGAGCAAAGCGGAAAGCAATATTGCAAATACGAGGTTTTATGCTAAGCAAAGATTGCTTTCTGTTAGAGATGTGCAGGCTTTCAATTACTTAAAACACCATTTTTGATACCTGGAAATATCCATGAAAAGCTAACATTCACCTTTATGAGAATCTGTAAGTTGTTCTTTTGCCTGCTTAAAGAAGATTCGAGACTTTTACTAACTGTTTTTCTTACTTCAGTCCCGAAACTCTACTCGATGACAAAAAATGCTCTGTAGGATTTCCGTCCAGGCATATAATTTAGCTTTAGTTTTATGTGTGCAGCTGGTATAATAACCCAAACTCAATTTAAAAGAATTAAGAGAGCTTTGAAAATCAATTTGAATCCAAATACCCCCCTTATCTGGAGAAAACTTTAGATCCGCCCCTGTATTTGTAGCCATTCAACTATCAGAGCATTTTTAGCTGTTTTCATAAACAAAATAATGGCATTCGGTCATAGTGGTAACTAACAGAAAAATATGAGAATCATATACACTACAAATAAACTAATTTTCTTCGGTTTTTGAGGCTAACTTGAGTATCATGATTAAATCTTAATATGCGCCAAGCTTAATTAAAATCTAAATTTTACGAGCTAAGTTTATTCAGTAGACTTAAATAAAAATTGATAATCACGCTAACAAAAGATGAAATATTCAATGAATTGATGCAAAAACACTGAACTGATCAAAATTATCAATTAGGCGCTTAGATGTTATTTTCTTAGCTGAACGCATCATTAAAATAATGAGACCTGATTGGCGTTCTGTTTCTATTTCACTTGATTTTTTGTTTTTTAGTTATTTATATTGAAAATTATGAAGTGTTGAGTAGTAACCAATCATGATCTATAACTAATCACCACAAAAAACTGCTCGTATATCAGGGTAAAGAGCTTAAGTATATCAACTGCAATTAAAGGGTAATTAAAACGTTTTTGCTGGGAAACTTGATAAAAAAACGTGATTCTTATTTTGTAAATCAATTCATACCCTCACGGTATCAGAATTGAATTACGAAGTTATGTATTTCATTAAGGAAATATTTTATCCGCTGCTTATAACTGTTATGAGACAGCAATTTATTGACCATTCATAATTCTTAGTTGGCCAAAGTAGCAAATTTAAGCAGCAAAATTTATTTTGGGCATAAATGTTCCGCACTCCACACGCAGTTCGGAACGAAGAATCATGATATTGAGACCTTTAATCTATCATATATCATTTGAAAAAAGTAAATTGAAAAATAAACTCGCTTTTTTTGGAAAAAGTGCAGATATATTGAGCTCAGAAAAAAATATAGTAAAATTAAGATCAGAATTAGACAAAGACAATTTACGAACTTATCCCGCCGAAGATAGAGAGTTTAAACAACAGACGATGTAATTTATATGATTATACTCCAAAAGCAAATGTTTTGGTCTCATCATATCAGTAGAAGACCTTTTTAACTTCTGAGAAAAAAAATATCGTTGTCCAATCTTTCTTGATTTTTGCTAATAAATTCAGCCACGAGAAAACGACAAGTAACCAAATTTCAATACAGAAACAAAAAAATAATATTTCGGAGAATAATTTCTCTGACGAAAAAAAATTATTCTTGAGCTGAAGTTAATGTAGAAGCGCACATTTCGAAGAAACACTAATTAGATCAGTTTTAACTGGAAATGAAGTCAGTAAACGAAATCAACTCCATGATAAGAGGATTTTCTTGAAAAAAATGTCTAATACTAATATAAACATTTGAAATTTAAAAAAAAAAACGGATGATTTCTTTTTTTCAAAAACCCTATGGATATTTGTTGAACCCCAACATACATTAAAAGTTCAATGTCGGTCGAAAAAAAGTTGAATCTTCATATAACTGTCTAAACTAATACCTCAAAAGATACAAACAAAAACTTGAAACGTTTTTATCACATCAACTACGATGCTGAATCCAAATCGTTAAGTTAAATTGTATGCAGAAGTAGGCATACACCTAAAACAAAAACACAAAACCTACTACCCAACTACCAATTACCAATCAAATCGGACATTTTAGTTGTAAAATTACAAAAATAACAACCAGCTAGTACCGAATCATTGGAGAATTACACAAAAACTTTAAAAATAGTGAAAAAAATAAAAAAAACTTTTACGATACAATCTGCAAGGTTCGAAAAGAAAGATTAAATTCTGGACAAAGCGACCTCAAGGCAATTGAAAAAACTAAGCACGCAAAATCAACACTGGAGAATTTGATACTCAAAGCGGAAATTATAGAATGAAAGTCATGAACAAATTATCATAACAATCAACCGGCCAAATACAAAAGAGGCTGCACAGTTGAAAACAACAGAAAACAATAAAAACGTGAAAACATGTGTTTTTGAATAAAAAAACCAAAAACCAAATTGTTTTCGTTTGAAAAACAAAAACCAACTGTAGCATACATATTCTGCACTCCATACGCAGCTCGGAATAATAAATCATGATATGATCACTTTGATGTATCAGGCTATCACTCTTACTATTTGAAAAAAGTAATTTGAAAAACAAACTCGCTTTTACTGAAAAAAACTGCAGATATATTGAGACCAGGAAAAATATAGCAAAATTAAGATCACCATTAGACAAAGACATTTTAAGAACCTATCCGCCTAAGACAGAGCGTTTAAACAACAGACGATGTAATTTATATGATTATACTCCAAAAGCAAATGTTTTGGTGTCATCATATCAGTAGAAGACCTTTTTAATATCTGAGAAATCTGAAAAAAAAAACATCGTGGTCTAATTTTTCTTCATATTTACCAATAAATTCAGCCACGAGAAAACGACAAGTAACCAAATTTCAATGGAGAAACAAAAAAAACCATATTTCGGAGAGACAATTTTTTTACGAAAAAAAACTACTCTTGAGCTGAAGTTAATGTAGAAGCACACATTTTGAAGAAACACTACCAATGCCGAATCCAAAGAATTGATATAATTTTTATGTAGAACTAGATATAAGACAAAAACATAAAACATTTTACCCAACTACCAACTACCGATCAAATCACGGTTTTAGTTGTAAAATTATAACAATATCATCCAGCATGTATCGAATAAACGAAGAATTACCCAAAAACCTTAAAGTAGAGAAAACAAATTTTAAAACAGAACCTGCCATGTTCGAAAAGAGAGATAAAGTTCTGGTTAAACAAAGAGATCTCAATGCAATTTAAAGAACTAAGCACGCAAAGCCAATACTGGAGAACTTTGACGGAACAAAGCGGAAATTATACAATGAAATTCACTAACGAATTAATATTACAATCAACCGACTAAATACATAAGAGACTGCAAAGTTAAAAAACACAGGAACCAGTAAAAAACTTGAAAGTATGTATTTTTGAATAACAAATACCGGAATCCAAACTCTTTTTGTTTGAAACTGTTCGTAATTTTGACATATTAAAACAACATGAAATCACTTTTTAAAAAACTCTAAGAAGCAGTACACTGTACCGAAAAAAAATTCCCTTATTTCTGGAAGGAGTAAGTGCAAAAAACAGGCAGACAGTTTTCAAAAAATAAACTCGAAAAATAAATAAATCCGAATATTAAATCAGCCGCCTTAGTACTCTAAGATAAACAAACTTTTTATCCTCATTTCTGAGCTCATAAAGTTCTGATTTTTGTAGGATTGACCACCCCCTGTCGTATTAAGGGTTACCCTTTTGTACTATTTTTAAATATGTTTTTTTGGTGGTGGACCCTAAAAGACTTCTAAGGGCGCCAACGGCGACAATAATTACTCATTTTGAGAGGGCAGCGCGCAAGGCGCAGAGAATTTGTGTGAGGCGCAGAGAATTTGGCCAAAACTGGGATTTTTGAGTGCTATGAGATGGCTCAAAATATCAGCTTAGTCGACCTAAATAAAGGTCGAACAATTTTCAAAAAACTTTTGAAAATCTGCCATAAAAATAGCAATAGAAAAAAATTGAGCTTCCACTACTGCTAATGGACTCATTTTTAATTATTTACTACCAGGACTTAAAAATGAGGTCTTTAAACGATATCAGTCGAGTTGCTTATCTCGTTTTATGACCGAATCATTTTCGGAGGACTAACAAGGACCGAAAAAAGACTAATCAGAACTAAACCACCAAATGCAAAAGTGTTTTTTGTTGAATCAAATCTCTCACGCGTAAGCTTGATAACAGCATGGATTTTTGTACAGTCCAAATCTTTAAAAAAAATTAGGGTTAAAGAATAAGCCGATCTCCACGTTTTTATAACTTAATTCTTTCATATAATTCTTGGAGTTAGGTTTTCTTTTGGCATTCTGAAACTAAATTTAGGATTTTGAATGACGCAAATTTGCAAGAAATATGGCTCATTCAGCTCCTTTAAAAAAAACTGGGATCATTCAGTTTATTTTGTAAAAAATTGGGCCATTTATGGAAAACAATTACAAAAGGGGGATGGACTGGGGATCGTAGTTTTTTTTAACTCACTTGAAAAGTCGTTGCCCCGCGTTTACGGGAGAGTCTAGTGGAGATAGTCATACTACCAGCGGTTACATTTTACGCAAAGCATTTTGCCTAGCATAATTATCAACAGCAAATGATTATGAAACTTTAAATCGCCGTCTCTTTTACAATGAAACTTAAGTCACAAAAAAAAACAAGCACTGAATGAAAGCGCATTTTGTTAAAATATGACATAAAATTGGAATAAACTTTCACTAAACACTCAAAATTTTAAACCAGAAAGAAATTGAACTTACACTACCGCTAAAAGACTCATTGGAAAACTATATTCTCTTCTACCAATTTACGGAGATTTTACTCTTCTACAAATTTGTTGATATATGTAAGAATTTTTGCTTGATATACCTTTTCTTATCAGTTAAACCGCTAGTTGTTGTTTAACTAGAATAAAAAGCAGAAATGACCCATTATTGGGGTAAAATTTCAGTTCTATTTTTTGCGAAATGAATCGCAACATAACAACTTTGGTGGAACTGAAAGCAACGCTCAATTTTTCAGATTTTTTTAAAATAATTTGAAGCCAATTTCTGAAAAACACGTTTGAACTTTCAAGTTGTTTGTAGTTTTGTCCACATAAAACAAATCAGCACTGTAGAAATTTTTATTTTGGGCCGTTTAGTTCCTAAGACTCAATCATCTTGCTGGACAAGTCACCCTGACGAAGTACCCTATTATTTCATAGAAAAGAATTCAAGAAACGATTTTCACGTGACAAATAAATTCATAATTCTCTTTCTGATAAAGAAAAAGCAGTAAATTTTTTCAATTAGTTAATTGCACATAGAAAAATCTGAAATACACGTTTCGTATTTGAAAAGAGGTCGTTATTTATGACTTTTTTTAATCCACAGATCATCAATGAATCGATTTTCTATATTGTAAGAGCACTTTCAAATATTATGGTTAAATCAGCTGGAAAGGCATGAAAAGAAATTTTTGTAACCAGTACAAACTTTTTACAGATCAAGTCTCTTAAAATGCATTGAACCAGATCATTTGTTGTATTAAATGACGGGTCTGATCTAGACAATAAAATTCGAACGCGAGGCGACAATTCGTAACATGCGACAATTCGTAACAGGTGACAATTGGTAACAGGCGACAATTCGTAAAACGCGACAGTTCGTAACAGTAGATTAAGCGAAGAACAATGATTCGCGCGCAGTAATCCCTTCGCCGATGTAAGCACAGCGGAGCAAGCGTATTGTACTTGCCAATGCCTTGTTACGAATTGTCGCTTTTTACAAACTGCCGCCTGTTACGAATTGTCGCGTGTTGCTAATTGTCGCCCTACCAAAATGGAAGGTTTTTGCAGAAGAGTATTGCGCTCAATTAATATTGTCCCAAAACTCACTAGCGCAGCATGTATCTCTTGGTAAACCTCAAAACTACCCAGGTCCACGATTCACTCTGGGAGTAGTTTGCTCCTTGTATCCCCTCAACGATCAGTGAACATCACGACTACCCGGGTTGACAAAAAATGCTTATCATACATTTTTATATGAAGCACAAGGGACATGATAACACAACTACCCACGACATCAGAAGAACCAGTATCTCACGAATGATCACTAGGGTTCTTATGATGAATGAAACCTGGTTGCTGAATGAAACCCTTGTTGTTCCGAAATGTCCGAATATTTTTGCTTGGGTGTTTTTTCTTGACACAAATTTCGGCTTTTTAACTAGCTATTTTTGACGTTTTTTTGAAAATTTTTTGCAGAAGTATTGTTGACCTGAGCTCAATTTAAAAAAATGGTTCACCTGTGATCATTTTTGTAAAGTTATGGGTGAGGGGGTTGGGGGGAAGATGGCCAATTTGATCAATTGGTGACAACTAACGCGTGATATATTTCCGGCAAGTAAAATTTTTCTTGAGCCACCAGAACAGGGTTTGGTTTAATCTAATATGAAAATTTTTCATTAGTAAATTCAAGTAAAATTGTAGTCAGATAAATTCAAAATTGAAATGAAACTTACGGGTTACTTGAATCAGCAGCAATGAGAGTAAACAACAGATTTGTCCGATGTTTTTGGTCATTTTGGCTTTAAGGCCTCCAATTTTTTGCTTTCGCGTGACTCTAAAATCCTCCAATTACAACTCGCCCGGCGTTACCGAGTTTCGAATTGAAGTCTCCGCTTCAGTTGAAAATTTCAAGAGATTTTCTTAGAGAAGTCGTACGTTATCTGAAAAGAACAAACGAAATATTAATTATTATAAATCATAAAACATTACAAACCACTTTTTTTTATCTAAACAGGAAAAAATAGATTAATGAAAAGAAATTTTTTTAGTTACCTTCATTTGCAAGTTTTTTCTGCAAAACTTCTATTGTCGAAAGTCGCGGTTACTTTAAAAATTTACCGCATGTTTATCTGCAAAATTGTTTGTTTTAACGAATGAGTTATCCAAAAAAACTGAACAACTGAACGAAAAAATAGATTATCAGCATGCTTTTACTGCTTTTTGACGAGCTTCATTCAAATTGTTTTCATAAATGACCGTTGAAGCGCGGTCCAGATCATTGCTGCTGCCAATTTTAGACAATGGTTATGGTGCTCAGTTTGACTTTTGGCTTTTGGCAAAAGTTTGAGTTTTGGCTCATTAAGACTAAAATATTTTGAACATGTTCTGACTAATGTCCGTTTTTGTCGTCGAGGGTCAAATTTGACATGACCCTTTTGTCGATTTCATGTGATCAATCGCACAACCTCCCGACTCTGTATCAATAAATAGATTTATAAATCAAATACTATGTGCGCGTTTTTGTATGTAGCATTTTCATAGAGTATACAAATTTAAAATTAAAGTATGCTCAGAGCCAGCGGTAGTACCCTCTATTTGTCGAAAACCAGCTTTTTGCCTGTTTTGATGTAAGATTTGGCTCTAAGTCAATTAAGAAAAGATCACGAGTTTTAAAAAAGTGAAAAATATCGAGATTACCAGTTACTAATTTCAAACGACGATTGCTTAACTTTTGGTTGACAGGTGAAAACCCGGGTAGAGGTGATCGTCTAATTTTTCGACCGCATCGACCCAAGTTTGGTACGTTTCGGCGGTATCGACCTCAGCCAGAGGTGTTTCTCAATCGAAAGGTCGGATGTTCGAGGCCCACCATGATCCGTATCGTTGCTTGAGAGTGAAGCAACATTACCCAGCCGGGAAAAATAACCAAAAAAACACATGTAGTTCTTAAACAGGGGCACAACACCGGTTCGCCGTGATGAGCTATACAGCTCTTGTGTTGGTCCTTTCCCCCGTGGATAAATTATCTTAAAAAAAACTGTGAAATTGTGTGTTTGGTTTTGTCCAACTCCTCTCAGATGTTTTTGCACAAATTCAAACAAAAACTGATGTGCTTCAACCGTCTAAGAGCAGCTTGTTTCAATTAATTTTTTTAACCCGACTGAGATAATTTTGCATCAACTGAGTTAATTTTACAAAATTAAACTCCGCTTAAAATGATTTCGAGTTTTAAAGGGAATATTATTTTTCTAGCTGTCCCAAAACCCTACAAAGGCCCGTCCATATTTCAAACAAACATGGAAAGGACAGCAGTCATCGTAAATCCTTCTCATATTGTAAAAAAAAAAACGTTTTTGTTAGTCAACAATTATTCTATTTTTTTGGTTGATTTTTTTAACCGTTTTATAAATAGTTTCAGTTTAATTAGAGATAAATAAAAATAATGTGTCAAAGTAATTATTTTTTGTTCCACTAGGTAAGATTGTACCATCAGGAATTTTTGATGTTTCAAGTACTTTAGATGATTTTTTTGTGTGCAGCAGAGCAGGATTATTTTTACACAGTATAGTTTGACTTGGTTCCACGATTTGATTTGAGTGACAAGTGTAGTACCCTCTACGTCACACTTAAACTAATCGGATTGAAAATAATTAAAAATTGGCGAAAGACGACTCAAGACCCAGTCGATTGGGAGACTGGCCGCAATGGGCTTGGAATTTTACGCTTTAATATTAATCGGGTCACATATCGTAGAATTGTTCCTGGCCATATGTTCCATCTAAATATGCATGGTCATTAAGAATCGGTCAAAAACATGGCTACTTGCTTTATAAACGCAAGATATTGGTGGTATCGGTATCATCTTCAAGTTTTATGTCAAGAAAATCGATTTCTGTTTTTCATTTGAGTTTTGATTCAATTCGTCAAATTTAGCAGATGCATTAATCTGGCGACCTTCTATGTTTATCCAATATAAATGTGTTTGTGGCGTTGACGGTGACATTTTTTACATCACCAAACATAAAGAGTACTGACTAAATTTGCCGATACCCAGAGTTGGCAGATGAGAAGTCACACAAATTGAAGAAATCAGCGTTTTAGATTCTGAAGTTTAAGGATAGGCCGTAAGTTTTTTGATTCATTGATCATTATTGCAAAATTCACGGCTAATCCGAGCAGGATTTGCGTCCGCGAACTACTCCTAAGTTCATTCTTAGCAGCGTTATTTAAGACTGTATTATCGCTAGTATTTCTTCTAAGTAGATAAGCATTCGTTTTTGCGTTGTTCGAATTTTTTTTTGTAATTTTGGCACATGTTTTGCTACCAGAATGCTCGAGATGGCCGCACCAGAGTTTGATGGAAAATAATTGATCATTTCCTAATTTCATGGATAGTTTTTATGAAAGTACAAAAAAAACCGATTAAATATGGATTATAAAAAAAATTCTTCTAAGCAAGAAAAAAAAAACTTTTTAATCGATTATAATCGTTTGTTTTTTGTAAAAAATTAATTATTTTTTAATTACAAAATGATCCCCTTTTAATCAAATACAATTCATTATTTCGTCTTTTTTTTTACGTGGCTGGATAGATATATCAATTAGTTATATCGGAATACATTGTGTCAAGTTTCTTTATATTTGTTTGAATTTCTATCAATTTTTTCCGTGATTGCTCTTATGATTCACCGCGTGGACCCGAACTGCCCTCACTGGCTCTGTTTACCAATAACCCCTGAGGTCGCTGGCTCTCCTGCGCGATGCCCACAGATTTTATTGGCTCTCTCACCCGATGCGCACTGAGGTCACTCGCTTTCCAACCCAGCGTAAGTAAATTGAGGTCACCGCCTCTGTTATCCGACACCCACTGAGGTCACGGCCTCTTTTACCCGACATACATTTAATTCACGGCCATTTTACGCGCAATTTTACTCATAACCTAAAAGAGAAATGGAAAAAGTGTTCAATGAAAACAAATTCGAAAACCTTTATAACATGTAAATTGTACTTTCAATTGTTTTTGGTTTTAGGATCATAGGAAAAATTTGTAGTTTTACTTTTTAAACTGAGCCAGAAAAAAAGAAGAGTCCTATTAGCGAATAAAATAGATTAAAGTGGATTATAACTTTTTGATAAAACAATAAATTATTAATGAGAAAAAAATAATTGATTAAAATTGATTATAATGAAATTTTGTGTTTCGAAATTAATCAAATTTAATGATCACAATCGATGACGTGTTCTAAGTTTGAAGCAGAAAATTTCATATATAAGCAAATTTCAACAACAGAGCCGTTATTAATAGAGAATGTTTTATCAAAAATTTCTTCGGAATTCATTACTTATACGAGACTATGCTCAGCAGATTTATGTCAAGTTTGGGGACGTTCTGAGTTGCGATTATTGGCAAACTTCTACAACTGTGTCGATGAAAGAGCATGTACCTTCATTGTGTTGTTTTTGATGAATCTCTGCCTCGTCTACTCTTTCCATTTGATTGATCTACACATAAAATTCTTAATTTTACAACTAAACACAATTTTGCAAAACTGTTCTGTTTTCAACCATTTTGTCTATTTTCTCGAAAGATATTTTTCATCTTCCAATTCTTTTGCAACTAACGTTAGCCGTTCTTCAAGAACGACCTCTTTGTGTTTAAAGCGGTTGCTGTCATATTATAACTTTTCTTCTTTCAAAGACAGAACCCAAAAATTTGTTATTTTTTGCTCTAAGTTTATACTGCATTTTTTGTCGGATAATAATCATTAAAAATTGTTTACAAAAAATATCTATTATTTCATCACTTCTTATTCATTCCTTTTACATAATGTCACATTTTGATAGATTCCTATGAGACACAAGTGAGCTGTTTTCTTTTCTTCCCGATTCTTTAGAAAACAGCTGTTGAAGAAATGCTATTTTCGTGGTGCGGAGCAAACTGTTGCTGTCAATGACAATTTTCAAGGCATCTTTGAGACATTAGTTCTAAGTAGGTGCAGGTGGTTGTCTATGCATGGCTTGTGAACCTTCAGTTGCTCGTGTAGTCTTACAGAGACAAAAGCGGACAAAATAGCCTCGCGAAAAATTTTGGAAAAAAAATCTGCTAAAAAATGTTTAGAAAATTTGCTAAAAATCAACCTAGTGGGCTCACGCGCGGGAAGGCGTAATTTCCAAGGGTTTGCGGGTCGTTCAGATATGAAACCAATAAGATATGGTAGGAAACCAATATCCGCCATGAAGCCTTGTGGTGGAAAGTACATCGCAAAAAGAAACGCTAGTGAATCGTTCATCAGAATAGCGATGTGTGATTAAAATTCCATGGTCAAGTCAGAACAGAGTATTAGAGTTAGTTATAAAAAATTGAGGGCTATATAAACAAGATGTTTTAGAAGCTGGAGAAAGGCGAAGGAAGAGCTAAGAGCGATTTAAATGAAAAGTCGGAGACTGAGTAGTAGTGCGTGTTTTCAACAGTGATGAATGCCGTTGAACGTGCCAAGCATGTGAAAATTTGTGACTTAGTCAGAGTTTAATTAGGAGCTTAAAGTGAATTAGGTAAGCCCTGTAATTTAAAATTAAGTAGAAAAAATTGCATCTTGGTTTTAGTGGAAACGTATAGTTTAGGTTGAAAGAAGGTAACAGAGTCAGTAATGAGGACAAGCGAAACGTAGGAAATGGTAATGAGCTTTGCTTGTTCGGCTTGGGCCTTTGAGGGACGTGAGTAGCATAGGTGTGAAGTGATCAGGTGGAGGGTGCCTGCTGACCCCCATGTACTAAGATAGGGAATAAAACATCCAGTCAGCAGGGTATTTATTAAGATAGAGATTAGGTTTCCCATTGTATTACGTTAGGTTATAGGTTTCCCAATGAATTAAGATATGTTATACCAATTTTCAGATGGTAAATTTCAGAAAAATTTCACGCCCGATTTTTCAATGAAGGAAAATGAAAAGATTTCTCATTGTATCAGTAATAAACAATCAATGTAATAAGATAGATAATAGGTTTTCCAATGTATTAAGATAGGGTTTAGATGATTAAGAAGGTAAGTTTCAAAAAATTTTAGGCACCCAAATTTTCATGATGCTCGAATTTACCAAACTGCGATGTTTAAAATTCTCTACAGCAATTTATAAGTTTTAAATGTTAGGATATGTTATACTAGTTTTGTAACCTACTGAATTGATATTGAATTTATGCTGAAATCTAAATGAAATTTCA